CCCTTTTCCTTAGCTGTGCTACTCCCTTTTATTCTATGGGCTTTTGAAAGCCAATAGAATAGACTCTCTTGAATAGAGTCTAATTCTACTGGCTTTCAAAAGCCAATAGGAATTGTCCAGGCTGTCTCTGCCCTGCTGAGCCCGCCAAAAGTCCCATTCTGCAAACTGTGCTGCACCCATTGAGTAGTCCTCGACTTACGACCGGTTGGGGGTCGCGGCATTAAAAAGGTTGAGAACCACTGATCTATCGCCTACATTGAGCTAGTTGATTTGTGTTATATTCTTATCTTGATATTGTGACACCGGCACCTAAAATATCAATAAATAAGGAGGAAACGACACGGCCACAACAGAGCCCGGAATTCCCGCTTCTCGGCGAGACAGTTTTTAACTGAACCGTGCTCCATTTTACAACCTCCCTTGCCACCGGTTGTTAAATGAATTGCTGCATTCACACATGGCTACATGAGAATCAAGTAGATTTTGCCCTGTTTTGTGACCTTCCTTGTCACACCTGTTAAGTGAATCCCTGCGGTGGTTAAACGAATAACGCGGTTGTTAACGCGAATGTGGCTTCCCCATTGGACGAAGGTCGCAAAAGGGGATCCCGTGACCCCTGGACACTGCAACCGTCACGCGTACATGCCAGTTTCCACGCGGCCGAATTTTGATCCCGTGACCCCGCGGAGGCTGCAATGGTGATAAGTATGAAAAAGAGTCCTGAGTCAAGTTTTTTTTTAGTGCCGTTGTAACTTCGAACGGTCACTAAACGAACTAATCTTAGGAGAAGCAAAGAGAAGGTTAGGGAGAGAAGCCTAATCGGCGTGATTTTGTCCTGTATCTCTTCAGGACCATCCCAAGAGGGTATTCACCCCATTCCTTCCAGGTGGGGATTCCCACGTTACGAAACAGCTTCTCCTAAAATTTGGGCGGGGGCTCCAACATTCCAAGGCAGAGACCCCCAACCTTTGGGACACCAGGGACCGGGACCGTGGAGAAAGGTTTTTCCACGGACCGGACAGTGCGTGGTTTTGTGTGCTGTCTGCATCCCACGGATGGGGCTTTGCGTGTTCGTGGGGCCCGGTTGCTGGGGTGCTGGGGCCCGGTGCCGTGGGTTGGTGATCCCTGGTCTAGATCAGAAGTCTCCTGGCAGACCGGAGGGAAAGGGAGGAGGAAGCATTTGACATGCGCACGTTAGTGGCACCCTGTTTTTGCCACGTGGTGCCCCGTTTGCGTAATGGCGGTGCTAGCACAAGTGGGGGTGAGTGCACGCATCGGCCAGCCTGTTCTGCGGCCCAGTGGCCAGTAGGCCACGTCCCAATAATGGGCCGTGGTCCACAGGTTGTTCTACGGGTCTTGTTCCCTGAAGTGTTTGACATTCCCAGCAGTTGTGGGGTACGACAACACAATGCAAATAATTCATGTTACAGATACAGCTTCTCCTTTGGTCTTTTATTTATTTTATTTTAATGTTTTTATTGATTTTCTAATTTTACATTTAAGCAACGTGGCGGCGGAGTTAATCAAAAAGTCAATGACATACAAATGTCTTTAGTGCGAGTCTCAAACTACCACATTAAATATTTCCTCTCTTTTCCCCTTTGTATTTACTGTCTCATATTTAAACTAATACAATTCTTATTATATCAATTAAATAAAAATAACATTCTTACATTGATCAATAATTTTTAGTTTATGCATATCCTGGTTATTTTAGCATACAGAGACAGTCAATGTTCTAAGTATTGTAGTTTTTTCCCAATTTTTAGTTTCCCCTTAATATTTAGATTTAACATTTAATATAATTTCCAAGTTTTAAGCGACTCTTTGGTCTTTTTATTTCATGACACCCTTATGCAGTGGAGATCCTCTGATTTACAACACCTCATTTAGCGACCGTTCAAAATTAAAACAGTGCAGAAAAACGTGACTTTAGACCAATTTTTCACACTACTTTTCCTTTCCGAATGGGACAGGGATATTTGGTTTTTCCCAGATGCAGGCAGTCCTCGACTTACAACGGTTCATTTAGTGACCGTTCGAAGCTACAAAGGCATTTAAAAAGCGACTTAGGACCAGTTTTTCACACTTAACGACTGTTGCAGCATTCCCCACGGTCACGTGATCAAAACTAAGACCCTCGGGAACTAACTCATATTAATGGCGGTTGCAGTATCCCCACCTTCTGACAACCAAAGTCAGTGGGATATCCCGATTCACTTAACGGCCGTGTTCCTAATTTAAACAACTGCAGTGATTCACTTAACACGTGTGGCAGGGTAGGTCATAAAACGGGGCAAAATTCACTGAAATTCATTTAGCAACAGAAATTTTGGGGCCAATTCTGGTCGTATGTCAAGAACTACCATTATGTATTTATATAATGGTTACCTTGGAGAAAATATACTACTACTACTACTACTACTACTACTACTACTACTACTACTACTACTACTACAACATTGGAAGATTTGCAAAAAATATCATTTGCCTGTAAGCAAAAACTGGTGGGATCATAAAATAGAGAAAGTCATAGAAAATGATAAAATTAAACTGCTCTGGGACTTCAGAATTCAAACAGACAAGCACCTGCAACATAACACCCCAGACTTAACAATTGTCGATAAGAAAGACAAAAAAGTCTGGAGAGTGGATGTGGCAGTGCCTGGAGACAGCAGAATAGAAGAGAAAGAACTGGAGAAGATAACAAAATACAAAGACCTACAAATAGAAATAGAAAGACTGTGGCAAAAGCAAGCAAGGGTAGTACCAATAGTGATAGGCTCCTTGCGTGCAATCCCAAAACAACTGGAGCACCACTTGAACACCATTGGCATTGACAAATTCGCTATTAGTCAATTGCAAAAGGCGGCCTTACTAGGAACTGCTTCCATCCAGCGACGATATCTGTAATACCATCAAACATCCACATCTGCCTCTCCCAGATCCTTGGGAAGGACTCAATAGGTAGACAAAAATGCCAAATCCAGTCTGAACATCTGGCTGACTGTGCGATGATCCATAATAAAAATAATAAAGTTGGGACTTTAGTGGTCATCTAGTCCAATCCTCTGCTCAGATAGGAAACCCTGTACCATTTCAGACAAATGGCTGTCCAGTCTCTTCTTAAAAACTTCCAGTGTTGGAGCATTCACAGCTTCTGGAGGCAGGTAGTTCCACTGGTTAATTGTTCTAATGGTCAGGAAAATTCTCCTTAGTTCTACATTGCTTCTCTCCTTGGTGAGTTTCCATCCATTGCTTCTTGTCCTGCCTTCAGGCACTTTGGAGAATAGCTTGACTCCCTCTTCTTTGGGGCAGCCCCTGAGATATTGGAAGACGGCTATCATGTTCCCCCTCGTCCTTCTCTTCATTAAACTAGACATACCCAATTCCAGCAACTGTTCCTTGTATGTTTTATATATATTATATTCACCCGCAGAGAGCTGGACCGGTTGTGCAATGAAACTATTCCATAAATGAGGTCATTAATGACATCTGCATAATAATATGTAAATTATGTATGACCTATTATTATGTAGATATCATCAATGATCTCATTTGTGGAGTAGTTTCATTTCCAATGTAACCATTCATTTGGGGGAAGAATTTTGCATTCAAAAGTAGTTTAACTTGGAAAAGCCAAGCGTACCCCATCTCTACTTCTTTTTTTTTAACTATTTACTCCTCTTTTTCTCCTCCTTCCTCCCCCCCCCCCAAAAGCACCACCTGAGAAAGTTAGAAGGGCGACGGTTGGATTTTGATTACAAAAAGAAGCGCCAAGGGAAAATTCCGGACGAGGAATTGCGACAAGCGTTGGAAAAGTTTGAGGAGTCCAAGGAAGTGGCGGAGACGAGTATGCACAATCTTCTTGAGACGGACGTGAGTGTGTGCCTTGCGAGACACAAGACGGGAAACAAATGGAAGCGTAGGTTGTCCCAGGTCGAAATCCTATACGGGAAGTCCTCACCCTACGTCCACAATTTAATGCCAAAATTTCTGTGTCAAACATTGGATGTTTTGACAACATACAGAGATGCAGCCATTTTCCTTCTTATGTTTTACTCTTAGAATTGGAGTTGGAGTTAGATGATACTGGGGAGGTGGAGGAGGAATGTGTATGGGAGTTAGTTAGACATAACCATATTGTAGTAGTGTGAGAACCAAGGTTTTTTGAAATAAGAGATGATAAGAAATGGCGGGTTGGAGAACAGAAGGGAAAGCCTGCATTTCAAGCTAATTGGGGAATGTGATTTATGACTGTTAATTAGAGGAGGGAATTGTGCTTTGATACTATGTGCTCAGGGGAGGGGAATTCAGATTTTGGCTTTCTGTCATGGTTCCGACAGATGAAACTCTTCAAAGAACTTCGAGGCATTGTTTACCTTAAAGAATCTTTATTGAAGAAGCATAGCATCTGCACGTACATAGCCAAAAATCTGGCACAGCTTGCCACTAGAAGTTGTGGATGCTCCATCACTGGAGACTTTTAAGGAGAGACTGGACAGCCAGTTGTCTGGGATGGTATAAGCCAGGGGTAGGCAACCTCGGCTCTTTTATGAGGCGTGGACTTCAACTCCCAGAATTCCTGAGCCAGCATGGCTCAGCTTGGAAACCTCTCCCTTTCCCCTCAGCATGGCTGGCTCAGGATTTCTGGGAGTTGAAGTCCACGAGTCCTAAAAGGGCCAAGTTTGAAGACCCCTGCTCTAAAGGTACAAACCAGTAGTTCCACCGGATGTAGAGTTGGTCTATAGCAGGGGTAGGTAACCTTGGCTCTTTTATGAGGCGTGGACTTCAACTCCCAGAATTCCTGAGCCAGCATGGCTCAGCTTGGAAACCTCTCCCTTTCCCCTCAGCGTGGCTGGCTCAAGAATTCTGGGAGTTGAAGTCCACGAGTCATAAAAGAGCCAAGGTTGCCTACCCCTGGTATAGGGTCTCCTGCCTGAGCAGGGGGCTGGACTAGAAGACCTCCAAGGTCCCTTCCAACTCTATTCTGATTTATTGAAATATAAATCTCCTTTGTCTTTTGCTACAGATCGAGCAAGTCAGCCAGCTTTCTGCTCTGGTGGATGCGCAACTCGATTACCACCGGCAAGCCGTGCAGATTCTGGACGAGTTGGCGGAGAAGCTGAAACGCAGGTCAGCTGGGTTTCGAGGGGCTAGGCGGTCTCAAAAGTATTCCTCGACTTACAATTGTGACTTCCAACAGCACTGGAAAAAAAAAGTAACTTATTCCCCGTCTTTGCACTTGGGAGCAGAATTTCTACGGCTAAGCGGAACGTTCGTTAAGTGAGACACACTCGATTTTACAGCCACTGTTGTTAGGCAAAGCAGAGGCGAACCTAAATCGTGTGGTCATTAAACAAATCCGGCTTCCCCCGTTGACTTTGCTTATCGCAAGCAGGCTGGGAAGGTCGCAAAATGGAGATCAGGTGATCCCAGGATGTTGCCAAGCACCCAAATTTTGATCCCCTTTGCAGGTGGGCAGGGGCTGGAGCAAGGAACGGGAGCTCATTCCATCCAGCAATGCTGGGTCTCAAACCCGACCTGTCAGCTCTCTGACAAGCTTAGTGTCTTTACCCCCTGAGCCAGCGCATCCCCTATTCCAAGGGTAGGCAACCTTGGCTCTTTATGACTCGTGGACTTCAACTCCCAGAATTCCTGAGCCAGCCGTGCTGAGGGGAAAGGGAGAGGTTTCCAAGCTGAGCCATGCTGGCTCAGGAATTCTGGGAGTTGAAGTCCACGAGTCATGAGGGGGCCATAGTTCCCCCATGCTGGTTCAGGAATTCTAGGAGTTGAAGTCCACGAGTCATAAAAGAGCCAAGGTTGCCTACCCTCCGACTAAATCTGAACAGATCCAGAACAGCCATAAAATCCTTATTTACTATTTTCCTGCCTTTTAAAGCTCATTCATTTCTGGAAAATGGACTTTGAGAAATGAAAATAGAAAGGGAAAAAAAATTGAATTTACAATGCGGGTGGATGGGATGATGCTTCCTGAAAACAGGATAGGGTGATGTGAGTACAATGGGTGTTGTCATCCACCCTTCTGGTCTAAGATTGCCTCCACCATCTGTGTTGTGGTTAATCCCTTGCATTTTTACAAAAAAACCCCCAAACCTTAAATTGGTTCATCCTGTTGGCTTCATGGCTTAAAGCAGGGGTCTCCAACCTTTCTTGGTTGACGGCCCAGTGTAGGGAGGGGGTGGAGATGCTTTTATGCACGTGCAAACGAAGCTGCAAGCGTGCACACGAATGGGGCTACGATTGCATGCGCAACGCAAATGGGCCGCAAGCGCTTGAGCGACACTAGAGCCCATGGGCCACTGCGATGCTAGCGCAAGTGGGGTGAGTGTGCGCTCACAGAGATGATAGAGCCTACATGCCGCAGCAATGCTAGCTCGAGTGGCGAGTGTAGGCACAAAGCGACAATAGAGCCCACAGGCTGCTGCGATGTTAGCGCTAGTGGGGGGAGTGTGCACGCACAGCGATGATAGAGTCCACGGGCCGCTGCAATGCTAGCGCAAGTGGGGGAAGTGTGGGCTTGCAGTGACGATAGAGCCCACAGGCGCTGCGATGCTAGCAAAAGTGGGGGAACTGTGCGCGCACAGCAATGATACAGCCCACCGGCCGCTGTGATGCTAGCGCGAGTGGAGAGAGTGTACACACACAGTGACAATAGAGCTCATGTGCCACTACGATGCTAGCATGAGTGGGGGGGACTGTGCGTTCACAGCGACAATAGAGCCCACGGCTGCTGCGATGCTAGCGCAAGCGGGGGAACTGCGTGCACAGCAACGATATAGGCCACCGGCTGCTGCGATGCTAGCACGAGTGGGAGGAGTGTGCCCGCACAGCGACAATAGAGCCCACGTGCCGCTACGATGCTAGCGCAAGTAGGGGGAGTGTGTGTTTGCAGCGCTGCTGCTCATAGTGATGCTAGCTAGTGCCTGTATGATGCTCTCGGTATCTCTAGCACTCGCGCGCCGCGGCAATGCTAGCGCGAGTGGGGGGTGCGCCTGTACACATGCGTGTGCACTGGCCAGCCACTCAGGTGGCCCATGGCCCACAGCCTGATAGGGGCCCACAGGTTGGGGACCTCTGGCTTAAAGTATGTCAGTTTTTCACACTTGCGACCATTACGGCATCCCCAGGTCACGTGATCAAAATTGGCAGCTGACTCATATTTATGACAGTGGCCAAGAGCTCGTGTGATCCCCTTTTGCGGCCTTCCGACACACGAAGTCAAGGGGGAGAAGCCAGATTCACTTCATGACCGCACGATTCACTTAGCAACTGCAGCGATTCACTTAACACAGTGGTTCTCAACCTTTTTAATGCCGCGACCCCCAACCGGTCATAAGTCGAGGACTACCTAACCAGTCGTAAGTCGAGGACTTTCCCTGCCCGGGAGTGCCGCGCATGCGTGGTGCCGCCCCCTGAGCCAGCCAAGGTGTAGCTGGCAAGCGGCAGAGACGGCGCAGGCCAACCACCGGCTGGGCCACCAGCTGGCCCAGCCCAAGGGAGGTAAGGCACCCGCCGGGCCCCACACGCGCCAGCAACCCTCCCTGCGCCCGCCGGCCTCCCACCTCCCACCCCTGGCCCTCTTTTACTTACATTATTGGTAGTTGCTCAGCAGGGAGGGGTGGAAGCTTCTAGACAGCTCGCCTTCGCTGCAGACAACTTGCAGCACCATTTGCAGAATGGGACTTTTGGCGGGCTCAGCAGGGCAGAGATAGCCTGGACGATTCCTATTGGCTTTTGAAAACCAATAGAATTAGACTCTATTCAAGAGAGTCTATTCTATTGGCTTTCAAAAGCCAATAGAATAAAAGGGAGTATAGCACAGCTAAGGAAAAGGGGGAAAAAATGGCGGACTGCGTTGTTTGGCGACCCCTGTGAAATGGTCGTTCGACCCCAAATGGGGTCCCAACCCACAGGTTGAGAACCGCTGTCCTAACAACCATGGCAAGTAAGGTCGTAACGTGAGGTAAAGCTCACTTGCTTTAACGGTGGGAATCTGGGGCTAAATTGTGGTGGTACGTCGAGGACTTGTCTGGAGTTTAACCGAGAGTTGAGTCGCCAGCCAGCTGACCGTCCTCTGTGGCCTTTTTGTTCCCTCCCTGTGTGCAGAGTGCGCGACGCCTCTTCGCGCCCCAAGCGGGAATATAAACCGAAGCCCAGAGAGCCCTACGAATTCGGAGAGAGCGGAGACCAGTCGAACGGCGGATTTTCCTGCAACCCAGTTCCCAAAGTCTCCGGTAAGGGCCGGTCGGACGCCGACCGAGTGCTCCCCGCAGCGACTAAAACGCGTTGCGAAACGGGAAATGCTTTCTCCCGGTCTGCGCATTGCCTCCTTCCGAGCTTAGCGGGACCCGTTTTGAAGTCGCTCAATCGGGTCCCTGAACGGCTAGTCGTAAATCAAGGACTCCCTTCTTCCTTTCGACTGACCGTCCCCTGCCGCGATCTTTGTGCTTGTCAGCCAGCAAGCATGTCGGTTTTTATTTTATTCCATGTTTGTTTGTTTCCTTTTTTTTTTTTTTTTTTTTGCAAGCAGCTTCCTCCTCCTTCCGATCCGAAAAGCCATCCCGGACCCCCAGCCGGATATTTTGTGAGTGCTTCCCCCCCCCCCAACTTTCTGCTTTTCTCTCCCCTCTCTTTCCTTGTTCCTGCATGCAGCACGAGACCCCCCCCACACACACCCTCGCATTCCCTCTTCTCCCTTGTCCCGTTCCCTGCTTGCATGAACTGGTAGCTGCGGCTTCCGGTGTGCTGTGGTGGTGTCCCTGGATCTTAGCAAATGCTCGGGGCCTCAAACAGACTTGGGTTTCTAGTCCTTATGGCCGCAAATGAGGCAGTTCCAAGAGAACCTTAGCTCAGGGTGGAACAGTTAAATTCTTCTCTGAACTTGTTTATTTTCCTGCACGTGTTCCATTCCTAGGATGGCCTAGGGCAGGGCTTTTCAACCTTTTCACCCATTATACCAGTTTTAGGATATGGCAACATCCAAGTACCACCAGTCGCTTAGCAAGGTGTCAAAAACTTGGTGACCCCCCCAAAAAAGGAAAAAAGTGATAAAGTACAGGTAGTCCTCGACTTAACAACAGTTCGCTTCGTGACTGTTCGAAGTTACAATGGCACTGGAAAAAGTGCCCCCCAAGCCACAGCTGAGCAAGACACCTGCCTGCCCACCCGCCCACACTCTTCCTCGTGTCCGAGGTTTTCATTGTTGTGAGCATTTCTGTTGAGGATTGGCAGCAGGGGTGGGGTGGGGGGTGTTTGATTTTTATTCCCCCGTCTGCTGGGTGGTTGCAGCAGGTTTTGGTCACTTCACATGACCCTGGGACACTGTGACCGTCATAAATATGAATCTGAATGTAAATCACAAGACCTTGGAGATGCTGCAACATTCCAGCTGATCGGCGCTTCTTCTGGGCTCAGCAGAAGCGCCAGGATCAGTGCTGCTTTCCAGCTGATTGGTGCTTCTTCAGGGCTCAGCAGAAGCGCCAGGATCAGCGCCGAGCTCCAGCTGGAGCCTGGCGCTGATCCTGGCGCTTCCACTGAGCCCTGACAGCCCTGCAGCTCCAGCCGTCTCTCGCTCAGGCTTGTGCGGTGCTGCCACCGGTTCAGCTCATTCCCCTCCCCTGCTACCACTTTTCTAGGATGGTCACGTACCACCTGCCAGGTGCCAATGTACCACAGGGGGTACCCGTACCACTGGTTGAAAAGCCCTGCTCTAGAACTAGCCGCTCCCAAATTCTGCAGCCGTTATTCCTATGTTTCAGTCTCCAGGCCTTTGATCATCTTAGCTGCTCTCCTTTGCACTTTTTCTAAAGTCTCAACACCTTTTTTTTGGTAACGTGTTGACCCAAAAGTGGATGCAGGATTCCTGAGCCAGCCAGGCTGAGGGGAAAGGGAGAGGTGGCCTCTGGGAGTTGAAGTCCACATGCCTTAAAATTGTCAAGGTTGAGAAACACTGTCTTAGGCAGACACGATCCTGGTTGGGAATTTTAAGATCCTAACACATCTGGAAAATGCCACCTTTGGCAAGAAGAGGCTGCAACAGAGAAAATGAATGATACTTGCTCTCCTGTGTCACTAAGAAGGTATGGGCAGTTGAAGTCCACATGCCTTAAAATTGTCAAGTTTGGGAAACACTGCCCTAGGTGATGGGGAGCTAGAATCATTGTTCCTTTTTTGTTCAGGGCTGTGGCGCTTTGAAAGCCCAGGGCCACCGGTCTTCACGAGCCAGCCGAGGGCACCCCTCCGTTTGAACTACAACTCCCAGCATTCCACGTCCTTCGACAGCCAATGGCTTTGCCACCCTTTGTGGACTCGGGAGATGTCAATTGAGGCTGGGGGATTGAAAGGGCATGTGTTGGCTAACTCTCCTCCTCTTCTCCCCTCCTCCCCCCCCCCTCCAGCCCCCCACCTGGACCAGCCCTGCTGCAAGGCGCTGTATGACTTTGAGCCGGAGAACGACGGTGAGCTGGGCTTCCGAGAAGGCGACATCATCACGCTGACCAACCAAATCGACGAGAACTGGTACGAGGGCATGATCAACGGCCTGTCGGGCTTCTTCCCGCTCAACTACGTGGAGGTCCTCGTCCCGCTACCTCAGTGAAACGGCTGGCGGCCTTCTCCGTTGCTCTTCCATCCTCCTTCCTCTTCTTCCTCTTCCTCTTCCTCCCTTCCCGGCTGACCCAAACACAGCGGTGCCGGGAAGGGAGACGTCCTTTCTTACATTCCAGGGATGAGAGGGTACTAGCTGACACTAATTTTGTGCCCTTCGGGGTGGGGTGGGGAAGCTTTTTTTGGGGGGGAGGGAAAAAAGGTGCCAAGGGCCGGTCCCAGAGGCTGCAGTCAAGCCGGGCAGCTGGACCCCTGGCGGGCAGGACGGAGCGGGGCCTAAGAAGCACGAAGAGGCTGCAACTGCTCGGAGCTCTCTTCTCCGGGTTGGTTCAGCCTTGTCCCTTTTGTGCATGTCGGAACATCTCCGCAGGACCCCACCAAGGAAGATGGTGGCTTGTTTAGAGAATAGAGATCTGTGGGGATTATGTGTGTGTGTGTGTGTGTGTGTTTGTGCTAGCTCCGGGCATTGCATGGAGCGGCAGTCACCTTTGATAAGAAAACCCACGGTCTGCCTTTGCATAGATGGGCTCCTCCACCGTCGTCAGGGTCCTCTTCTCCTTGTCCATGTTGTCCTTGAGCTTCTGCTGAAGCAGCTTCACCATCGTCGGCCTTTCCAGACAGGTCTGGCCACCATTCTCAGAAATCCTTAGCCAGCATCGCCAGTCAGTTTCCAGGAATTGTCACCCAGACTTTCCAAAGGGTTAAGTCTGCAGGTGGTTGGAAGGACTTGGATCCGCAGTTTTCAGTATTGTGATTCTTGGCGGCCCAACGTAGGCCGTACCTTTTGTCGAGCATTGTTCCATCAGCGACACCAGTCCTGGGGTGGGAAAACCCACCTTCCGACCACGGGACCAGAGACTGATGGGCTGCCTGGATCCATAATTCATCTCCCAAGAGGCAAATTCATAGCCCTTGGCCCAAGCAGACGAAGCCATCTTGGTGTCCTTCAAACCGTTCCAACACCCCTTGTCCTCGTGAAGGCACCCCATGAGATCCTCAGGGGGCGCGTCCGTTCTCTTTTGAGCTGCTCAGGTTAAACTCCCCAACAAATCTGCCTACACTACAGACAAAACCAGGAAAGGTGGTTTAAGAGGGGTGGAGTTCAATTCCCCGCCTTTGCTGGCTGGGGAATTCTGGGAGTTGTAGTCCAGCCGTCTTGAAAGTGGCTAAGTTCGAGAAACATTGCCTTAAAAACCCAGGATTGAACTGGGAGATTAATCCTTTCTCCTTTGGGACCTACATCCTGCTGGATATCTTGGAGGGGGGGGGAATTCCAGCTTTTTCTCTCTTCCTGGCCATTTAAAACTGGCTTTTGTGTTTTCTCGCTGCAGGCAGCTGGGCTAAACTCTGCAAAGGCTAGTATTTTTTTTTCCTATGTCCCTTCCGGGGGTTGTGGGGGGAATAGAGTAGATTGCAAAACCTATAGTTGCCCCCCCGAGTTGCCCCCCCCCAGTTTTTTCTAAGGCACTATTTGGGGTGGGTGGGTCACCCCTTATCCTTGAAACAATTAAGCCCCCCTGCCTCTCTTCCCATAAAGGGCTGTCTATCCATTATAGAAATTTGAATCCAGAGCCCGGGCAGCTTATCTAAGAAGGGGCCAGTGCCGGCACCAGCTTTGGAAAAGAGGAATTGGTGGGGGTGGGGGTGGGGGTGGAGAAATCTATAGAATCCGTACTTTATAATGGGATAATTCTTCCTGGCCTCCGACATTATCAGTTCCGGCCATCTTTCTTTCTCCTTCTCCACCCCGTTGACCCGTTATGTGATTGCATACAGTCCTGAACGTATACATGGATTTATCTTGTTTTAAAATTAGCATCTCCTCCCGGTGTGTCCAGCAGGGCTAATGGTCTTCTTCGTGAGTCTCTCCAGACTTGGCCGTTTTAAGACTTGTGGACTTCAACTCCCAGAATTCCCACGGAGAGCATGGTTCAGAAGTGGCACCAGCCTCTATAGCCCTGGGGTGTGAAGATCCACCACGGGACTAGAGACTTGTGGGGTGTCTGGATCCATAATTCATCCTACAGGATGGGAATCGTAGTCCACCACCTTGGCCCAAGCTGAAGGAACCATCTTCTTGTCCTTCAAATCCAGGGGTCTTCAAACTTGGCCCTTTGATGACTTGTGGACGTCAACTCCCAGAATTTCTCAGCCAGGCATGCTGGCTGAGGAATTCTGGGAGTTGACGTCCAGAAGTCATAAAAGGGCCAAGTTTGAAGACCCCTGCTTGTGGACTTCAACTCCCAGAATCCCTCAGCCAGGCACGCTGGCTGAGGAATTCTGGGAGTTGAAGTCCACAAGTCATAAAAGGGCCAAGTTTGAAGACCCCTGCTAGTGGACTTCAACTCCCAGAATCCCTCAGCCAGGCACACTGGCTGAGGAATTCTGGGAGTTGACGTCCACAAGTCATAAAAGGGCCAAGTTTGAAGACCCCTGCTAGTGGACTTCAACTCCCAGAATCCCTCAGCCAGGCACGCTGGCTGAGGAATTCTGGGAGTTGAAGTCCACAAGTCATAAAAGGGCCAAGTTTGAAGACCCCTGTTCAAATCAAAACAGGGTTGGCTGAGGAATTCTGGGAGTTGAAGTCCACAAGTCTTAACGTTGCCAACTTTGGGAGACCTCTGATCTTGTTTCACTGTTTCCTAAAAAATTGCTTCTATATTTTTTTATTCCCTCAGTATAATCTTCGTACCACTTTCTCCCTCCCGTCGTTCTTCTTTTTTTTTCTTCCCTCCATTTTTTAACCAGTCCCGTAAATTCCTCTCTTCTCTGTCTTCTGTATCCCCCTGCCCATCTTCCACTCCCCATCAGGACCACTTGGGGGTGGGGGAGAAACAAAAAAATCAAACATCAAATTGGGAGTGGGACAAGGGGGAAAAAAAAAACATTTTGTAAATATCAAATCCGTTGAACGTCGTGGCTGTGTGCTGGGCATCTCTTTCCGTCAGATGGCGTGAAAACTGTCCTTTGTATTTTTCTTAGTCTGGACAATTTTATTGGGGTATTTTGGGGGGGGAAACAAACAAACAAAAACAAACCCCTTTTTCTTGTTTATGCATTTATTTTTGTTCTGGAATTAAAAAAAAACCTTGTATCCTTGAAAATAAAAATGTATTAAATGGTTGAAAGGGGCATTCTGACTTATTTAGCGGGAGGGGGGGCTAAAGTCTTCCTTATTCTTTCGCTCTAGAATCTTCTGGGAGAGATGCGCCCCCCCTTAATAATAATAATAAAGTTGGGAGGGATCTTGGAGGTCATCTAGTCCAACCCCTGCTCAGGCAGGAAATTCTATACCATTTCAGACAAATGGCTGTCCAGTCTCTTCTTAAAAACTTCCAGTGTTGGAGCATTCACCACTTCTGGAGGCAGGTAGTTCCACTGGTTAATGGTTCTCACTGTCAGGATGTTTCTCCTTAGTTCTAGGTTGCTTCTTTCCTTGATTAGTTTCCATCCGTTGCTTCTTGTCCTGCCTTCAGGCGCTTTGGAGAATAGCTTGACTCCCTCTTCTTTGGGGCAGCCCCTGAGATATTGGAAGACTGCTATTCTGTCCCCCCTCGTCCTTCTCTTCATTAAACTAGGCCAGGGGTAGGCAACCTTGGCTCTTTTATGACTTGTGAACTTCAACTCCCAGAATTCCTGAGCCATCACAGCTCAGCTTGGAAACCTCTCCCTTTCCCCTCAGCATGGCTGGCTCAGGAATTCTGGGAGTTGAAGTCCACCAGTCATAAAAGAGCCAAGGTTGCCTACCTCTGAACTAGACGTACCCAATTCCAGCAACCGTTCCTTATATGTTTTAGCCTCCAGATCTCTAATCTTCAATTGCATTCATCAATAACTTAACCAATTGTGCTGGTCCTTGCTGTTCTCTGAGCTTGGTTAGTTTTCTTGCAGACATTTCATTACCCAACTACCGTGTTTCCCCCCAAATAAGGCCCAACCGGAAAATAAGCCCCAGCATAATTTTTCAGGACGCTCATAATATAAGCCCAACCCCAAAAGGAAGCCCCAGTTAAGATCGTCAGCCAGACGGACGCATTTAGTACCGTATTTCTCTGAAATTAAGACCTAACTGGAAAATAAGCCCTAATGCAGGGGTCCCCAACCCCTGGGCCGTGAACCAGTGCCGGGACACGCCATGCCAGCAGCCGGTCCGCACAAACAAGCAAAGCCCCATCTGCGGGATGCAGGCAGCACACAAAACCACGCACCCTCCGGTCCACGGAAAAACCTCTCTCCACGGAACCGGTCCCTGGCACCCCAAAGGTTGGGGACCTCTGCCCTAATGCATCTTTTGAAGCAAAAATTAATATAAGACCCGGTCTTCTGTTCAGAGGAACGTGGTAGGTAACATCATCAGTGCAAGAAGGGAGGGTGGGTTTCGCTCTCTGTTTATATAAGAGTGGCTTGTGCTGTCCGTGTTGAAGTTGCTTGATCGGGCTGTTGTTTACTTGGTAGCAGCAACTCTAACAAGCAAACACATCCTCTCCTAGCACTGATGATGTGAATAGGATAGGATAGGATATTGGAATTGAATAGAGTAGAGTAGAGAAGAGTAGAGTAGCATAGAATAGGATAATTGAATAGAATAATAGGATAGCATAATGTGATAGAATAATAGGATAGGATAGGATATTGGAATAGAATAGAATTACAGGATGGAATAGAATAATAGAATAGAATTACAGGACAGAATAGAATTACAGAATAGAATAGAATAGAATTATAGAATAGAATAGAACAGATATTGGAATAGAGCAGTGGTTCTCAACCTGTGGGTCGGGACCCCATTTGGGGTCGAACGACCATTTCACGGGGGTCGCCAAACAACGCAGTCCGCCATTTTTTTCCCCTTTTCCTTAGCTGTGCTACTCCCTTTTATTCTATTGGCTTTTGAAAGCCAATAGAATAGACTCTCTTGAATAGAGTCTAATTCTATTGGCTTTCAAAAGCCAATAGGAATTGTCCAGGCTGTCTCTGCCCTGCTGAGCCTGCCAAAAGTCCCATTCTGCAAACGGTGCTGCACCGGTTGAGTAGTCCTCGACTTACGACCGGTTGAGTAGTCCTCGATTTACGACCGGTTGGAGGTCGCGGCATTAAAAAGGTTGAGAACCACTGGAATAGAGTATAGAATAGAATTTGGAATAGAATAGATATTGGAATAGAATTGCAGGATAGAATAGAATAGAATTACAGAATAGAATAGAATAGAATAGAACAGATATTGGAATAGAGAATAGAGTAGAAATTAGAATAGAACAGATATTGGAATAGAGAATAGAATAGAGTAGAAATTAGAATAGAATAGAACAGATATTGGAATAGAGAATAGAATAGAATGCAGAATGGAATGGAATGGAACAGAATAGAGAATAGAATAGAATTTAGAAGAGTTGGAAGGGACCTTGGAGGTCATCTAGTCCAACCCTCTGCTCAGGCAGGAAACCCTATACCATTTCGGACAAATGGCAGTCCAGTCTCTTCTTAAAAACTTCCAGTGTTGGAGCATTCACCGCTTCTGGAGGCAGGTTGTTCCACTGGTTAATTGTTCTCACTGTCAGGAAGTTTCTCCTTAGTTCTAGGTTGCTTCTCTCCTTGATTACTTACCTAGTTGGGCAATGAAATGTCTTTTAAGAAAAAAAAAAAAAAAACTAAGAGAGAGCACCAAGGACGCCCTCCCCAGTCCTTGTCCTCCCCCTTCTCCTTTTCCTCCCCTCCAAAACCCACTCCCTTCCACCACTTAGGATATTACCTACCGTGTCCCCCCCAAAAAATAAGGCCTATCCCGAAAATAAGCCCTAGCTTGATTTTTACGTGTGCGCTTTATATAATATACCGTATATTCCGGCGTATAAGACGACTTTTGAGAGCGTTGAAACAGCCTCCGAACTCGGGGGTCGTCTTATACGCCGGAAATAAGTTAGTTTCCGGCGTATAAGACGACTTTCTAGGCATGCGACTCGGCGTCGATCGTCTTATACGCCGGAAATACCGGTAGTTTCCGGCGTATAAGACGACTTTCTAGGCATGCGACTCGGACGATCGTCTTGCGACTCGGCGTCAAACTCGGGGGTCGTCTTATACGCTGGGTCGCCCTATACGCTGGACTATACGGTAAGCCCTAGTTAAGTCCTCGGCCACTTCGTCCCGCTGTCTGGTCGTACGGGGTGGGGGCGAGGCACATGCGTAAAAATCTGGGGCAGCGGTGGTGGGGTGGAGCTGCCCCACGTGTCCCACACCCGCTTACCTCGGGCCTCGCCGCCAGGCCTCCCATGGCCCCGACACCTGACTCGCTTGGTGGCGGCGGCAGCAGTAGCAGCCCCATCCTGCATGGCTGCTGGCCTACTTCTGGTGCCACGTTGCCCCGTGGCATGAGCGAGTGGTGGCACCAGCAGGAGGCACCATGTGGCCTGCCGCAAGCAGCCGCAGAAGGTGTCGGGGTGTGGGAAGTCTGGCTGCGGCAGTCCTGAGAGAAGCGGGTAAGACACCCCCCGAAAATAAAACCTAGTGCCTCTTCTGGAGGCAAAAAAATATATATTTTCAGGGGAATACAGTAGTTGGGTGATACAACGGCTGGAAGAAAAATAAAACCAAGCTCAGAAAGCACCAAGGATCCCACAATCCTCCTCCTCCTGTTCTCCTTCTGCACAAATCCTACACGCACTTCTAGCACTGATGATGTTACTTAGTCGGGCCGTGAAACGTCTGTCAGAAAACCACCAAGCTCAGAGAGCACCCAGGGCCCCACAATCCTCCTCTTCCTCCGTCTCCTCTTCTCCACAAACCCCACTCGCAGCACTGATGATGTTACCTAGTTGGGTCATGAAACGTCTGCAAGAAAACCACCAACTTCAGGGAGCACCAAGGACCCCACAATCATCCTCCTTTTCCTCCCCTCCAGAACCCACTCCCTTCCAGCACTGATGATGTTACCTAGTTGGGTCATGAGACGTCTGCCAGAAAACCACCAGGCTCAGAGAGCACCAGGGACCCCACAGTCCTCTTCTTCCTCCTCCACAAATCCTACATGTACTTCTAGCCCTCATGATGTTACCTAGTTGGGTCATGAAATGTCTTAGAAAACCACCAAGCTCAGAGAACACCAAGGACCCCACAGTTAAGCCCTGAACTACAGACATTTTTATCTCTTGGTGATCAACTTTTTTTTTTAATATATATATATATATATATAATTTCTGAGGTTTTCGCGGGTGTTTGTATGTAGGTCTTTGGTTATTCGGGTTTTCTCCCGCGTAAAATTGGAAGTGTCTTGGCAACGTTTCGACGAAGTCTCATTCGTCATCTTCAGGCTGGTGCTTTTGGCTTCGTGCTTCTAGGAGCAATGTGTGGTTGTAGCTGTCGTCGAAACGTCGCGAAGACACTTCCAATTTTATGTGGGAGAAAACCCGAATAACCAAAGACATACATATATACATATACATATATATATTCAAAAGAAAAACGAGCACCAGGAGGTAAAACAATTAAATGTTTAATAAATAAATAACCTAGCTTTCGATGGCTATATTGCTGTCATCATCGTCAGGGTGTTAAACGCCAGAGGGTGGGGGAGCTCGTTTATAAGCACTTATAAACAAGCTTATAAACGAGCTCCCCCACCCTCTGGCTTTTAACATCCTGACGATGATGGCAGCAATATAGCCATCGAAAGCTAGGTTATTTATTTATTAAACATTTAATTGTTTTACCTCCTGGTGCTCGTTTTTATCTTTTGAATATGTATACACCCAGGAGACTACGTTCCTCAATTTTTATGTTAATTTTTAATATATATATATATATATATATATATATATATATATATATATATATATATATATATATATATATATGACAGGAAGATATATATGACAGGAAGACCTGGAGGAACGTCCATGGGGTCGCGATGGGTCGGACACGACTTCACAATTAACAACAACATATATATATATATATATATTCCTCCGAGGTTTTGAGTCTACTGGCAGGTTGACCGTTTGTAAACTCCCAATCCTGGCCACCACCAAAGTTCTCCATCTCATCATTCAGTCTTGCTGGGTCTTGTCCTTCTGCAATCTCACATTTTGGAGAAAAAGCTTGAAAAGGGGGGGGGGGAAAGGATTTTTTCCCCAACCCAGCATCTCTGCTTCTCTTCAGATGAATCTTTGTCTGTCTGTCATCCCAGATGACAAGCCTGATTTGTCATCACTTTTTCTCTAAGAATGAGATTTACAACATATTTTTAATTTTCTTCCATGACCCATGATAATGGGATCTTGGTAGCCTTGCTTCCCCAGCCTGCCCTTTTTCAGATGGTTATTACGATGTTTTTATTGATTAAATTGATCAGCCGCCCATCTCGCCACTGCAGTGTTTCTCAACCTTGACCATTTTAAGGCCTGTGGACTTCAACTCCCAGAATTCCACAGCCAGCAATGCTGGCTGTGGAATTCTGGGAGTTGAAGTCCACATGCCTTAAAATGGTCAAGGTTGAGAAACACTGCGCCACAGGATAATTCTTGACCCGTTGGCTCAAAATGCATCATGTAAACATTTTTCTGGCCAACAAAACATTCCCAAATGAAGCGACATCTCTGCTTGCATTATGGGAAACATAAGTTCCTAATGGTGCTAACTAAATCTCCCTCCAGGCTACGCTACTGAAGCTCTCGACTCGCCCGTCTGTAAAATGGGCGCGCCGATCTACTTGCTAACACATCCAGGGGTGCTTCCACTTTTCCAGCCAGGGGGCCCAGAGGCCGAGCCCAAAACGGGATGATTTCAAACATTCGAAAGGGATCCACTTCGACCCTGTCCCCGATGAATGTCACGGCCTGCAGTTCCGGATTCAAATCCTGCCTCGACCCAGGTTTGTGTCTTCTGTAGGAGTCCCGGACTCTCTTCAAAGAGCTGCTTCGTCAGCTGCTGTGTTGGAGGGCAGTGTAGACCTGTTCCAGGATATGTCCGAAGCTTTGATCCTTGGGTGTCCTAGAAGCTAAGGAGCCCTGAGGAAAAGATAAAAAGTAGAATTTTATTTTAAGATGGTGTTTCGCAACCTCGGCGGCTGGAAGACGGATGGGCTTCGACTCCCAGAATTCCCCAGCCTGGCAAGGCTGGTTGGGGAATTCTGGGAGTTGAAGTCCACCCACCTTCGGCTGAGAATCGTTGCCTCAGAAATTGAGGATTCAATTTGGCAGGGTTTTTGCTCTCCGGTCGTCAGGGTAAAAAACGGCGATAAGTCACTTTTTTTCAGCACCGTTGTAACTTTGAACGGTCACTAAAAGGACTGTTGTAAGTTGGGGACGACCTGTATTGCTTTGGGCCAGGGGTCCTCAAACATGGCCACTTTAAGACTTGTGGACTTCAACTCCCAGAATTCCCCAGCCAGCAACGAAATCCGCCGATCTTAAAGCCTGCTAGGTGGGGAATTCTGGGAGTTCAACCCATAATTCCAGTTGAAAAATATGTCTAAGTAATGAAGAATTGGGAGCTGAACAGAGGAAGAACCCTCGGCTAAGGCCATTCTTGGCTACTAGTTGTCACAATAAGATACATTCTTCCTTCCTTCTTTCCTTTTTCTCCTTTCTTCCTTTTTTCTTTCTTTCTTCTTTCTTTTTCTTTTCTTCCTTCCTTCTTTCCTTTACCTTCATTCCTTCATTCCTGTTTTTTTCTTTTTCTCTTTCTTCCTTTCTTCCTTCTTTCTTTCCTTCGTTTCCTTTCCCTTCTTTCCTTCCTTCCTCCCTTTCTCTCTTTCTCTTTTTCTTTTTTTCTTTTTCTTCCTTTCCCTTCCTTTCTCTTTTTCTTTTTTCTTTCTTTTTCTTTTTCTTCCTTCCTTTTTTATTTCCCTTCCTTCCTTTTTTCTTTCTTTTCTTCTTCCTTCCTCTCTTTTTCTTTCTTTTTCTTTCCTTCTTCTCTTCCTCTCTCAATCCTTCCCTTCCCCCTTTTTCTTCCTTCCTTCCTTCCTTCCTTTCCCTTCCTTCTTTTCTCTTTTTCTTTTTTCTTCCTTCCTTCCTTTTTTCCTTCCTTCCTCTCTTGCTTTCTCTCTTTCTTTTTCTTCCTTCCTCTTCCTCTCAATCCTTCCCTTTTCCCCTTGTTCTTCCTTCCTTCCTTCTTTCCCTTCCTTCCCCTTCCTTCCTCTCTTTCTTTTTTCTTTCTTTTTTTCTTCCTCTCTTTCTCTCTCTCTCTCTTTTTTCTTCCTTCCTTTTTCTCTTCCTCCCTCAATCTTTCCCTTTCCCCTTCCTTCTTTCGTTTCCCTTCCTTCCTCTCTTTTTTCTTTCTTTATTCCTTCCTTCCTTCTTTTTCCTTCCTTCCTTCCTCTCTTTCTCTTTCTCTCTCTCTTTTTCTTCCTTCCTTCCTTTTTCTCTTCCTCTCTCAATCCTTCCCTTTCCCCCTTTTTCTTCCTTGCTTGGCTGGCTGGAGAATTCTGGGAGTTGAAGTCCACAAGTCTTAAAGTGGCCAAGTTTGAGGATCCCCGCTTCTGGCAATACAGGTAGTCCTCGACTTACAACAGTTCACTTAGCAACCACTCAGGGTTACAACGGTGCTGGGAAAAAAAGTCCCTTATGACCGTTTTTCACACTTGCAGCATCCCCACGACGACAAGATCAAAATCCAGACCCTTGGCCACTGATTCATACTTAATGACGGTCACTGGGTCCCGGGGAGGGTTCATGTGATCCCCTTTTGTGACCTACTGACAAGCAAAGTCAATGGGGGAAGCCGGATTCACTTCACAATCATGTTGCTAACTTAACAATTGATTCAGTGAACGACGCAGGTCATGAATGGGGCAAAAAATCGTTTAGCAACCAAAATTTGGAACTCGTATGTGGTCGTAAGGGGGGGGGGGGCTGCAAATGACATCAGTAGCGACCATTCAGAAAGAGAAGGGTTAATTCTTTCCTGGGGTGTTATGAGACACGTGCCTCTTTGTTTGAAGTCTAAAACTAAGCAAGGAGAGAAGCAAGCTAGAACTAAGGAGAAATTTCCTGACGGAGAGAACAATTAACCAGTGGAACAACCTGCCTCCCGAAGATGTGAATGCTCCAACATTGGAGGTTTTTGAGAAGAGACTGGACAGCCATTTGTCTGAAATGGTATAGAGGGTTTCCTGCCTGAGCAGGGGGTTGGACTAGATGACCTCCAAGGTCCCTTCCAACTCCTCCTCCTCCTCCTCCTCTTTTCTTCTTCTTTTTTCTTCTCCTTCTTCCTCTCCTTTTCTTCCTTTTCTTTTCTTTTCTCCTCCTTCTTCCTCTCCTCTTCCTTCTCTTCTTCTTCCTCTTCTTCTTTCTCCTCCTCCTCCTCCCTTCTTCTTCTTCCTCCACCTCCTCTTCTTCCTCTTCTTCTCCTCCTCCCTTCTTCCTCCTCCTCCTCCTTCTTTTTCCTCTCCTCTTCTCCTCCTCCTCATTATTATTATTATTATTATCATCATCATCATTTCCCATAGGGCTTATTATGGTTATTATTCTTATTGATCAATATTATTTGCCGCAGTTCCTTTCCCCAGGTGAGTCTTACCTTGAGTTTATCCAGGTAGGTCTGCTCCTGGCTCCACGCGTCTTGAAACTTCACCATGTCAGGTGCCCCTTTGTAGAACTCCACCAGCAGCATCTGGAAGCCGGTGAGAAAACGGTCAGTGGAAGGCACAGGACACAATGACCTGCCCACGCTAGACGAGTTGCAGGCAGTCCTCGACTTAACGACCGTTCAGAGTTCCGACGGGCCTCCCCACTGCTACTTATGACCTGGTTTCGAAGCTCTGGCAGCCCCCCACCACCCCAACCCTGCAGCTGTGGGATCGAATTTGGGGCACATGGCAACCGGCCCACATTGGCCGCCATTTGCAATGTCCCATAGTCATGTGACCGTAATTTAGGGTTTGGGGGGGTTTTTTGCTGAAAAGCGGCATTTGACTTCCAGCTTACGATGAAAAAGACACCCACTGGGTAGAATGGGTTCACTTAACGACCGTCACAAAAAAGGTGGTAACATTGGGCAGGGTGATATGGTGAACAGCTTAAGGACCAGCATGACTTAATGCTGGCTGGGGAATTCTGGAAGTTGAAGCCGACTTCAACTTCCAGGTCTTAAAAGGGGCCAAGCTTGAGAAATCCACGGGGGCCGGCAGTCCTTATGAGATGTGTCACACACACTCACACACACATCTTTAAATTTAATTTCTGTGACCCCATGACCTTTTTTTTACATCAGAACACTGATGTGCTTGGGTCAGGGTGTGCCACCAAATGGCCCTGCTGTAAGACAATTCGGAGAAACAGGATACCATTTCGTGGAGAACGTCGTTCGTTAAAAATCCATCCTGGATGTAGGTGACTTCAACCTCCATGGGGATGCCGTAATCATAGGGTCTTTGCTGGGAAAGGAAAAAGGAGAAGGGAGGGAGGGAGGAAGGAAAAAGAAAAAAGAAAAAAGAAAGAAGGGAGGGAGGGAGGGGGGAAGGAAGGAAGGAAGGAAGGAAGGAAGGAAGGAAGGAAGGAAGGAAGGAAGGAAGGAAGGAAGGAAGGAAGGAAGGAAGGAAGGAAGGAAGGAAGGAAATTTTGAGTCCCTCTCTTTAGGCATGTGCACACAATGAAAATTATCCGGAAGAAGACTGCAGCCTTGCCTCTGCACAGCCCTTCTCTGTTTTCATTGATTATTTCTTTTATTTATTAAATAGATGCCTATGGCTGCCCAATTCATGCACAGTGAAGCTGAGAGGCCTACGACCTTAAAAATCCACACTATCAAATGTCCAGAACCCCCACCCTCTTAACAGGTAGTTCATAGAATCATTGTCATAGAATCATAGTCAAAGAATCATAGAGTCATAGAATCAGAATCATGGAATCATAGAATCATAGTCCTAGAATGAAAGAATGATAGAATCATAGTCATAGAATCATAGAGTCTAGAACAGTGGTTCTCAACCTGTGGGTCGGGACCCCATTTGGGGTCAAACGACCATTTCACGTGGGGTTGCCAAACAATGCAGCCCGCCATTTTTCCCCCCTTTTCCTTAGCTGTGCTACTCCCTTTTATTCTATTGGCTTTTGAAAGCCAATAGAAGAAACTCTCTTGAATAGAGTCTAATTCTATTGGCTTTCAAAAGCCAATAGGAATTGTCCAGGCTATCTCTGCCCTGCTGAGCCCGCCAAAAGTCCCATTCTGCAAACGGTGCTGCACCAGTTGAGTAGTCCTCAACTTATGACCGGTTGACTGGTCCTCCACTTATGACCGGTTGGGGGTTGCGGCATTAAAAAGGTTGAGAACCACTGATCTAGAATCATAGTCATAAAAATCATAGAATCAGTCACAGAATCATAGTCGGAATCATAGTCTAGAACAGTGATAGCGAACCTTTTAGAGACCGAGTGCCCAAATTGCAACCCAAAACCCACTTATGCATCATCGGGTGCCGGGTGGGTGTGGCCCAATGGGTGGGTGTGGCTCATTGGGTGGGTGTGGCCCATTGGCTGGGTGTGGCCCAGTGGTTGGGTATGGCTGCGGTGGTAACGGCAGACTGGTTGGGACTAAAAAGTTCAATCAATCAATTCCAGCTTTGCAAGATCTTTTTTTTCCCCGTGAGAAGTTGAAATTGACTGATTGAACCTTTTTTTTTTTTTTTTGCACACGGCGGCGGAGGCCTAAAGCGAAAAGGTTTTATAAAACCCAGCTGAAGGCCTAGGACTGGGGCGACGGTGTGTGTGCCCACAGAGAGGGCTCTGAGTGCCGCCTCTGGCACCCGTGCCATAGGTTCGCCCCCCACTGGTCTAGAATCATAGAATCATAGCCATAGAATCATATACTCAGTCATAGAATCATAGAGTCCAGATTAGAATCATAGTCATAAAATCACCGAATCATACAGCCATGGAATCCTACAGAACTATAGAATCCTAGGGACCTTGGAGGTCTTCTAATCCAATCCCTTGCCTTAGACCAGGAGTAGGCATCCTTGGCTCTCATATGACTGGTGGACTTCAACTCCAGAATTCCTGAGCCAGCCATGCTGAGGGGAAAGGGAGAGGTTTCCAAGCTGAGCCAGGCTGGCTCAGGAATTCTGGGAATTGAAGTCCACGAGTCGTAAAAGTTGCCATAGTTCCCTGTCCTGAGGGATGAGGTTAGGACAGGGGTAGGCCACCTTGGCTCTTTTATGACCCGTGGACTTCAACTCCCAGAATTCCTAAGCCAGCTTGGCTCAGCTTGGAAAGCTCTCCCTTTCCCCTCAGCATGGCTGGCTCAGGAATTCTGGGAGTTGAAGTCCACGAGTCATAAAAAGGCCAAGTTTGAAGACCCCTGCTCTAAAAGTACAAACGAGTAGTTCCACCGGATGTAGAGTTGGTCTATAGCAGGGGTGGGGAACCTTGGCTCTTTTATGACCCGTGGACTTCAACTCCCAGAATTCCTCAGCCAGCATGGGGGAACTATGGCCCCTTCATGACTTGTGGACTTCAACTCCCAGAATTCCTCAGCCAGCATGGCTCAGCTTGGAAAGCTCTCCCTTTCCCTCTCATGGCTGGCTCAGAATTCTGGGAGTTGAAGTCCAGCAGTCATAAAAGAGCCAAGGGTTGTCCTACCCCCGATCTAGATGATAGATAGACAAGGCAGACGAGAGACCTAGATCGGGCTAGGCAACCTTGGCCCCCCTTTTTCACAATGACTCATGGACTTTCAACTCCCAGAATTCCTGAGCCAGCATGGGGAAAACTTTGGTCCATGATTTGTGGACTTCAACTCCCAGAATTTCTGAGCCAGCCTGGCTCAGCTTGGAAACCTCTCCCTTTCTCCTCAGTGTGGCTGGCTGAGGAATTCTGGGAGTTGAAGTCCACCAGTCATAAAAGAGCCAAGGTTGCCTACCCCTGCCCTAGACTGGAGATCTTATTGCATCCTGGACAAATGGACCTCCTTTTTCTTTTTCAAGACCCTGGAACACTTCCCCTGTGGTTCCCAGGCTCTCTGCCGCTCTTCTTGAGTCAGTCAAACATTCACACATAGTTCTTAAAGCAGAAAAAGGCTGAATTATCTTGTTGATCCTCCCAGTTAAGACCCTTCAAGGCTGCCAGCACTTCAAGCAACCCAGCCAATCCTCGGTGGCCGGGATGTACGTGCTTACCTCCGGGGGTGGCATCACCCAGAAGGGGGAGATCTTGGATTCTACGCCTTGGTTGCCATGGTAATAAGGACCTGGTGGGACAGGAATAAAAAAAATGCTTGGATGAGCAGTCAGACGTTCCAGGCCTCATTTGGAACTGCAGACCCGGCCCTCTTCCTTGTTCCCGTGGGTGACAAAAGAACAACAGGTAGTTCTCCACTTACAACCATTGTCAAAAATCTAGGCACTTGGTCACTGATACGTATTTGCGACGGTCGCAGTGTTCCTAGGTCAGATTATCCTGGTTTGCGACCTTCCGACACGCAAAGTCAACGGGGAAGCCAGATTACCAACGGAAATGTTAGGCTCAATTGTGGACATACGTTGAGGACTACCTGTGAGTTTTAGTCCCGCTTTTGGCATGAAAGCCGGCTGGGTGACTTTAGACCAATCACCAGGAGACTGGGAGTTCCAGTCCCGCCTTAGGCATGAAAGCCGGCTGGGTGACTTTAGACCAATCACCAGGAGACTGGGAGTTCTAGTCCTGCCTTAAGCATGAAAGCTGGCTGGGTGTCTTTAGACCAATCACCAGGAGACTGGGAGTTCTAGTCCTGCCTTAGGAATGAAAACCAGCTAAGAGACTTCAGACCAATCACCAGGAGACTGGGAGTTCTAGTCCTGCCTTAGGCATGAAAGCCAGCTGGGTGACTTTAGACCAATCACCAGGAGATGGTGAGTTCTAGTCCCGCCCTAGGCATGAAAGCCGTCTGGCTGACTTTAGACCAATCACCAGGAGACGGTGAATTCTAGTCCCACCTTCGGCATGAAAACCAGCTGGGTGAATTCGGGCTAGTCTCTCCCTCTCAGCCCAACCCACCCCCACAGGGTTGTCGTTGTGGGGAATATAGGAGTGGGAAGACGCATTGAATACGTTCGCAGCCTTAAACTATTGGTAAAAAATAAAGGCGGCCAGATACAAATAGATAAATAAATTAGTTTAGCTTCTTCTTATGGGAGACAAATAATGCACTATTTCCTTTGCTTTGCAAGCGCCTCCCCCCCCCCCGGCCTCAAATGGCCCTGGATCCTCCTGTTTTCCGCCTCCGGAGCTCCCCAAAGCCAGCGGATTTTCAGAAACCCCAATTGCAAGAGGAACAAGGAACAAGGCAAGCACGAGCAGACACCCAGTTTTACAACCTACCACAAATGAGCGCCAGGCACGGCTGGAAGCTGTTGCTGGATCCCTGGAGCTTCAGCTGGTAGTCCATCTGCATGTCGATGTCTTGCAGGGAAGGCAGAGGGTGGCTGAACGGGTGGCTGTGATACCAGCCCACCAGCGACAGCCCCCGCAGGAAGAGGTTTTGGCAGATCTGGAAAGGACCAATCACCAGGAGACGGTGAGTTCTAGTTCCGCCTTAGGCGTGACAGCCAGCTGGGTGACTTTGGGCCAATCACCAGGAGACGGTGAGTTCTAGTCCCGCCTTAGTCGTGAAAGCCAGCTGAGTGACTTTGGGCCAATCACCAGGAGACAGTGAGTTCTAGTCCCGCCTTAGTCATGAAAGCTGGCCTGGTGACTTTGGGCCAATCACCAGGAGACGGTGAGTTCTAGTTCTGCCTTAGGCGTGACAGCCAGCTGGGTGACTTTGGGCCAATCACCAGGAGACGGTGAGTTCTAGTTCCGCCTTAGACATGACAGCCAGCTGGGTGACTTTGGGCCAATCACCAGGAGACAGTGAGTTCTAGTTCTGCCTTAGGCATGATAGCCAGCTGGGTGACTTTGGGTCTATCACCAGGAGACAGTGAGTTCTAGTCCCGCCTTAGTCATGAAAGCCGGCCTGGTGACGTTGGGCCAATCACCAGGAGATGGTGAGTTCTAGTCCCGCCTCAGACATGAAAGCCACCTGGATGATTTTGGTCCCCTCCCCCTCTCCCACCTCACAAGGCTGTTGTAGTGGGGGAAATAGGAAGAGGAAGATGTGTTGGCAATGTTCCCCGCCTTGAGTTATTTGTCAAAATAATAAAAGCGGGATATAATTAAATAAATCTATTTAAATTCGCTCCTTCTTATGGGGGCACAGATAAGACAGTATTTGCCTTGTTTTGTAGCTTCACTTCGCTTTAAAATGGCCCTTTATTCTCCTCTATTTTGCCTTTTGGCTTCCAAAGCTCCTCCCAGCTGCCTATTTTTCCTCTTTCTGGCATTATCCATTTCAATTATAACTAAACTTTAGCCGCATCGGCATCATACGTTTAACTCGGTTAGTACAGCAACCCGTTTTTCTGGCATGGTACAAAACCTTGACCCATTTAAAAAAAGAAAAAAATCCGAATGGCTTAGACTGGTTGACCGTTTCAGCCCCAAAATAATTAATCAAGCTTCTGCCCTGAAGCCATTTTTTTTTTTAAATTAACAAGATTAGTCTTATTGTCGGGACCCAGCCACAATTCCATGAACTGAAAGAACGGAAACCTATTGTAATCCACAAAAGAAAACGCAATGTCTGACGTGAAAAAAATCATCAAAAAGACATCCTCGACCACCAAATACAGGCGGTCCTCAACTTACGTCCAGCCCCAAATTTCCGTGGTTAGACAAGATGGTCCTTAAGTCAGCTTTTCCCTCTTTTATACCTTTTCTTGTCACAATCAGCCATAGCAATAGCAGAGAGCCTTATATACCGCTTCACAGTGCTTTACAGCAGGGGTCCCCAACCTATGGTCCACAGCCCGGTACTGGGCCGTGGTGTGTTGGCCACTGGGTGGTGGGAATAGCTGGCGACTCCCCCCACTCACGGCAGCGCAGCTACGCTAGCACCGCCATCAGTGTCACGTGGGCGCCAACAGCCGTTAGCGCATGCACACGGGCACCAGCAGCCCGCTTGCACAAGCGCCAGTAAGCAGCCCATTTGCGCATGCATGCAGACCCCAGCGCGCTACCGTTGTTGCTTGCGGCCCACTTATGCATGCATACGCCTGTTTGTGCTGCCGCTGTGCACACACCCATTTGCACATGCACACGCAGGCCACACACGCCCACCTTTCCCTGTTCCTCCATTGCCTTCTGGGCCGCCAAGCTGGAAAAATAGGGGAGCACTGCTTTATGGCCCTCTCTAAGCGGTTTACAAAGTCAGCTATTTCCCCCCCCCCAAGAATCTGAGTCCACATTTTACCGACCTCGGAAGGATGCAAGGCTGAGTCAATCTCAAGCCGGTCAGGATCGAACTGCTGGCAGTGGGCAGAGTCGGCCTGCAATACTGCATTCTAACCACTGCGCCACCAGGCCTCTTCAGTTGTTAAATGAATTACTGCCGTTGTTAAGTTAATGACATTTTTTTCACATGTTATTAACAGAAGATCACAAAAGGGGGTCACAGGGCCCCAGTATGCTGCGACCGTCATAAACACGAGCCAGCTGCCAAGTCTCCCAGTTTTGATCACCTGACTGCGGGGGACGGTGCCAACGGTCGTAAGTGTGAAAAACGGTCCTAAGTCCCTTTTTTCGGTGCCGTTGCCACTTTGAACGGTCACTAAACGAATGTCTGTAGAGGACTATAGGAACAACCTGCCTCCAGAAGCTCTGAATGCTCCAACACTGGAAGGTTTTAAGAAGAGACTGGACAGCCATTTGTCTGAAATGGTGCAGGGTTTCCTGCCTGAGTAGGGGGTTGGACTAGATGACCTCCAAGGTCCCTTCCAACTCTGTTATTCTATTCTATTCTATTCTATTCTATTCTATTCTATTCTATTCTATTCTGTAATTCTATTCTATTCTATTCTATCCTGTAATTCTATTCTATATTTCTATTCTATTATTATTTTTTATTCTATTCTATTCTATTCTATTCTATTCTATTCTATTCTATTCTATTCTATTCTATTCTGTAATTATATTCTGTAATTCTATTCTATTCTATCCTGTAATTATATTCTGTAATTCTATTCTATTATTATTTTGTTATTCTATTCTATTCTCTTCTGTTCTGTTCTATTCTATTCTATTCTATTCTATATGACCTTCCAACTTTATTATTGTTATTATTATTGCTCATATGTATCTTAAATCACGGGTTAAGGTGTTAGACTACACTGCCCATCATCCACGCAGACCAACCATGCTAGCTAGAGCTGATGGGGAAGAATCCAGCAACTATGGTGGAACAATGGATTGACTCATTATAACTTCAGCTGTCCTCAAACTCCAGATGAGGGGATTTCATCCCGCAGAATTCTCAGCTGGGGGAAAAACTCACCCTATAAACCCATGTAAAGCATTTTCATTTCTTGTAAGTATGTAAATCAGGGCTAATAATGACCATTTCTCTGCCCTGACCCTTGGCAGCCGCATAGACCAATTAATAAAATATTATAAGCAATTCAAGTGGTCCTTGACTTACGACCACTTGTTTAACAACCATTCAAAATTACGACGGTGCTAAAATTACGACTTACAACCGGTCCTCTTACTTATGACTATTGCAGCATTCTCCTACTCAGGCGATCGGCATCTGGGTGCTTAGCAACCAGCTCACACTTACGACGACTGCAGCATCCCAGCGTTAAGCGAACACCACCTGTGACTCTCCCAGCTGACTCCCCACTAGCAAAGTCACTGGGGAAGACCACGAACTGTGACCACATGGTGCCTCATTTAACAGCCGCATCGCTTCAATTCTCGGATCGCAATTGTGGTCATAGGTTGAGGACTTCCTGTATGCTGTTTCAAATTACACATTATGATGGTGGTCACTGGAAACTGCCCCAGCATTGCTTAAAAAGGGGAAGTGATCTTTCCAAACAATTTTTTCCCAAGGATCCAAGGATATTCCCATGTCACTTCCCTCCATCGCCTCACCTCATCACAGGGGCTGCCCCAAAGAAGAGGGAGTCAAGCTATTCTCCAAAGCGCCTGAAGGCAGGACAAGAAGCCACAGATGGAAACTGACCAAGGAGAGAAGCAACCTGGAACTAAGGAGAAACTTCCTAACAGAACAATTAACCAGTGGAACCACCTGCCTCCAGAAGTGGTGAATGCTCCAACACTGGAAGTTTTTAAGAAGAGACTGGACAATTGTTTGCCTGAAATGGTATAAAGTTTCCTGCCTGAGCAGGGGGTTGCACTAGATGACCTCCAAGGTCCCTTCCAACTTTATTATTATTACCTCTTCTTCCACAATGGCTGCCAGCTCTCCGTCCCCGAGTCGTGACCGGCAAGGGAACGCCCGCAGCACCGTCAGCACTGGAACACAACACAGTCACGAGGTTAGGGTTAAGCAACGAATTTTCTCCCATTTTGTTAATTTGCAACATTATACATCAACCAGAGTCAAAATAGGATATGTAGACAGCAGGAATCTCCAAAGGTAGCAACTTCAAGACTTCTGGACTTCAGCTCCCAGAATCCTGGGAGTTGAAGTCCACAAGGGAATTCTGGGAGTCAAAGTCCACAAGGGAATTCTGGGAATCGAAGTCCACAAGGAAATTTTGGGTGTTGAAGCCCACCCATCTTAAAGCATGCTGGCTGAGGAATTCTGAGAGTCGAAGTCCACAAGGGAATTCTGGGTGTTGAAGCCCACAAGAGAATTCTGGGAGTCAAAGTCCACCCATCTTAAAATTGTCAAGGTTAAGAAACACTGTATAACTTATCATTGCATATTCTTATCATGTTCTCTACAGTATGATATTCTGTGCTGGGATACCAGGGAGGACATTACTGCTTCATGACCTTTTTATATGATTTAGAAAATCATAATTTACTGCCTTGCAGAGGTGAGTCCAAATATACATGCAGAGAAGAGCAACAAAGATGATCAGAGGACTGGAGGCTAAAACATATAAGGAAGGGTTGATGGAATTGGGTAGGTCTAGTTTAAGGATGAGAAGGATGAGGGGGGACATGATAGCTGTGTTCCAATATCTCAGAGGCTGCCCCAAAGAAGAGGGAGTCAAGCTATTTTCCAAAGCGCCTGAAGGCAGGACCAGAAGCAACGGATGGAAACTAACCAAAGAGAGAAGCAACCTAGAACTAAGGAGAAACTTCCTAAAAGCGAGAACAATTAACCAGTGGAACAACCTGCCTCCAGAAGCTGTGAATGCTCCAACACTGGAAGTTTTTAAGAAAAGACTGGACAACCATTTGTCCGAAATGGTATAGGGTTTCCTGCCTGAGCAGGGGGTTGGACTAGATGACCTCCAAGGTCCCTTCCAACTCTGTTATTCTATTCTATTCTATATTCTATTCTATTCTATTCTATATTCTATTCTATTCTGAAAAAAGATTCTATTCTATTCTATTCTATTCTATCCTATCCCATCCCATCCCATCCCACCCCATTCTAAATAAAATGTTTTTTACATTGCTGTTAAAACAAGAGACTAGTCATTCCTAGTGTAACTGCACTGATTGTGTTACGTACAGTAATTTTATTTATTTCAAGGACAAGGCACCAATTGTGAGGTTCATTTTATTGACGGATCAGCCAAAGGCCATAACAAAACCTCATTCACTCATTCTTTTCTTTAAACCACAAAAGCAGTTTGCATATTGCGACTGGCAGAATAGTCCAGCCTTTTCTTATAAATATGAAAAATTGAAACCGTACTGACTGTGTTAAGCTATTTGTATTTATTTACGGGATAATACTGAGGCTGTGGGTTTTAATGTATTCACTCATTGGCCAAAAGTCATAATAACAGTTCATTCATTCATTTTTTTTTTTCAAAAGCTGCCTTTCAGCCACCAATAAAGTTGCATTTTGTGCCTTCTGGAAAAGTTCAGCCTTTCCTTATCAAGGCCAAAAATGAAATCCGGATGATCTCGGTGCCAAATAGAATCAAAGAGTTGGAAAGACTTCAAAGGTTTTCCACTCCAGATTCCTGCTGGAGGCAGGAAATGCTGACAGCCACTCGAATTTTGCTTTTGTAGTGCTTCCTTGCCCTCTTTTAGTAGTATTTCTTTATGTATCTTTAAATTTGGAAGTCAAGCAATATTCAGAATATACGAATTTGCTTTCTGCTAGTTCAGTGGTTCTCAACCTTTTTAATGCCGCGATCCCAACCAGTCGTAAGTCGAGGACTACCCAATCGGTCGTAAGTCGAGGACTACCCAACTGATCGTAAGTCGAGGACTACCCAACCAGTCGTAAGTCAAGAACTTTCCCTGCCCAGGAACGCCATGCATGCGAGGCATAGCTGGCAAGGGGCAGTGATGGCGCAGAGTGACCACCGGTTGGGCCACCAGCTGGCCCAGCCCAAGGGAGGTAAGGCACCCGCCAGGCCCCACGCGTGCCAGCAACCCTCCCTGCACCCGCCGGCCTCCCACCTCCCACCCCTGGCCCTCTTTTACTTAAATTTTTAGTAGTTGCTCAGCAGGGACGGGTAGAAGCTTCCAGACAGCTCGCCTTCGCTGCAGACAACTTGCAGCACCGTTTGCAGAATGGGACTTTTGGCGGGCTCAGCAGGGCAGAGACAGCCTGGACGATTCCGATTGGCTTTTGAAAGCCCATAGAATTAGACTCTATTCAAGAGAGTCTATTCTATGGGCTTTCAAAAGCCAATAGAATAAAAGGGAGTAGCACAGCTAAGGAAAAGGGGGAAAAATGGCAGACTGCGTTGTTTGGCGACCCCCGTGAAATGGTCGTTTGACCCCAAATGGGGTCCCGACCCACAGGTTGAGAACCGCTGTGCTAGTTCCTAGTGACGGATTTTATCTTCCTGGGCTCCAAGATCACCTCAGATGGGGACTGCAGCCAAGAAATTAAAAGACGCTTGCTCCTGGTGAGGAAAACTATGGCAAATCTAGACAGCATACTAAAAAGCAGATATCACCTTGCCAACAAAAGTGCGTATAGTCAAGGCCATGGTTTTCCCAGTTGCAATGTATGGCTGTGAAAGCTGGACCATAAGAAAGGCTGAGTGCCAAAGAATTGAGGCCTTTGAACTCTGGTGCTGGAGAAGACTCCTGCGAGTCCCCTGGACTGCAAGGCGGTCAACCGGTCAGTCCTAGAGGAGATCAACCCCGACTGCTCTTTAGAACGACAGATCCTGAAGTTGAAACTCAAGTACTTTGGCCACCTAATGAGAAGGAAGGACTCACTGGAGAAGAGCCTGATGCTGGGAAAGATGGAGGGCAATAGAAGAAGGGGACGACAGGGAACGAGGTGGCTGGATGGAGTCACTGAAGCAGTAGGTGTGAACTTAAATGGACTCCAGAAGATGGTAGAGGACAGGAAGGCCTGGAGGAACGTTGTCCATGGGGTCGCGATGGGTCGGACACGACTTCGCAACTAATAACACCAACAAGTTCCTCCAGCGTCCTCAACTTACGACTACAATTTCTGTTGCTAAGCAGGACAAGGGAGCTAAGTGAGCTTTGCCCCAATTTACGACCTTTCTCGCCAGAGTGGTTAAGTGAATCACTGCAGTGCAGTTGTTAAGTGAGAAACACGGTTGTTAAGTGAATCCGGCTTCCCCAGGGGCTTTGCTTGTCAGACGGTCGCAAAAGGGAATCGCGAGACCACGGGACGTTGCAAACCGTCATAAATAGGAGTCAGTGGCCAAGCTTCTGAATTTTGATCACCTGACCGTGGGGATGCTGCAAGAGTTGTAAGTGTGAAAAAATGGTCATTAAGTCACTTTTTTCAGTCCCATTGTAATTTTGGACGGTCACTAAACGAATCTTTGTAAGTCAAGGATTACTTTTACAAGATTCACCAATCTTCCGTTTGAAGATCTCCAGGCTTTATAATTGCCTCCCAAGATTTGGGTGAAAAAAAAAAAAACCTGAGGTAAAACCGTTGCTTCTTTTATAATAATAATAATAAAAATAATAATAGTAGTAGTAGTAGTAATAATAGTAGTAGTAGTAGTAAAGTTGGAAGGGACCTTGGAGGTCATCTAGTCCAACCCCCTGCTCAGGCAGGAAACCCTATACCATTTCGGACAAATGGCTGTCCAGTCTCTTCTTAAAAACTTCCAGTGTTGGAGCATTCACCGCTTCTGGAGGCAGGTTGTTCCATTGGTTAATTGTTCTGTCAGGAAGTTTCTCCTTAGTTCTAGGTTGCTTCTCTCCTTGATTAGTTTCCATCCGTTGCTTCTTGTCCTGCCTTCCGGCGCTTTGGAGAATAGCTTGACTCCCTCTTCTTTGGGGCAGCCCCTGAGATACTGGAAGACTGCTATCATGTCCCCCCTCATCCTTCTCTTCATTAAACTAGACATACCCAGTTCCAGCAACCGTTCCTTATACGTTTTAGCCTCCAGTCCCCTAATCATCTTTTGTTCCCAAGCAGATGTGTGAATTATGAAGGAATTTTTAAAAAAAATTATCCCATCAAATCCCCAAACATCCAACCTTTTCGCTCACCTCAGGATAACCCAACAGGACTTACGTTGGCTGTTGATGTTCCATTGGCCTGCCAGGTAGCCCACCACTTCACTTCTTGATAAGTGACTGTGGAAATCCTAAAGAGAAGATGCCAAAGGGAACGGATGAGCATGACAATCAAGAGGGGAGACTATTTTGAAGCTCAGGGATGAACTGTGGGGTCCTGGGTGCTCTCTGAGCTGGCTGATTTTTCTTACAGACGTTTCTTGACCCAGCTAGCTAACATCACCAGTGTTCGAAGAGAGAGGGGTTTGTGGAAAGAAGGAGTAGGAGTATGCGGTCTTTGATGCTCTCTGAGCTGGGTGGTTTTTCTTGCAGACGTTTCATGACCCAACTAGCTAATATCATCAGTGTTGGAAGAGAGAGGGGTTTGTGCACAGGAAGAGGGGTAAGAGGAGGAGAAGGAGAAGGGGAAAGGAGGAGGAAGGGTAAGAAAAGGAGAGCATCAATAGCTTCCTGTTATGTATGTGTTCATTTCTGAGAGCAGGTTACAGAATTTCATATTTAATGTGTGCCAATGTGCCCAGAGTAAAAAATGACAATAAAAGTTATCTATCTGTCTGTCTGTCTGTCTGTCTATCTATCTATCCATCCATCCATCCATATTTTATCTATTGTCTGTCTGTCTCTCTATCTATCTATCTATCATCTATCTATCCATATTTTATCTATTGTCTGTCTTGTCTCTCTCTCTCTATTTATCATCTATCCATCCATATTTTATCTATTGTCTGTCTGTCTATCTATCTATTTATCTATCATCCATCCATCCATCCATCCATCCATATTTTATCTATTCTGTCTCTCATCTATCTGCCTGCCTGCCTGCCTCTCTCTCTCTCTCTCTCCCCTTCCTTCCTTCCTTCCTTTCTGTTTATCTGTCTATCTATCTCTCTCTCTCTCTTCCTTCCTATCTCTCTCTCTCTCTCTCTCTCTCTCTCTTCCTTCCTATCTATCTCTCTATCTCTCTATCTCTCTATCTATCTATCTATCTATCTATCTATCTTCCTTCCTCTCTCTCTCTCTCTTCCTATCTATCTATCTATCTATCTATCTATCTATCTATCTATCTCTCTCTCTCTCTCTCTCTATCTATCTATCTATCTATCTTCCTTCCTCTCTCTCTCTCTTCCTATCTATCTATCTCTCTATCTCTCTCTCTATCTATCTATCTATCTATCTATCTATCTATCTATCTATCTATCTATCTTCCTTCCTCTCTCTCTCTCTTCCTATCTATCTATCTATCTATCTATCTATCTATCTATCTATCTATCTATCTATCTATCTATCTTCCTTCCTCTCTCTCTCTCTCTCTTCCTATCTCTCTCTCTCTCTCTCTCTCTCTCTCTATCTATCTATCTATCTATCTATCTATCTTCCTTCCTCTCTCTCTCTCTCTCTCTCTCTCTCTTCCTATCTATCTATCTATCTATCTATCTATCTATCTATCTATCTATCTATCTATCTATCTATCTATCTATCTTCCTGCCAGGTGGTTAAGCCTGTCCTGTTTGAGTTAGGGGTAAACTCTAATTGTCAGTTGTCTAAGTATTCCCATATACAGACAGTCCTTGACTTACGACACAATTGAGCCCAAAATTTCCGTTCTGAGAGAAAAGACAGTTATTTTGTGAGCTTGGGGCCATTTTACGACCTTTCTTGCCGAGTTGTTAAGTGAATCGCTGCGGCTGTTAATTCAGTAACACGGTCGTTAAGTGAATCTGGTTTAGATGATGCAACGGTTGTAAATGTAAAAAATGATCATAAATCACTTTTTCGAGTGCTGTGGCAACACTGAACGGCCGTTAAACAACCTGTTGTCAGTTGAGGACCACTTGTATTTGCATTGATAGATTCAATTGCTCTGATGTTCTTTCCCATTGACTGAACTCCACCCGGCGGTATGCAAACCCTTGTAACAAACACAATAAAATGTTCACTAAGTCAGCCTTTCCCATCTTGGGGCCCTCTCAACTTGCCGAATGCAGAAATCCCAGAATTTATTTATTTATTTATTTATGAGACTTATATACTGCTTTAAGTGCAAGCACTCTCTAAGCGGTGTACACCAGTAAGCAATGTATATATATATATATTTACATTGCCCCCAACAATCTGGGTCCTCATTTTACCTACCCCGGAAGGATGGAAGGCTGAGTCAACCTAGAGCCGGTGAGATTTGAACCGCTGACCTGCTGAACACAGTCAGCTAAAGTGGCCTGCAGTACTGCACTCTAACTGCTGCGCCACTTCGGCTCATTCTATTTGCGAGACCGCCTACTACCTCATAGTTCCCTTCGTCCAGTTAGATCCCACAGGCTGGGCCTCCTTCGGGTCCCGTCAGCCAAGCAGTGCCATTTGGCGGGGCCGCGGAGAAGGGCCTTCTCTGTGATGGCGCCCACGTCTTGGAACCAGCTCCCCCCCCCCGGAGATTAGGACCGCTCCCACCCTGTTGGTTTTCCGCAAGCTGCTTAAGACCTGGCTTTTCCGGCAGGCCTGGGGTTTATAAAATCTGACCCCTGGATGAATGTTATTGTATTGTTTGTTTTGTTAAGTTATGTTGTGTTTTTTATTGTTAGCCGCCCGGAGTCCTGCGGGAGTGGGGCGGTCTATAAATTTTAATAAAATAAACTAAATAAATAAATAAATTCCCCAGCCAGCCCTGGAGGTGTGCCCCCAAAGCAAGAAGGGATTACCTACCACGAGTAGGAGAACGTTGCTAGAGATGGCCACGTTGAAAGGCTGGAATTTGTTGAGGGCTGCAAAAGACGTCACCTCCACCAAGGTATGGGGGTTCCTAAAGGGAATTAAAAAAAATAAATCCTTAATGTTGTGATTGTGAGGACTAGACATGTCCTTTCGGAATACAGTACGCACTGGCACGTGATTTGATTTATGAGGCAGACTGGAGGGGGAACATAACTAGATGAGCTAATTCTACTTTACGGTAAGGCTGTGGTAACACAATCTTGCAGGTCTGAAAGTACAAATCTCCCACTGTCACAATGTTGCCGCAAAGATATAATTCAACATTTAAATTTGAGAGAGAGAGAGAGAGACAGAGAGAGATGAGATAGATAATAATAATACTAATATTAATAATAAAGTTGGAAGGGACCTTGGAGGTCATCTAGTCCAACCCCCTGCTCAGGCAGGAAACCTATACCATTTCGGACAAATGGCTGTCCAGTCTCTTCTTTAAAACTTCCAGTGTTGGAGCATTCACCGCTTCTGGAGGCAGGTTGTTCCGCTGGTTAATTGTTCTAACTCTCAGGAAGTTTCTCCTTAGTTCTAGTTTTAAAATAGCCTTAGTCATTCTCTATTTCCCCAGGAATCTGATCTCTGAATCTTCTGTTCTTGTTATTTTTATTTTTTTTGGGGGGGGGGGAGGGAAACCCTTAAACAGGACACAGCATTCACTGGATCAATGTACCTGACGGAATCCCGACTTCCCAAACTGCAATAGCGGACAGGAATTCGATTCTGGCATTCCAGCCTTTTGCTGTGTTCTGGGGGAAACAAACAAAGGAATAATAATAATAATAATAATAATGCTACCAGTCACGGTTTCAAAATTAAAAACAAAATCCAGCAGATTGGAAAAAAAAAAGGCAGTAAAATTCTCGTGCTGAGGTCCGTCTTCGAGTTGGAGGCGATGTTTGTCCATTTCTGTGTTTTTTTTTTCTCCTTTCAGAATTAAAAGAAAATTAAAAAGTCTCTCTCTGAAAGTCAAGTTTCTCAAGCTCAGCAGCTTGAAGACGAGTGGACTTCAGCTCCCAGAATTCCCCAGCCAGCAACGAAATCCACCAGTCTTAAAGCCTGCTGGGTGGGGAATTCTGGGAGCTCAACCCATAATTCCAGTTGAAAAATATGTCTAAGTAATGAAGAATTGGGAGAGCTGAACAGAGGAAGAACCCTCGGCTAAGGCCATTCTTGGCTACTAGTTGTCACAATAAGATACATTCTTCCTTCCTTCTTTCCTTTCCTTTCCTTCCTTCCTTTCTCTCTCTCTCTCTTTTTCTTCCTTCTTTCCTTTCCTTTCCCTTCCTTCCTTCCCCTTTCTTCCTTCCTTTCTTTCTTTTTTCTTTTTCTTCCTTCCTTCCTTAACCTTCCTTCCTTTCTCTCTCTCTTTTCTTTCTTTTTTCTTCCTTCCTTCCTTTCTCTTTCTCTTTTTTCTTTTTCTTTCTTTCTTCCTCTCTTTCTCTTTTTTTCTTTCTTCCTTCCTTTCCCTTCCTTTCTCTCTTTTTCTTTCTTTCTTTCTTTTTTTCTTTTTCTTCCTTCTTTCCTTCCTTCCTTCCTTCCTTTTCTCTTTTTCTCTTTTCTTTTTTTTTCCTTCCTTCCCCCTTTTTCACCTTCCTTCCTACCTTCCTCTTTCTTTCTTTCTTTCTTTCTTTCTTTCTTTCTTCCTTCCTTTCTTTTTCTTTCTCTTCCTTCTATCCTTTTTCTCTTCCTCCCTTCCTCCCTCAACCCTCCCTTTCTCCTTTTTCTTCCTGCCTTTTTGCTTCCCACCTTCCCTTTTCTCCTTCCTTCCTTCCTTCCTTCCTTCCTTCCTTCCCTTTCTCTTTTCCTTCCTTCCTCCCTCACATCCTCCCTCCCTCCTTTTTCTTCTTTCTGTTTCCTTCCTTCCTTTCCCTTCCTTCCCTCTCTTTTCCCCCTCCTTCTCCTTTTTTCTTCCTTCCTTCCTTCTTCCTATTTTCCACTTCTTTTCTTCCCTCCATCCCTCTCTTCCCTTTTTCTTTCTTCCTTTTTTCTTCCCCCTTCTTCTCCTTCCCTCCCTTTCTCTTCTCTTTCCTTCCTTCCTTTCATTCTTCCTCCTCTTCTCTCCATTCCTCCCTCTTTTTCTTCTTTCCTTTCCTCCCTCCCTTCCTGCTTTCCTTCCTTCTCTTCTTTCCTTCTCCTTTTCCATCCTTCTTTTCTCTCCTCCTCTCCCCTCCCTTCTCGTCAGACATTGCAGGATAAGATAAAAACGTCAGGGTTGTGCCCAGGAAGCTCTGCTCACAGCGTGGCCACCATCTTGCCTTCTTTGACCTACGGAAGGCAGCGTACTGGGAGAAATTCAGCCAGCCCAAGCAGTGCTGCCTCGCTATGGCCCCCGATGGCTTTTTCGCCAGCTTGGTGGACCTCTTACCCGCGTTGTGTGAGTCTGACAGACTTTTCGCCAGCAGCTTCCTGGATTTCTCGTCCACTTTCTTGGCCAGCATGGAGTCAGCCAAGGCCGCCTTCATCCCTTTGGCTTCATCTTCCTCCTCATCACCCAGATCCTCTTCCTCCCCTTCGCTGATCAGACTCTGGTGGGGGAGAAGAAAAGAGCACCAAGCAGCTAAAGCAGCTTCTTCCCGTGGGACTCGATGACTTCAATGGGAACCTCGTCAATTTAAACCAGGGGTCTTCAAACTTGGCCCTTTTATGACTGGTGGACTTCAACTCCCAGAATTCCTCAACCAGGCACGCTGGCTGAGGAATTCTGGGAGCTGAAGTCCACCAGTCATGAAGGGACCATAGTTCCCCCATGCTGGCTGAGGAATTCTGGGAGTTGAAGTCCACCGGTCATAAAAGGGCCAAGTTTGAAGACCCCCTGCCTGTGGACTTCAACTCCCAGAATTCCTCAGCCAGGCACACTGGCTGAGGAATTCTGGGAGTTGAAGCCCACCAGTCATGAAGGGACCGTAGTTCCCCCATGCTGGCTGAGGAATTCTGGGAGTTGAAGTCCACCAGTCATAAAAGGGCCAAGTTTGAAGACCCCCTGCTTGTGGACTTCAACTCCCAGAATTCCTCAGCCAGGCACGCTGGGGCTGAGGAATTCTGGGAGTTGAAGTCCACCAGTCATAAAAAGGCCAAGTTTGAAGACCTCCTGCTTGTGGACTTCAACTCCCAGAATTCCTCAGCCAGGCACGCTGGGGCTGAGGAATTCTGGGAGTTGAAGTCCACCAGTCATAAAAGGACCAAGTTTGAAGACCCCCTGCTTGTGGACTTCAACTCCCAGAATTCCTCAGCCAGGCACGCTGGCTGAGGAATTCTGGGAGTTGAAGTCCACGTCATAAAAGGGCCAAGTTTGAAGACCCTGGATTTAAACACTCCACCGTATACCTGCAGTTCCATGAGGACCCACTAGGGGGCATCACTGTGGTGGTTTCGGCTGACTTGCAATGTCTCAGCCAGGGCGGAAGGACAGGTAATCCTCCACATATGGCTACAGTGGAGCCGGACTTTTACAGTCGGATATCAAAAAAATGTGACCGACCCCATTTTACAACCTTTTGGGTGTCGGTCGTTAAGTGAACCAATGCTCCCCCCTTGTGGTTCAACTATGGCAAGAAAGGTCATAAAACAAGGCAAAACTCACTTAAACAATTGCCTTGCTTAGCCATGGAAATTTTGGGCTCAACGGGGGCCGTGCATTGAGGGTAATAAATGGAATAAATAGAACTGTCAATGGGTTTGCTACTTCTAAGGGCGCCATGAATTGACCTCCTGTGGACTAGAAACTTAGAAAACAATGCCAGAAGAAGTCTATGGAGCTTCTCAGTCATTCCAGGTCAGGGTTGTCCCAAAGGTTCTTTTTCAGGAGGCAACTGGACTTTTTTGTTTTTCTTTGAAGACGTTTCGCTTCTCCTCCCAGAAGCTTCTTCAGCTCTGACTGGATGGTGGGGAAGGGAAGGATTTATACTCCTGGCAGACAGCTGGTCATTTGCATCCTTTTAGAGAGTCGTTGAGGCCACCTGGAGGTTTATTTGTGTCCTCAGGGTCACCTGAGTGGTGCAAATGGGTGTGGAGCCTTCTTGGAGCTGCTGAAAGGACTGTGTTATAGACTGGAAATAGATGGTATCCTCAGCAGCTCCAAGAAGGCTTCATGCCCATTTGACCGTGAGGACACAGGTAAAGATCCAAGTGGCCTCAACGACTCTCTAAAACAGTGGTTCTCAACCTTTTTAATGCTGTGACCCCCAACCGGTCGTAGGTCGAGGACTACCCAACCGGTCGTAAGTCGAGGATTACCCAACTGGTCGTAAGTCGAGGACTTTTCCTGCCCGGGAGTGCCGCGCATGCGTGGTGCCGCCCCCTGCACCAGCCAAGTTGTAGCTGGTAAGCGGCAGAGACGGCGCAGGCCGACCACCGGCTGGGCCACCACCTGGCCCAGCCCAAGGGAGGTAAGGCACCCACCGGGCCCCACGCGCGCCAGCAACCCTCCCTGTGCCCGCCGGCCTCCCACCTCCCACCCCTGGCCCTCTTTTACTTCCATTTTTAGTAGTTGCTCAGCAGGGAGGGGTGGAAACTTCCAGACAGCTCGCCTTCTCTGCAGACAACTTGCAGCACCGTTTGCAGAATGGGACTTTTGGTGGGCTCAGCAGGGCAGAGACAGCCTGGACAATTCCTATTGGCTTTTGAAAGCCAATAGAATTAGACTATATTCAAGAGAGTCTATTCTATTGGCTTTCAAAAGCCAATAGAATAAAAGGGAGTAGCACAGCTAAGGAAAAGGGGGGGAAAAATGGCGGACTGCGTTGTTTGACGACCCCCGTGAAATGGTCATTCGACCCCAAATGGGGTCCCCACCCACAGGTTGAGAACCGCTGCTCTAAAAGAATGCAAAGGACCGGCTGTCTGCCAGGAGTATAAATCCTTCCCTTCCCCACCATCCAGTCAGAGCTGAAGCAGCTTCCTGGATGAGAAGCGAAACGTCTTCAAAGGGAAAAAACAGAAAGTCCAATTGCCTCCTGAAAAAAAAGCACCAATGACGGAAGAAGGTTTTGAAGTAGAGCGGAAGGGTTTACCTCCTCTGCAGGGGGGGCGTTGGGTTGATGCTTCTTCAGCCAGACCGCCTTGTATTGGTCAAGTTTCTGCCCCTTGTACTTGACCGAGGCCCAGCCGCAGCCCGACTTCTTTGCAGGGTTGACCAGCTTCTTGCAGTAGGTGGCCCAGGCGCTGGGGGAGTTAAAGATCTGTCCGGTCTGTTGCCAGGCGATCTTCCCATCGGTCAGCAGGTCGCCCCAAAATTTCTTCCCCTGAGACACAGGCAAGAGGGTTAGGAGAGTTCACAACCCTGTATGAGAGCAGGCTGGGTTCACAAACCAGGGGTCTTCAAACTTGGCCCTTTTATGACTGGTGGACTTCAACTCCCAGAATTCCTCAGCCAGCCTCCATTTTGTTTGTTAGATTTAAGACAGGGGTCTTCAAACTTGGCTTTTATGACTGGTGGACCTCAACTCCCAGAATTCCTCAGCCAGCCTCCATTTTGTTTGTTAGATTTAAGACAGGGATCTTCAAACTTGGCTCTTTTATGACTGGTGGACTTCAACTCCCAGAATTCCTCAGCAAGGCACGCGTTGCCTGGCTGAGGAATTCCACCAGTCATAAAAGGGCCACATTTGAAGACCCCTGCCCTAAACCCTCACGAAGTTCCTTCAGGGGGGCTTATTGGGGTGTGAACAACCCATGCTAGTTTGTTCAAGGAGCCACACTGAAGAGTGAAGAGAAGAGCAACAAAGAGGATCAGGGGCCGGGAAGATTAAACAGATAAGGAACAGTTGCTGGAATTGGGGATGTCTCGTTTAACGAAGAGAAGGACGAGGGGGGACAGGATAGCAGGGTTCCAATATCTCAGGGGCTGCCCCAAAAAAGAGGCAGTCAAGCTATTTTCCAAAGCTCCTGAAGGCAGGAGAAGAAGCAACGGATGGAAACTAATCAAGGAGAGAAGTAACCTAGAACTAAGGAGAAAGTTCCTGACAGTAAGAACAATTAACCAGTGGAACTACCTGCCTCCAGAAGCGGTGAATGCTCCAAAACTGGATGTTTTTAAGAAGAGACTGAACAGCCATTTGTCTGAAATGGTATAGGGTTTCCTGCGTGAGCAGGGGGTTGGACTAGATGACCTCCAAGGTTCCTTCCAACTTTACTATTACTATTGCTATTATTATTATTACAACTTTACAATGCCTTGGTAAGGCCACACTTGGAATACGGCATCCACATTTGGTCACCACAATGTAAAAACGATGTTGAGACTCTAGAAAGAGTACAGAGAAGAGCAACAAAGATGATTAGGGGACTGGAGGCTAAAACATATCAGGAACGGTTGCTGGAATTGGGTCTGTCTAGTTTAATGAAGAAAAGGACGAGGGGGGACAGGATAGCTGCGTTCCAGTATTTGAGGGGCTGCCCCAAAGAAGAGGGAGTCAAGCTATTCTCCAAAGCGCCTGAAGGCAGGACAAGAAGCAACAGATGGAAACTAACCAAGGAGAGAAGCAAGCTAGAACTAAGGAGGAAGAGGAAGAGGAGGAGGAAGAGGAGGAGGAAGAAGAGAAGGAAGAGAAAGTGGAGGAGGAAGAGGAGGACGAAGGAGGAAAAAGAGGAAGAAAAGTAGGAGGAGAAGGATGAGGAGGACTGGGGGGGGGGGTCCCTGGTGGTCTCTGAGCTTGGTTGTTCTCTTGCAGACGTTTCATGACCCAGCTTGGTAACATCGTCAGCACTAGAAGGCTGTGGGGTTTGAAGAGAGGAGCGGGAAAGACGGTCACTTACCAGGTAGTAAATCGAGAGGACTCCTTCCCCGGGTTCAATCAGCCCATCTTTGAGAAGAACCCGGAGCGTGATTCCTCGGCGGGTCAGGAGGCCGCAGCTGCGTCCACCCGGCACGGTTTTTCCCACGCTGTCCTGCTCAGGGTCTTCCAAGCTGGTCTCCAGCTCCTCCTCATCCTCTTCCAGACACTCATCCCCAGCCAGGGATTCCGCATCCATCCCTGGAAATGGACGCAGGAAGCGAATCAGAGGCGGGATCCGGGAGGGAGACCTCATGAACGTCTCCGATTCGTTCTTCCTTTGACCAGGATGAGGGAAAGGCCGCCTTCAGAAGTTGCGGGAGCTTCAACCGTGGAAGCTTTCAAGAAGAGAAATTTCTGACTGCCATCTGTCGGAAATGGTGTAAGGTCTCCTGCTTGGGCAAGGAGGGGGGTTGGACTGGATGACCTCCAAGGTCCCTTCCCACTCTTGTTATTCTATTCTATTCTAAAACACGGAAGGCTTGTCAAACCACCCCACTTCTCCCAGGACAGTCCAACTGCGATACGATATCCCCGGTGGCACGTCCTGCCCTTTTGGCTTGAGTTCCTTTCCGAAAAAAGCTCAAGGTCCTAGTCCTCGTGAAGGCTACATTCCATTTAGGAAGCCAGGGCCAGAAGATGGCTCAGGGCTTGAAGATGGATACCGAGGCCTGGCATGGTTCCCCCTTCCCCCCCCCCCACCTTTATTCTCCACGAAGGGCAAAGACAGCCAGTTTGTTTTTGTGGTGAAGGCTCCAGGCTAGAAACTAGGAGACGGTGAGTTCTAGTCCTACTTTAGGAATGGAAGCCGGGTGGGTGACTGTGGGCCAGTCCCTCCCTCTCAGCCCAACCTACCTTGTAGGGTTGCTGTTCTGGGGAACATAGGAGAAGGAAGGAGTAATATGTATGTTCACGGCCTTGAGTTATTGATAAAAATAATAAAGGCAGGCTAAAGATAGAATAGGTGGCTAGGTAGGTGTAGATAGAGAGAGTCAGAGACAGAGAGAAAGAGAGACAGACAGACAGACAGACACAGACAGATAGATAGATATAATAGAGAGAGAGAGGGGCAGACAGAGGATGGATGGATGGAGGGATGGATGGAGAGACAGACAGACAGACAGACTGATAGATATAGAGAGAGGGGGGCAGACAGGCAGGATGGATGGATGGATGGAGAGAGAGAGAGAGACAGATAGATGACAGACAGACAGACTGATAGACAGATATAATAGAGAGACAGACAGACAGACAGACAGGATGGACGGATGGATGGAGAGAGACAGACAGATGATAGACAGACAGAGACAGACTGATAGACAGATAGATATCATAGGGAGACAGACAGAAAGACAGATAGGATGGATGGATGGACGGATGGATGGAGAGAGAGACAGACAGATGATAGACAGACAGACAGAGACAGACTGATAGACAGATAGTTATAATAGACAGACAGACAGACAGACAGGATGGATGGACGGACGAATGGAGAGAGAGACAGACAGATGATAGACAGACAGAGACAGACTGATAGACAGATAGATATCATAGAGAGGGGGGGCAGACAAACAGGATGGATGGATGGAGAGAGAGACAGACAGATGACAGACAGACAGACAGATATAATAGAGACAGACAAACAGACAGAGGATGGACGGACAGACGGATGGATGGATGGAGAGAGAGACAGGCAGATGATAGACAGACACTGATAGACAGATATAATAGAGAGAGACAGACAGACAGGATGGATGGATGGAGACAGGCAGAGAGAGGATGGATAGAGGGATGGAGACAGACAGACAGACAATAGACAGATTGTTGTGTGTGTGTGTGTGTACAGAGAGAGACAGGCAGACAGATGATGGACGGACAGACGGACAGACAGTCAGATCACCTTTGTGGTGGGCCTCTTTAAATCTTCATTATCGATATGAACTGGGCAATAATTAAGATATAGAAAATAATAGGAGACCCCCCCCAGCCCATCTGGAAAGTCCCAAAGAGACGACCCCCCCCCCCAAAACAGAGGTTTGGAAAAAGGCATCTAGACCAGTCTTTTTCACTCTAGGTAGCCTTTGAGGTGAGCGGACTTCAACTCCCAGAATTCCCCAGCCAGCATGGCTGGCTGGGGAACTCTGGGAATTGAAGTCCAGACGCCTTCAATTCACCGAGCTTGAGAAACGCGTTGACTTTAGCCAGTGCTCCGCAGTCTTTCCTAATGCTTCTCTTTCTGAAGTCTAACAAGGCGTTCCCTCCCTCCCTCCCTCCCTCCCGCAGCAGCCCGGCAGCTTTTCCCGGTGCCGCCCTCTGCTCATGCCCAGAAGCCCTTTGCCAGCGCCGGCAACTGGGTGGAACGAGTTCCCCGCGGATCGGAGGGGTTGGAGGAAGGCGCCCCCCTCCCCACAACTCCAAAGCCTCGCGGACGAGGCCCCCGCAGCCCCCTCCCGCCTCCTTCCCGCCCGCCCTCTGTGCGTGCTCAGAGGCACCCTCGCCTCGTCAGAGCGTCCGCCCTCGGTACCTGCAGCCGCCGCCGCCGCCGCAGCCATGGCCCGGGCGCTGCTCCTTCAGGCCCGCAGCATCCTCGCCCGGCCGGCCGCGGGAGACGGAAACAAAGGGAGGCGGAGAAAAGGCAGGAGCCGGGAAGGAGGCGGAGGAGGAGGAGAAAGGCGGCGGGGGGGGGGAGAGCGAAGGTGGGAAGAGAGAGTGAGGAAGGAGGAGAAGAAGGAGGAGGAGGAGAGGAAGGGAGGGAGGAGGAAGGTTAAGAAAGGAAGAAAAGAAGATGGAAGGGAGAGAGGGAGGAAGGAAGGAAGGAAGGAAGGAAGGAAGGAAGGAAGGAAGGATGGGAGCGAGGAGGAAGGGGAAGAAAGGAAGAAAAGAAGAAGGGAGACGGAGGAGGGAGGGAAGCAGAAGAGGAAGGAAGGAAAGAGGAGGGAGGGAGGGACGAAGGAAGGAAAGATGGGAGCGAGGAGGAAAGGGAAGAAAGGAAGAAAAGATGGATGGGAGGGAGGGAGGAAGGGAGAAGGCAGAAGAAGGAAGGAGGAGGGAAGGAAGGAAGGAAGGAAGGAAGGAAGGAAGGAAGGAAGGAAGGAAGGAAGGAAGGAAGGAAGGAAAGATGGGAGCGAGGAGGAAGGGGGAAAAGGAAGAAAAGAAGAAGGGAGGAGGGAGGGAAGCAGAAGAGAAAGGAAGGAAAGGGAAGGAAGGAAAGATGGATGGGAGGGAGGGAAGAAGGAAGGAAGGAAAAAAGGAGGGAAGGAATAAGTAAAGATGGAGGGAGGGCAAGAGGGAGGTAGGGCGGAAGGAAGGAAAAAGTAAGGGAGGAGGAAGAGATGAAAAAGAAAGGTAGGGAGGGAGGAAAGAAGGAGGGAAGTAAAGATGGAGGAAGGAAGGAAGGAAGGAAGGAAAAAGTAAGGAGGAGGAGGAGACAAAAAACACTGGAGGTCTTTAAGAAGAGACTGGACAATCATTTGTCTGGAATGGTATAGGTCTCCTGTTTGAGCAGGGGATTGGACTAGATGACCTCCAAAGTCCCTACCAACTCTCTTCTTCTTCTTCTTCTTCTTCTTCTTCTTCTTCTTCTTCTTCTTCTTCTTCTTCTTCTTCTTCTTCTTCTTCTCCTCCTCCTCCTCCTCCTCCTCTTCCTCCTCCTCTTCTTATTGTTATTGTTATCATTATTCATTATTATTCATTAGACATGAACCTCAGTCAACTGAATATTCAAATTGGCTGGCGCTGATAGTTGCTGCCAGCATCCTAGGTGTCAACCAGGTACCTCCTTAAAAAAATGTAAGATGTTCCGAGTAGTGCAGTTTTTTGTAGCATTGCTGGAGTTATTGCAGGAAGCTGCAGTTTTTTTATGTATTTTGCAAAATTTTTGGACATAGTTCCCAGTGCCCCAATGACAATGGGTATCACTTACATGTTTCATCCATAATTATGCAGTTTCAATGGCCAGGTTGCAATAACTGGTAATTTTTTCCAGTTATTATTATTATTGTTGTTGTTGTTGTTGTTGTTGTTGTTGTTGTTATTAACAACCGTCCTGCTTAGCCATGGCAACTCTGGTCACAAGCTGAGGACTTCCCTGCACAGGTGGTCCTCCACTTATGACCACAATTGAGCCCAAAATTTCTGTTGCTAAGCAAGACATTTGTTAAGTGAGTTTTGCCTCATTTTATGACCGCTATTGCCACCATTGTTAAGAGAATCACGGCTGTTGTTAAGTTAGTAACCCACTGGTTAAATGAATCTGGCTTCCCCATTGATTTTGCATGTCAGAAGGTCCCAAAAGGGGATCACATGATCCCCAGGACACTGAAACCGTCATAAATATGAGTCAGTTTGCCAAGTGTCTGAATTTTGATCACATGACTATTATGGGGATGCTGCAATGGTCGTAAGTGGGAAAAATGGTCATAAGTCACTTTTTCCAGTGCTGCTGTAACTTTGGTCACTAAATGGATTGCCGTAAGTCGAGGACCACCTGTATAGTCAAAGGAAGTTGGAGGCAGGAAGGAAATGAATTAATTTTTTCAGATTGCAGCAAAATTGTTAGGTGTTCTGAAAAGGTTGCAAGGTAGAATATGGCCACCAGAGGGCACTGCTTCCCCTGCTATATAACACTAGAATTAAACTTTTTATGCCAAGAACAGACGGGTTAAGAGGGGTCTCTGAGGTCATCCAGTCCAACCCCAGGCCTAAAGCAGAGCCACAACTGTAATGTAGAGCTCTCCAGCAAAATTGTGCCTTCCACTTTCTGGGGAAGCTGCTTCTTGTTGGAACAGCAATCATCCTCCAGATGTTTTTCCTGGTTTCCAAGAAAAAAAAGATCAGCCTGTTTGGAAAAAAATTTCATTAAAGAAAAAAAAATATGGAAAAAGGAGCAAAAGTAAACAACTTGGATAATCAAAGGGCTTCCAGAACAGGACTTATTTTCCAGTAGGTTAGAATATTTGAGGGTTGGTCGTTTTTAAAACATTTAAAACTGATTTAAATATTTATTTACAATCTTTTTTAAAAATATTTATTTTAAGCCGATAAAAAGAGGCAGAGGGAACTTGTGAGACTGCTGTCGGCTCAGGACTCCAAACCTAATGGCATGTGCTGGAGAATTCTGGGGATTGAAGTCCCCGCAACTTAAAGCTGCCAATGCTGAGAAACATTGGATTAGATCAGTGTTTCTCAACCTTGACAATTCTAAGGCATGTGGACTTCAACTCCCAGAATTCCACAGCCAGCAATGCTGGCTGTGGAATTCTGGGAGTTGAAGTCCACATGCCTTAAAATTGTCAAGGTTGAGAAACACTGGATTAGATTCATGAGACATAACCTTTTTTTTTTTCTAACTGCAGGTAATCCTTAAGTTATGACCACAACAGAGTCCAAAATTTCCCTTGCTAAGTGAGACATTTGTTGTGAATTTAGCCATTCTATTCTGTTCTGTTCTGTTCTGTCCTCTATTGCTATTCCATTCCATATTCTATTCTGTCCTGTCCTATCCTATCCTATATTGCTGTTCCATTCCATATTCTATTCTATTCTATTCTATTCTCTATTGCTATTCCATTCCATATCCTATACCAGTGGTGGTGAACCTGTGGCACTCGTGCCAGAGTCGACACTCAGAGCCCTCCCTGTGGGCACACACACCATGCCCTGGAGATGGCACTCTTCAATCAGCCACCCGCTAACTCACCGAACTCCCACGTGGCTGGATGCATCCCAGCATGGCTGTTTCCCTCCCCCCCCCCATCCCTTCTGGCCTCGCATGCTCTCCTTTTCCTGGGCACCACTCACTGCATCGCCTCCTCAGCTGTCGGCCGGCCGTCCAGCTCAGAGGCAGCTTCTCTGAACTGCTGGCAGCGGGCTGTGGAGCCCCAGAGTGTGCCAGTCAAAGGGCTGGCAGGCTGTAGCTGCTGATGGACACTGTCGTCCCCCCCCCCATGTACTCGCTGGCCTCTATGTGCGGAGGGCCGATGGTGTCAGGCAGCAACCGCCCCGGCCCCTGCCTCACCTTGCCCTGCGACAATGGCACTCCCGCCCTGCCTCGCCTCGCCTTGCCTCGCCTCACCCCCCAGGACAAGCCTCCTGCCCACCGCCCCACCTGCCAGACACCTCCTGGATCTCCTCCAACCCTGCTCGGCCCCCACAGGCGTCCCTCCCCACGAGCAACAGCGAGGTGACCATGCCCACCTTGCCCACACCCACCCAGTCTGCCGTGACCACAGCCATGCCCACCCAGTGGGCCACGCCCAGCTGGCACCCAGTGATAAATAAGTGGTTTTGGGTTGCAGTTTGGGCATTTGGTCTCTAAAAGGTTCGCCATCACTGTCCTATCCTAGCCTAGCCTAGCCTAGCCTAGCCGAGCCTCTATTGCTATACCATTCCATATTCTATTCTATTCTATTCTATTCTATTCTATTCTATTCTATTCTATTCTATTCTATTCTATTCTATTCCATTCCATATTCTATTCTATTCCATTCTATTCTATTCTATTCTATTCCATTCCATATTCTATTCTATTCTATTCTATTCTATTCTATTCTATTCTATTCTATTCTATTCCATTCCATTCCATTCCATTCCATATTCTATTCTATTCTATTCTATTCTATTCTATTCTATTCTATTCTATTCTATTCTATTCTATTCTATAACATTCCATTCTATATTCTGTTCTATTCTATTCTGTTCTATTCTATTCCATTCCATTCCATTCCATTCCATTCCATTCCATTCCATATTCTATTCTATTCTATTCTATTCTATTCTATTCTATTCTATTCTATTCTATTCTATTCTATTCCATTCCATTCCATTCCATTCCATTCCATTCCATTCCATTCCATTCTATTCTATTCTATTCTATTCTATTCTATTCTATTCTATAGAAATTTCCTCACAGTGAGAACAATTAACCAGTGGAACAACCTGCCTCCAGACGTTGTGGGTGCTCCAACACTAGAGGTTTTTAAGAAGAGACTGGACAGCCATTTGTCTGAAATGGGATAGGGTCTCCTGCTTGAATAGGGGGTTGGTCTAGATCAGGGGTTCTTAACCTTTTTGAACGAATCGCCCCCTTGAACCAATGAGGAAGTTGTCATTGCCCCCCCTCCCCCAACACAACCTCTCAGTCACAACATAGGAAATAATTCTTCAATTTATGCAAACACTTTTTTTGTTTTCTTTAAAATTGTCATCAGGACATATCACTGCAAATAATTTATTTCCAGTCTTTTTCCCATATCTCCCATATTCTGGCCAATGGCGCGCCACTGTATGGGTAGGGGCTGCTGCGCAACGCGCATGAAGATAAGCGATGCGTATTCACATATGTTCTGTACTGAAGCTAGCTGGAGGAACATTTGAAAACACAATTCAATCCACTAATAGCGAGCGATCTGATGTTTTTGTACGACAGATATGCCGCGATTCGCTGTACGAAAAAGTCTCAAAAGTATCCCCAAAACTTCTCGCTCCATCGCCCCCATATCGCCCCTTTTTCGTTCCTTCACCCCCTCATCGCCCCTTTTTCGTTCCATCGCCCCCCTGAAAAATGAAATCGCCCCCTGGGGGGCAATATCGCCCAGGTTAAGAACCACTGGTCTAGATGACCTCCAAGCGCCCTTCCAGTTCTGTTATTCCATTTTACTAAATAAATGGTTGTGAGGATGAGCTGTATGCGCAAAGACTCTGGACTCCTTTAAAGACAAACAGAGGTGGAAAAAAAACAGCTACATCTGCAGCCATTCTCTCCTGCCGCTGTTGCATACACAGCCTCTTCCCCGTCAGCTTTTTTTTTTCTTTAAACAAAGAATAATATTGATTGAAGTTACAAAGGGCACAGCTCCTGGCATGCGGAAAGACAAATAACAGATCGAGGGTGGTGATTTACCAAAAAAAAAAAACCTCCAAAAAGAAGTTTACCTTTCTAGGTTTACGAGCCAGCTAGGAAAGGATGGGCCTGCCTTGTTTTCTGGAAAAATAAACGAGATATTCCAGTTCAAAAAAGAATTGCTGCCAATTTGGGCAGGTTGCTTTTCTCTTAAAGGGAGAAAGAGAGAGATGGGAAGTTTCGCTTTAATTCATGCAGAAGAATTGACCTACTTTCGCTTCAGATAATTTTAGATATTATTAGATTAGACTCTGTTATCCGGTACTGATTTTCAAACACATTTCAACTTTTGTTTCTCTTTAGAACAGTGGTTCTCAACCTGTGGGTCGGGACCCCATTTGGGGTCGAACGACCATTTCACGGGGGTCGCCAAACAATGCAGTCCGCCATTTTTTCCCCCTTTTCCTTAGCTGTGCTACTCCCTTTTATTCTATTGGCTTTTGAAAGCCAATAGAATAGACTCTCTTGAATAGAGTCTAATTCTATTGGCTTTCAAAAGCCAATAGGAATTGTCCAGGCTGTCTCTGCCCTGCTGAGCCCGCCAAAAGTCCCATTCTGCAAACGGTGCTGCACCAGTTGAGTAGTCCTCGACCTACGACCGGTTGAGTAGTCCTCGACTTGGGGGTCACGGCATTAAAAAGGTTGAGAACCACTGCTTTAGAAAGTAGATTCGGATGTAGCGGTAGGACTTGAAAATGAACGAAAAACAGCCCCCCCCCAACTCTCATTTTAGGTGTGTATGAACAGAAGGATAATAATAATAATAACAACAACAACAACGTTGGAAGGGACCTTGGCGGTCATCTAGTCCAACCCCCTGCTTAGGCAGGAAATCCTACACCATTTCGGACAAATGGCTGTCCAATCTCTTCTTAAAAACTTCCAGTGTTGGAGCATTTACTGCTTCTGGAGGCAAGGAGTTCCACTGATTAATTGTTCTCACTGTCAGGAAGTTTCTCCTTAGTTCTAGGTTGCTTCTCTCCTTGATTAGTTTCCATCCGTTGCTTCTTCTCCTGCCTTCACAATCTGAAGATTAGTGTAATGTTTGGGTTCACCTGTTGACTGTTTCTTTTTCTACAAATAGCCCTCAACTTACAACAATTCATTTAGTGACCGCTCAAAGTCACAGAGGCACTGAAAAAAAGGGACTTATGACCATCTTTCACATTTACAACCGTAGCAGCATCCCCCGTGTTCACATGATCAACTGCTTCATATTTATGACGGTCGCAGCGTCCTGGGGTCACGTGATCCTGTTTTTGCGACCTTCAGGCAAGCCAAGTCAATGGGGGAAGGCAGATTCACTTAACAACCTTGTCATTAACTTAACAACTGCAGTGTTTCACTTAACAGTCATCTGGTAGGGTGTCTTAATTTTGAATCCAGGTCATAAGTAGCTCTGGGGCGGTCCATTGTAACTTCGGTCGCAACACAGTCGTAAATCGAGGAGTGCCTTTATCTCTCTCTCTCTCCTCCCCAACTTTCTACCCCCAACTTTTTTTCTTTCCTCTCCCTCTCTCTCTCTTTCTCTCTCTTTTTTTCTCTCTCTCTTTCCTCTCTCTCTTTTTTCTTTTTCCTCTCTCTCTTTCCTCTCTTTTTTTCTCTTTCCTCTCTCTCTCTCTCTGTCTTTCCTCTCTTTTTCTCTCTCTTTCCTCTCCCCCTCTCTTTTTTTCTCTTTCCCCCTCTCTCTCTGTCTTTCCTCTCTCTTTTTCTCTTTCCTCTCCCCCTCTCTTTCTCTTTCCTCCCTCTCTCTTTCCTCCCTCTCTCTCTCTGTCTTTCCTCTCTCTTTTTCTCTCTTTCCTCTCTCCCTCTTTTTTCTTTCTCTCTTCTCCCTCTCTCTTTTTTCTCTTTCCTCTCTCTTTCTCTTTCATCTCTCTCTTCTCCCTCTCTCCTCTCCCTCTTTCCTCTCCCTCTCTCTTTTTCTCTTTCCTCTCTCTCTCTTCTCCCTCTCTCTTTCCTCTCTCTATCTATCTGCCTCTTTTTTCTCTTTCCTCTCTCTCTTCTCCCCCCCTCTCCCTCTCTCTCTTATTTCTCTTTCCTCTCTCTCTCTCTCTCTCTCTCTCTGTCTGCCTCTCTTTTTTTCTCTTTCCTCTCTCTCTTCTCCCTCTCTCTCTCTCTCTCCCCCTCTCCCTCCCTCCCTCTCTCTCTCTCTCTCTCTCTCTCTCTCTGTCTCTGTCTACTGGAGCTCAGCCTGAGGACCAGCTACAGGCTGGTTTCGAACTCTGTCCAGGAGTTCAAACCTCGCCCCCACCCCTGCTTTGCCAAAATCACCCAAAGAGGCTTCTTGAAAGAAAGCTTTCTGCACGTTCTCGGGAAAACCCTGCTCCTCTTCTCCCCTTTCTTCTCCTCCATTTGGAAAACCGAATGCAGCCAGATATGAATCGCCACAGCTGGCTGAGACCAACTGGCCAGGCTAAGTGAATTGTCTACCTCCTCGGAACAAAAGCCAGCCACTTTCTTTCTTTCTTTCTTTCTTTCTTTCTTTCTTTCTTTCTTTCTTTCTTTCTTTCTTTCTTTCTTTCTTTCTTTCTTTCTTTCTTTCTTTCTTCCTTCCTTCCTCCCTCCCTCCCTCCTTCCCTCCTTTCTTCCTTCCTTCCTTCCTTCTTGTGAACTCAAGCATGGAAGAACCCGCTGGGAAAAAAACCTCCGGGGGGGGGGGGCTTCCGCTGTCCAAGGTGCAGACCGACCGAGGACACTAGCCGAGGGGACGGCCCCGGGGAAATTACAGGTGGCTGCCAACCTGGGGTGGGGTGGGGGGGGGGAAATAAAAAAAAAATCAGTGCGGCTGAATTTATTACATTTTTGCTTCCTGGTGCAGATTCCTTAACTCTGCAGAGCCGAGAGAGAAGCAGAGAAAGTCCTTCCTTCCTTCGCTGGATTCGCGGGGCCAGAGTGGCAGGAAGCGATGGCCGCACCGCGCCAGTGGTCAGCCAAAGCCAAGGCCACCCCTGTTCTGCCCCCCCATTACTACGAGGGCTTCCTGGAGAAAAAAAACTCATGGGACCAGGTATGTTTCTCTGGGCTGCTTTAGGAAGAAGAGCCAAAGAGCGTGGGGAAAAAAAAAAAACAGAACTGGGGCTAAGCTGGGCACATCTGGGGGAGGGAAATACAGCTGTTCTTTCCCCCCCACTTCCATAGATAAGGGCAGGGTCTGAATTTTATTTTATTTTTATTTTTTTGTAAAAATTTGTATTTTCAACTTTACAATACATAACCATCTTACAAATACTTCAGATAAAAAAATAAAACAAATTTATTTATTTATTTAATTTATTTATATGCCGCCCAATCCCAAAGGACTCAGGGCGGCGTACAAAATTAAAACAATCATCAACAAAACAATAAAATAATACAATCATACAGCATGTCCGATCATATCCCGCCCCCCCCCCCGGGGACATCAGCCCCAGGCCTGCCGGAACAGGAGAGTTTTAACGGCTTTCTTAAAGGCCGGCAGGGTGGGAGTAGTTCGAACCTCGGGGGGAAGTTGATTCCACCAGGTCGGAGCCACCACAGAAAAGGCCCTTCCCCGAGGGCCCGCCAGCCGACACGGTCTGGCCGACGGGACCCGAAGGAGGCCCAATCTGTGGGACCTCACCGGTCTGTGGGAACTGTGCGGCAGAATGCAGTCCTGTAAGTAACCTGGCCCTATGCCATGAAGGGCTTTAAAGGTGATAACCAACACCTTGAATTGCGTCCGGAGACGTAATTGATACACACATTTGTTCTTGCCTGCCCATTTCCCTGCAAACAGCATCCCACCTCAAACCAACTTGCTTCTTTCCCTCTTTTTCTTCACTCACCCTCTCTCCTCCTTCACCTCCACCTTCCTACTTACTTCTCACCTTCTTCTCCTCCCTCTTGATGCGGTCCAGGGGAAATGCCTGAGCAGTTCCTCTCTCAAAATTAAAACATTAATATTATATACAATAAGACTATTTCTACTTTATCTGAACTACTTAAACTTCAACTCATCCACCAATCTTTTTTATTAATTTTTTTTCCCATCAACGTATGTTAATTTTTCCAATCAACAAGTTGTGGGGAGTTTGCTAAGCTAATACATGTTCACTTCCTAATCCTTCATTCTTTTCTCTACCCAAGAATAAAATAAGTTCCAAATTTTATAATAGTCCGTTTTCTCGTTGTCTTTCAGCCTCATAGTTAGTCTGTTCATCTCTGCACATTCCAATATTTTCGTGATTATTTCTTCTTCTGGTGGCAATCCTGCATTCTTCCAGCACTGTGCAAAAATTGTTCTATAAATTAACAATGTTAACTTCATACAAAGAAAATCTGTATAAAACGTTTTATAGATGGCACCTTCCGCCAGCAAGATTAGCAAAAAATGTTTAAAAATATGTCAGCTAGATGTTGGAAATGTAAACATAACATAGGCACGTATTATCATATTTGGTGGACATGTGGGAAGGCAAAGGCCTATTGGAAAAGCATACATATGTGGTTAGAAAAAATATTGGGCGAACAAGTGGATTTTAAACCTGAACTTTTCTTTTACTAGGCATTATGTCTGAAAAGATTAATGAGCAGAAATTATATTTAATTCTACATATTACCACAGCAGCAGGGTCTGAATTTTAATTGGGGAGGGGGCTATCAAACAGCCTGGTTTGGTTTATCAGGAAGTGTAAGGGTCTGTGAGAAAGATAGAATGAACAAATACTGTATATTCTTGCTTTGACAAAAGGTCTGAAGGGATCTTGGAGGTCTTCTAGTCCAACCCCCTTTGAGAGACGGATGATGTATTGATTCCTAGGAACGGGCAGACAAGAGGCGGCGTAGCCCTCAGCTGTACAGTTAGTCCTCGGCTGACGACCGTTCGTTTAGTGACTGCTCGAAGCTACAACGTGACTCATGATCCTGTTCCACACTTAACGACGGTTGTAGCCTCCTTGTGGTCACGTGACTTACGTTCGGACGCTTGGCCACTGGTTCCTATTTAGGATGGCCGCAGCGTCCCCGGGGGGGGGTCACGCGATCCCTTTTGGGCGACTTTCTGACAAGCAAATTCAGTGGAAGTAGCCAAGTTCCCTTCACAACCAGGTTACTAACAGCTGCTGCAGTTTGCTGAACAACGATGGCGAGAAAGGTCATAAAACGGGGCTAGGCCCCACTGAATAAAGTTGTCGCTTGGCGACATACATGCTGGGCTCAGTTGCGGTCGTACGTCAAGGACTACCCGTGTAAAAGGATGGAGAAAGAGAATCGGGAGGGACCCTCCATAGTTCCTCAGGCTGTAAAAGGGGGGGGATACATTCTAGCTAGGGCAGCGGTTCTCAACCTATGGGTCGCGACCCCATTTGGGGTCGATTGACCATTTCACGGGGGTCGCCAAGCAAGGCTGTCCGCCATTTTTTTCCCCCTTTTCCGGCGGGTGCCTTACCTCCCTTGGGCTGGGCCAGCTGGTGGCCCAGCCGGTGGTCGGCCTGCTCCGTCTCTGCCGCTTGCCAGCTACGCCTCGGCCAGTGCAGGGGGCGGCATCACGCATGCGCAGCGCTCCCGGGCAGGGAAAGTCCTCGACTTACGACCGGTTTAGTCCTCGACTTACGACCGGTTAAGGGTCGCAGCATTAAAAAGGTTGAGAACCACTGAGCTAGGGAATAGTCAGATAAGAGGCCGCCTAGCCCTAGCCTGGCCCACTTCACAAGGTTGTTGTAAGGAACTTTGAGCCAATAATAAATAAATAAATAAATAAACTTTGAGCCAATCACCAGGAGACAGTGAGTTCTAGTTCCGTTTCAGGCATAAAGCCGGTTGGGTAACTTTGGGCCAGTCACCCTGTGAGGGTGAGTTCTAATCCCGCCTTAGGGTGACCTTGGGCCAATCTCTTTCTCTCTTTCTCTTTCTCTTTCTCTCTCCCCCTCCCCAACGGTCGTACAGATGGAAAACGGTCATAAGTCACTTTTTTCAGTGCCGTTGTTACTTTGACTGGTCTCTAAATGAACCGTTGTAACTTGAGGACTACCTGTATTAATTCAGCATTGACAGGGGCTGTCCGTTTACTCCTGGGTGGTGGGCTTCAGGGGCCAGAATGAGGCAAGGGAAAATGGCTCTTGTGGAAAGTATTAGAAAATAAAACATGAACACAAAATATGGAACATTTTCTCTGTGGAAATCTCAGAAGGGGCAAAAAAAAAATGTCCAACTTAGCTGTATCCGTCAGTTGTTGACTGAAGTGGGGGGGGGGGAAAAAGTCAAGATGGCGGACGGGACTGTGGGATCGAAGCCTCCCCTTTTCCCAAATAATCTCATTTAATCATTCCTCTGTTCCCTTTTATTTTTATAGGATTATAAGAAATACTGGGCCGGTCTTTGGGGCTCAACTCTATATTTCTATCAGACCAGCAGAGAAAGTCAGGTAAGTTCAGTGTGTGGTATTGTGTGGTGTGCAAAGCACAGCGAAGCGTTCAACACTCGTTAAGTGGGGCCTTCCAAATTTTGTGCTAGTGTAAATGGGGCCAGTACGGAAAAACATGTTCCCCTTTGGGTGACATCAGATCTCGACTTATTAGACATAATAGTATAGAAGAGAACAGAACAGAGGCACCCACAACTTCTGGTGGCCAGCTGTTCCACTGGTTAATTGTCCTCACTGTTAGGAGAAACATCCTAACAGTGAGGACAATTCATCAGTAGAACAGCTGGCCACCAGAAGTTGTGGGTGCTCCAACACTGGGTTTTTTAAAAAAGAGACAGGACAGCCACTTGTCTGAAATGGCATAGGGTCTCCTGCTTGAGTAGGGGGCTGGATTAGAACAGGTGTCCCCACCCCCGGTTTGTGGACTGGCACTGGGCCGCAGCATGCCAGCAACTAGGCCACACAAACAAGCGAAACCCCATCCATGGGATGTAGGCAGCACATGAAACCACACACCCCACTCCAGTCCGTGAAAAAATCTTTCTCCACAGAACTGGTCCCCAGTGTCCAAAAGGTTGGGGGCCTCTGGACTAGAATACCTTCAAGGTCCCTTCCAGTTCTATTCTTATTGAGAATAGAATAGAATAGAATAGAATAGAATAGAATAGAATAGAATAGAATAGAATAGAATAGAATAGAATAGAATAGAATAGAATAACAAAATAATAATAGAACAGACTAGAATGCAATGGAATGCAATAGAATAGAATAGAATAGAATAGAATAGAATAGAATAGAATAGAATAGAATGGAATGGAATGGAATGGAATAGAATAGAGTAGAATAACAAAATAATAATAGAATAGAATAGAATTACAAAATAATAATAGAATACAATGCAATGCAATGCAATAGAATAGAATAGAATAGAATAGAATAGAATAACAAAATAATAACAAAATAGAATAGAATTACAAAATAATAGAATAGAATGCAATGCAATGGAATAGAATAGAATAGAATAACAAAATAATAATGGAATAGAATAGAATAGAATAGAATAGAATAGAATAGAATAGAATAGAATAGAATAGAATAGAATAACAAAATAATAATAGAATAGAACAGAATAGAGTAGAATAACTTTACTGTCACTTTAAATGTACACTAATCAGCATACATTAAAATGAAATTTCATCGCATTCAGCTCTCCAAGGGTCACTACCTTCAATATACACTCCATAAATCTGACAAAAGATTATTTATGGGTAGATTTGATCCGTCTATACCTCACTTTTTTCAAGAGAGTCCACACATACAAACTCCCCCTAGTTTACAACAACCCTGTGAGGTAGGCTGGTCAGGAAAAGAGGACGGGGTGAAGTAACCCAGTGAATTGTGGGATCCAGTGGGAACTCGAACCCAGAACGTCCAACCTCTGCAACCTCATCCCTAAACTTTATTTATCAATTTTATTTTTGATAAATTGCAAAATAAATTGTTTATCAATTTATACAGGTAGTTCTTGATTTAACATCATAATTGAGCCCCAAATTTCTGTTGCTAAGAGAGATAGTTGCTAAGTGAGTTTTGCCTCATTTTACGACCTTTCCTGCCACAGTTCTTAAGTGAATCACTGCAATTCTTAAGTTAGTAACACGGTTGTTAAGTGAATCTGGCTTCCCCATTGACTTTGCTTGTCAGAAAAGTCGCAAAAGGGGATCACATGATCCCGGGACGCTGCAACCGTCATAAATATGAGTCAGTTGCCAAGTGTCCGAATTTTGATCACGTGACCGTAGGGAATGTTGCAACGGTCCTAAGTGTGAGAAAAAGCAGTCACTTTTTTTTAGTACCATTGTAACGGTCACTAAATGAACTGCTGTAAGTCAAGGACTAGCTGTACTTAGATCTAACTAACTTGTTGAATATTTTTCTCACAAGTGTGGAATGGATTTCTGTCTATTCCTTTTATTCACTGATGATACATTTTGATTGACCGACATTTTAGCGATACATGAAGTCGCTCCAGATAAATTAAGCAGAAGGCTAAAGAATCGAATAGATTTGGGGCCATTAGATTAGTGGTCGATTATTTCCTTTCCACGGCCCTGGATTCAAATCCTCTGCACCTCTAGCTAAAAAAGAGGAATCACATATATATAAGATTTTCCTTTGTTTGAATTTTGGAAAAAGTTGTTGGGCCACAGGATAAAACATTTAATTGGGCATATAGTCAGCAGCCTATATTTCTAAAAAGGACTAGAGGGAATGTAACCAAGAAAGAAGTCAGTCTGCCACGGCAGCTGACTGGAATAAACCGCAACCTTGAGGACTAGAAGCTTGGAAACTGGACTTTTACTAGTAATAATAATAATAATAATAATAATAATAATAATAATAATAATAATAATAATAATAATAATAATAATAAAGTTGGAAGGGACCTTGGAGGTCATCAAGCCCAACCTCCTGCTCAGGCAGGTAACCCTATACCATTTTGGACAAATGGCTGTCCATTCTCTTCTTAAAAACTTCCAGTGTTGGAGCATTCACCGCTTCTGGAGGCAGGTTGTTCCACTGGTTAATTGTTCTAACTGTCAGGAAGTTTCTCCTTAGTTCTAGGTTGCTTCTCTCCCTGATTAGTTTCCACCCGTTGCTTCTTGTCCTGCCTTCAGGGGTTTTGGAGAATAGCTTGACTCCCTCTTCTTTGGGGCAGCCCCTGAGATATTGGAAAACTGCTATCATGTCCCCCCTGGTCCTTCTCTTCATTAAACTAGACATACCCAATTCCATCAACTTTCCCTTATATGTTTTAACCTCCAGTCCCCTAATCATCTTTGTTGCTCTTTGTTTTCATTCTTCTTCACCTCCAGTATATAGAGAAAGTTGATCTGACTGACTTGGTCTCCCTGAATGAAGACAATTGTCCAAGAACTGTGAGTCCCATGTCTACAGAAAAACCAGGATTGACTCTGAAGATGAGAAACCAGGAAGTAAAGTTGAGGGTAACGTATTTCCTTTCGTTACAAAGGGATTTTCCACCCATGAGCTGTTCTTGAAATATAAAAAGTTGTGCACATGGGTGTGATGTGATTAAGCAAGGTAAAGTATGCTAGAACTAAGGTACAAAATCTTTCAAAATTATATAATCTTCTGATTTTTTTTTTAATTTTACTTTAAATCCGGGTCCATATTTGTGTCCTGCTGGAAAAAGATCTGATTAATCTAGAACAGGGGTTTCCAAACTTGGCCACTTTAAGACTTCGTGGATTTCAACTCCCAGAATTCCTCAGCTAGCCACGCTGGTTTGGGAATTCTGGGACTTGAAATCCAAAAGTCTTAAAGTGGCCAAGTTTGGAGACCTCGGATCTAGAATCTAAATTACAACGAAACAAAATTAATTATAGAATTTTGGGGGCTCCATCACTGGAAGGTCTTCAGCTAAGATTGGACATCCATTTTGTCTGAGATAGTCTGAGGAGTCCCGTGTGGGCTGGGGGCTGAACTAGATAGGTCCCTTTATAACTCTATGGCTCTTAATTCCATGATCTCCAAGGTGTCTTCCAACCGTGTGACTCTATGATTCCATGACCTCCAGGGTTGCTTCCAAACCTGTGACTCTGTGATTCCAAGATGTCCAAGGTCCATTTCAGTCCTGTGACTGTATGATTCCATGACCTTCAAGTTTGCATCCAAACTTATGACCCCATGATTCCACAACCACCTTTGCAACTCCATGACTCCATGATTTCCATGACCTCCAACGTCCCTTCCATCCCTGTCACTCTGTGATTCCATGAGCACCCTTACAACCCCATTCCTCCATGATTCCATGACCTCCAAGGTCCCTTCCATCCCTGTGACTCTGATTCCACGAGCATCCTTACAACCCCATTCCTCCATGATTCCATGACCTCCAAGGTCCCTTCCATCCCTGTGACTCTATGATTCCACAACTGCCCTTACAACCCCATTTCTCCGTGATTCCATGACCTCCAAGGTCCCTTCCATCCCTGTGACTCTATGATTCCATGAGCACCCTTACAACCCCATTCCTCCATGATTCCATGACCTCCAAGGTCCCTTCCATCCCTGTGACTCTATGATTCCACAACCACCCTTACAACCACATTTCTCCGTGATTCCATGACCTCCAAGGTCCCTTCCATCCCTGTGACTCTATGATTCCACAACCACCCTTACAACCACATTTCTCCGTGATTCCATGACCTCCAAGGTCCCTTCCATCCCTGTGACTCTATGATTCCACAATACTAAACTTTTCCTAATTCTTGCCTCACACGGACTTTGTTTTTTCCTTTACAGATGGAAAACCTGGAACAACAGGAAATGTGGAAAGGTTTTATACTCACAGTGGTGGAGGTAGGGGGTCATTTATTCTCTGCCAGCCTTCTTAAACAATAAGAATGTCTTGCAAATTATTTATTTTAAATTGCAAATTATTTATTTTAAATAACCAGCGTGGCAGGGCACCAACGCTTAAAATTGAACGGGAAGACAAACCTCCACGGGTCATAGGATCAAAATTTGGACGCTTGGCACAAAAAGAAAGCTAGATTTAAAAAATGGGATTCTCTTTCTCTTCCTTTTTTTCTCTCTTTTTTTTGTTGACTGATAATGGAAGAGCTTAAAATCTTACTTAATGGGCCAAAGAGATCTTTAAAGATACTGATTGATTTAATATTTAGGACTTAGATTTATAAGGGAAATGAAAATTAGCTATTATATTATAGTTTTGAATTGCAAACGGAAGTTGGTTTGTGACAATCAAAGATTTTTTTTTCCTTTTTTTTATTTTAGACCAACAAAACAAAACAAAGCACAACAAACATTACACACATACACACGTAATATATCCTTTTTTGTTAACAGCAATTTGTAACAGTACTCTTCTATTCTTTACATTTCCCCCCTCTTTCTGACAATCAAAGATATTTTATTAGTAAATGATGAGGTACTAGGACAGTGCTTCTCAACCTGTGGGTCGGGACCCCATTTGGGGTCGAACGACCATTTCACGGGGGTGGCCAAACAAGGCTGTCAGTCATTTTCCCCCCTTTTCTTTGGCCACGCCCCTGGCACCCGGTGATGTATAAGTGGTTGGGGGTCACCACAACATGGGGAACTATATTATGGGGTCGCGGCATTAGAAAGGTTGAGAACCACTGTACTAGGATGAGAAATAGACCATACTTGTGAAATAAAGTAAGAATGTAATTAACTGAACCATATGTGTATTTTAGATAACGATAACTATTTTGTAATGAAATAAGGAAAATTTGGGTTATCCGAAGTCTAAATATTATGGATATTAAAGGCTAAATTGGAACACGGTAATTGAAATTAGGTAAAACTTAAAAAACAGGACTTGGATATGTATAAGTAAAATTATATTGACAAATGTATTGATTGATTGAGCTACAATTACAAATGTATTAACTTGAATGTGATATAATAACTAAGGGAAATAGAGAGGGAACTTTTAATGAGATACGTACAAAAGACTTTGTTACTGGACTATTGATTACCCAATCACCACGCTACTTCCTAAACATTTGGATGTAAAATTGAAAAATTAGTAAAACTTGTTTGGAAAAAAAAAATTGGACGCTTGGGGACTGACTCACATTTGCAACGGTCACAGCATCCCGGGGGGGGGGTTCCTGTGTTCCCCTTTTCCGACCTTCCGACAAGCAGAGTCAATGTGGGAAGCCAGATTCACTTAACAACGGGGGACTCACTTAACAACTGTGGTGAGAAAGATTGCAAAATGGGGCAAAACTCACTTAAAAAACCTCTAAGCAACACAGGTTTGGGGCTTGATTGTGGTCATAAGCTGAGGACTACTTGCTAATCACGCGACTTTCCTTCGAAACTAAATAGCCCCGGAACAAGCGTGAAGGTGATTTATAAATGTTTTCTAGAGCAGGGCTTTTCAACCTTTTCACCCATTGTACCACTTTTAGGATATGGCAACATCCGAGTACCACCAGTCGCCTAGCAAGGTGTCAAAAACTTGATGACCCCCCCCAAAAAAAGGAAAAAAGTGATAAGGTACAGGTAGTCCTCGACTTACAACAATTCGCTTAATGACTGCTCAAAGTTACAATGGCACTGAAAAAAAGTGCCCCCCAAGCCACAGCCGAGCAAGACACCTGCCTGCCTGCCCACCTGCGCTCTTCCTCCTGTCCGAGGTTTTCATTGTTGTGAGAATTTCTGCTGAGGATTAGCAACGGGGTGGGGTGGGGGGGTGTTTGGTTTTTATTCTCCCCCGTCTGCTGGGGGTTGCAGCAGGTTTTGGTCACTTCACATGACCCTGGGACACTGTGACCGTCATAAATATGAATCGGTTGCCAGGCTTCTGAATGTAAATCACAAGACCCTGGAGAGGCTGCAACATTCCAGCTGATCGGCGCTTCTTCTGGGCTCAGCAGAAGCACCAGGATCAGCGCCGAGCTCCAGCTGGAGCCTGGCACTGATCCTGGCGCTTCTGCTGAGCCCTGACAGCCCTGCAGCTCCAGCCGTCTCTCGCTCAGGCTTGTGCAGTGCTGCCACCGGTTCAGCTCATTCCCCTCCCTGCTACCCCTTTGCTAGGAAGGCCGCGTACCACCTGCCAGGTGCCAATGTACCACAGGTGGTACCCGTACCACTGGTTGAAAAGCCTTGTTCTAAAACATACATTTGACGTTGGGCACCAGCTCAGCCTCTCTTTTGCTGTCCTTAGCTGAGGATCCCGCCGTCTGTCTCTTTGCTGCCCGGACACCTCTACAGGTTGTCTGAAGCCTTGGAGAAGGAGAAAGAGAGGCGATGCAACTTGTGTGCGAATGTCGAAAGGGAAGAGAAACTGCCCAAGTGAGTAGGGTTGCGTGCTGCTTGCTGTGCTTGTTTCCATCTGTTGTGATGAAAATCGGAAGTGGTTTTTACTGATCCCTTTCAAAAAAACCGTTTACGTTGTGAATGACATTACAGTCACTTCAAGCCAAGTTTGGTGTAGTGGTGAAGGGACCAGCCTAGAAACCAGGAGATGGTGAGTTCTAGTTCCGTCTTAGGTATGAAAGCCAACTGGGTGACTTTTGGACCATTCACCAGGAGACTGGGAGTTGTAGTCCCGCCTTAGGTGTGAAAGCCAACTGGGTGACTTTTGGACCATTCACTAGGAAACTGGGAGTTGTAGTCCCGCCTTAGGTATGAAAGCCAACTGGGTGACTTTGGGGTCAATCACCAGGAGACTGGGAGTTGTAGTCCCACCTTAGGTATGAAAGCCAACTGGGTGACATTGGGCCATTCACCAGGAGACTGGGAGTTGTAGTCCCACCTTAGGTATGAAAGCCAACTGGGTGACATTGGGCCATTCACCAGGAGACTGGGAGTTGTAGTCCCGCCTTAGGTGTGAAAGCCAACTGGGTGACATTGGGCCATTCACCAGGAGACTGGGAGTTGTAGTCCCGCCTTAGGTGTGAAAGCCAACTGGGTGACATTGGGCCATTCACCAGGAGACTGGGAGTTGTAGTCCCACCTTAGGTATGAAAGCCAACTGGGTGACTTTGGGGTCAATCACCAGGAGACTGGGAGTTGTAGTCCCGCCTTAGGTATGAAAGCCAACTGGGTGACTTTGGGGTCAATCACCAGGAGACTGGGAGTTGTAGTCCCGCCTTAGGTATGAAAGCCAACTGGGTGACATTGGGCCATTCACCAGGAGACTGGGAGTTGTAGTCCCACCTTAGGTATGAAAGCCAACTGGGTGACATTGGGCCATTCACCAGGAGACTGGGAGTTGTAGTCCTGCCTTAGGCATAAAGGCCAACTGGGTGATTTTGGCCCATTGACCAGAAGACTGGGAATTCTAGTCCCGCCTTTGGCATAAAAGCTGTCTGGTGACTTGGGCCAATCACCAGGAGACAGTGAGTTCTAGTCCTGCCTTAGTTCTGAAAGCTGGCTGGGTGACGTTAGGCCAGCCCATCTCACAGGATCGTTGTTATTGTAGGGAAAAAAGGAAGAGGAAGTTGGATGTGTTTGCTACCTTGAGTTATTTATAAAATAATAAAGACAGGATCAAAATCTAATAAATAAATAAATATGAGAATGAGCAGATAGGGGAGGTCTGGAGTCGAGTGCTTGTCATTGACCAACAGTGTTGCACGCTCTTAAGGTTCTGCTTTTCTTTCTTTCTTTCTTTCTTTCTTTCTTTCTTTCTTTCTTTCTTTCTTTCTTTCTTTCTTCCTTTCTTTCTTTCTTTCCTTTCTCTTTCCTTCCTTTCCTTCTTTTCCTTTCCTTTCTTTTCCTATCCTCTCCTTTCCTCTTCTCCATCTTCCATCCCATCCCATCCATCCCTTCCCTCTTCCTTTCCTTCCCTCTTCCTTCCCTCTCCTTTTCTTTCCTTTCCTTCCCTTCCCTCTCCTCTCCTTTTCCTCCCTCCCTCCTTCTTTCCTCCCTCTCTCCCTCTTTCCTTTCCTCTCCTCTTCTCCATCTTCCATCCCATCCATCCCTTCCCTCTTCCTTTCCTTTCCTTTCCTTTCCTTCCCTCTTCCTTTCCTTTCCTTTCTTTTCCTTTCCTTTCATTTCCTCTCCTCTCCTCTTCTCCATCTTCCATCCTATCTCATCCATCCCTTCCCTTTCCTCTCCTTTTCTTCCCTCCCTCCTTTCCTTTCCTCTCCTCTCCTCTCCTCTCCTCCTCTCCTCTCCTCCATCTTCCATCTCATCCCATCCATCCCTTCTCTCTTCCTTTCCTTTCCTTTCTCTTTCTCTTTCTCTTTCTCTTTCTCTTTCTCTCTTTTCTTTCCTTTCTCTCCCAGCTGTTTCTTCAGGGTCTCCAGACTGGAGGCAGTGGAGCTTCTGGAGCAGAACGAAAATTATGGGAACATGTTGCTACGTCCTGGACAAGATGGGAAGAGTTTCTCGTTGACCATTCGGCAGAAGGCGAACGGGTGAGTTAGCCGGGCAAGAGCTCGGCTTACAAGGCGGGCCTTTCCTCCTTTCAAGATCCAGTGACAGGTAGTCCTCGGTTTACGACCACAGTTGAGCCCCAAATTTCCGTTGCTCAGCGAGACAGTTGTTAAGGGAGCTTTGCCCCCTTTTATGACCTTTATGGCCACCGTTGTTAAGTGGAATCGCTGCAGCAGTTCAGTATAGCAACAGGGTTGTTAAGTGAATCTGGCTTCCCCCGTTGACTTTGCTTGCTAGAAGGTCGCAAAAGGAGATCACGTGACTGCTTAAGGTAGACTGCGCTGGAAGATGGAGTCTCAACATATGTCACTTTTTTTTTTCAGCGTTCTTATAACTCCAGGCACTGAATGAACATTTTGTAAGTCGAGAATGACCTGTATGGAAGTATTTTTCCCTCCCCCCTTTTTTACACTGAAAACTAGGGAGGGTTTGAAATATTTCCCTTGCCCCCCCCCCTTTCCTTCTGTGGGCTGAGAAACCTTGGTTAAATTGGAATATTGATGAGAAACTAAAAGATTGGGTAAAAATTAATAACAGGGTATGGATTGTCTATAAAGATTGAATGTAATTAAGACACGCATTAGCTAAACATTGATTGATAAATGCAATAATTATGCCCTTATTGAACTGATATAATTAGAAATGTATCCAACCTGAACATGAGACAGTGATTGTTAAGGGGAAAAGAGAAGAAATATCTGATGTTGTAACCTGAGATTTGCACTAAGATTTTGTTATTGAGCTTTTGATTAACCCAGTCATCACGTTGCTTTTTAAATATTCAAATGTAAAATTGGATAATTAATAAACTATTATAAAAAAAATAAAAAATAAAAACAAGCAAATAAATAAATCTGCACGAATGTGAGGAGCTGAAGCTTTGCATTGCCAAGCCTGTGTTTTGCCTTCTGACCTTGGAAATGACCTAAATAAAAATCAGGTCCGGGGACGAAACTCAGCAGAGGAGAGAATTATAATTCCGTTTTATATTCTTCACAGAGCCGTAAGCATCAAGCACTATAAAATCAACGCTGTCGGTGGAGAATACATCATTGTCATGGAAAAGCCGGTAAGGGGGACCGGGAGGGAAGGTTGGGGGGGGGGAGTGGATTAAGGCAAACCAGGTTTTTAGAAAGAAATGAGGAAAGAACAGACCTTGACCAGACAACTTTATCAAGTTATTCGTTTAAAATATATAATGTTTAAAATGGACAAGTTCCCCACGTTACCAGATCTCATGCAATTATAGATTATAGGTGGGGGGTTTCTTTCTTTCTTTCTTTCTTTCTTTCTTTCTTTCTTTCTTTCTTTCTTTCTTTCTTCTTTTTCTTTCTTTCTTTCTTTCTTTTTTCCTTTTTCCTTTCTTGTCTTTCTTCCTTCCTTCCTCCTCCCTGTTTCCTTCCTTCTTTCCCTCCCTCCGTTTTTCTTTCCTTTTCCTCCCTCTTTCTTCCTTTGTTCCTCCTTCTCTATTTCCATCCTCCTTTTCTTCCTCCCCTCCTTCTCCTTCCTTCCTTCCTTCCTTCTCTATTTCCATCCTTCCTTCTCTAATTCCTTCCTCCACTCCTTCTCCTTCCTTCCTTCCTTCTCTATTTCCATCCTTCCATCCTTCCTACTTTATTTCCCTCCTTCCCTCCTTCTCCTTCTTTCCTTCCTTCCTCCTTCTCTATTTCCATCCTTCCTTCTCTAATTCCTTCCTTCCTTCTTCTCTTTCCATCCTTCCTTCCACCTTTCCTACTTTATTTCCTTCCTTCCCTCCTTCTCCTTCCTTCCTTTAATATTTTTCCTTCGTTCCTTCCTTCCTTCCTTCTCTATTTCCTTCCTTCCCTCCCTCCTCCTTTCTTCCTTTCCCTCCTTCCCTTTCCCTTCCTCCTTCTCTATTTTCATCTTTCCTTTCTTCCTACTCCTTCCTTCCTTCCTTCCTTCCTTCCTTTCTTCAGCTCAAAACAGCTGAGAGTTTACAAATGTCTGGAAATTCAGCGGCAGCGCTGTGAGTTTTTCAGTCGGTTCCATAAACGCTCCCATCCCCTCTTCCATCCCATCCTCTCCCCTTCCTCGCTTCTCTTCCTGCTCAGAATTACTGCTCTTCCCTCCTGGCTGTGCTGGACTTCTTCATCGCCAAGACCAACGGGGTCCTGGTGCCGCTCAGCGTGGAGAAGAGCTACGCCATGGCGCTGGGTAGGCCTCCCCCAGATCTGGAATTGTTTTGGGAATCCTTGACTTACGACCGCAATGGAGTCCAAAATTGTTGTTGCTAAGCAAGGCGGTTGTTTTGCCCCATGACCTTTCTTGCCCCGGTCGCTAAGCGAATCACTGCAGTTGTTCAGTGAGTCACACAGCCGTTAAGCGAATTCAGCTTCCCCATTGACTTTTGCTTCTAGAAAAGTCACACAAAGGGGTCACGTGACCTCTGCACACGGCAACCGTCATAAATACGAACCAGTTGCCAAGCGTCTGAATGTAAATCAGGTGACCAGGGGGAGGCTGCAACAGTCGTAAGTGTGAAAAACGGTCCTTAAAAAAATCACTTTTTTCAGTGCCATTGTAACGAACGGTCACTAAACGAACGGCTGTAAGTCAAGGACTCCTGTAGTCAGGTTGCCGTCAGAAGCACCCCCCCCCCCAGTTTTCTACTAGGTCAGGGGGTTTTCAACCTTGGCTCTTTTCTGACCCATGGACTTCAACTCCCAGAATTCCTCAGCCAGCCACACTGAGGGGAAAGGGAGAGGTTTCCAAGCTGAGCTATGCTGGCTCAGAAATTCTGGGAGTTGAAGTCCACGAGTCATGAAGGGGCCATAGTTCCCCCATGCTGGCTCAGGAATTCTGGGAGTTGAAGTCCACGAGTCATAAAAGAGCCAAGGTTGCCTACCCCTGACCTATACCATCTCAGACAAGTGACTCTCTAGACCATGGGTAGGCAACCTTGGCTCATTCATGACTCATGGACTTCAACTCCCAGAATTCCTGAGCCAGCCATGCTGAGGGGGAAAGGAGAGGTTTCCAAGCTGAGCCATGCTGGCTGAGGAATTCTGGGAGTTGAAGTCCACGAGTCATGAAAGAGCCAAGTCTGAAGACCCCTGCTCCAAAGGTACAAACCAGTAGTTCCACCGGATGTAGAGTTGGTCTATAGAAGGGGTGGGGAACCTTGGCCCTTTTATGACTCGTGGACTTCAACTCCCAGAATCCCTGAGCCAGCCACGCTGAGGGAACAGGGAGAGGTTTCCATGCTGAGCCATGCCGGCTCAGGAATTCAGCCATAAAAGAGCCAAGGTTGCCTACCTCTTGTACTAGGTCTTGTTTCCTTTCCAGAGGTCATGGAGATGGATCAGGAAAGGGAGCAGAGGACCTTGGAGTCCATCTTTGAGCCTGATGACCCTCCACCACCTTTTAAAGGTACTTCGATGCCAACCCCGAGGCTGAATTCTCACCTGGATCATGGATCCATCTTTTCCATCCTTTACTCCAGCTTCAAATTTGCACGCAAATGCTATGACACTTCCACAAAATTTTATTTGCCAAGGGCTAGTTCTACACACACACACACACACACACACACACACACACACACCACAAACACAATAACACACACACAAGTGACATGGCATGCCTAGGGAGGATAAGAACAACCTTGCCCCCAGAGGTGGGGAAAGACCCCAGTCTCCTAGCCTTCTGCAAAGGGGTCAACATTTGGCTCTGCAGCCTTGCGTGAGTGGGGGTGTCGCTTGAAAGCCCCCCCACACACACCTCCACCTGTAATAATCCAAGACAAAATGTCCCTCTTGGATTGGCCACCCCCCCCTTGAATGTTTAATAATTATATAATATAATTTGGAAATGTTTATCCCTAATTTAATTTTTAATTTCTCACATTAACTTTTAGACATTTTATTTATCGGTTATATTGTAGTGTGCCCTGCCCTGAGGCCCTTTTTGAAGGAGATGCGTGGTTTAGAAATATGAAATATAGATGATGGATGGATGGATGGATGGATAGATAGAAAGAAATTGATAGATGATAGAATAGAATAGAATAGAATAGAATAGAATAGAATAGAATAGAATAGAATAGAATAGAAAGATAGATAGATAGATAGATAGATAGATAGATAGACAGACAGACAGACAGACAGACAGACAGACAGACAGATAGATAGAAATTGATAGATGATAGGGTAGATGGAAACAGATAGATAGATAGATAGATAGATAGATAGATAGATAGATAGATATTGATAGATGATAAGATAGATGGAAACATAGATAGATAGACAGACAGACAGATAGATAGATAGATAGAAATTGATAGATGATAGGGTAGATGGAAATAGATAGATAGATAGATAGATAGATAGATAGATAGATAGATAGATAGATAGATAGATGACAGATGATAAATGACAGACAGATAGATGATAGACAGATGACAGACAGACAGATAGATAACACAGACAGGCAGACAGACAGATGACAGACAGATAAATGACATAAATGGATGACAGATAGATAGATGACAGACAGACAGGCAGATAGACAGATGATAGAGTAAATGGATTGATCAGCTTGGCTGGAATCTGCCCACTGCAGATAGTCCTCAACATACGACCACAATTGACTCCAACATTTCCGTTGCTAAGTGAGACAGCTGTGAAATGAGTTTTGCCCCATTTTACGACCTTTCCTGCCACAGCTGTGAAGTGAATCATTGCAGTTGTTAAAAACAATCTTCCCCCCCCATTAACTTCGCTTCTCAGAAAGCCACAAAAGGGGGATCCCTGGACACCCCCCCCGGGACGCTGCAACCGTCATAAATATGAGCCATTTTGCCAAGCGTCCAAATTTTGATCACGTGACTCTGGGGGAGGGGAGATGCTGCAGCGGTCGTAAGTGTGGAAAGGGGCCCTTTTTTCAATGCCGTTGTCACTTCAAACGTCACTAAGCAAATGGCTGTAAGTCGAGGACCACCTGTTTGTCTGTTTGCGTGCAGGTAACCTTGTGGGAAAAAAGAGCATGGCATCCCCTAATTCTTGGCTATGCCCGCCCCTTCCTCTGCCACCGATCGTGCCCATCCCACCCCCGCGCCGGGCATCGGCCCCCCAACCCATTCATGTCTATGAGGAGGAAGACCCTCCCCAGAAGACGTACGTGAACGAAGAAGGTGAGTTGAGAACGGTGGACCACGTGAGTGATATTACTATTGAACAACAGCCCTGGCAGGTAGGCCAGGTTAGAAGAGACAGATTTTGGAATGCAGGTGTTTGCGAGGAGTGTAGAAAAAGTCAAAATGGATGTTGTAACTGTGAAACGTGGAATCTTTCCCCTTTGGGAGATTTTATGTTGGTTTTCTAGGTTTTTAATCTTAAATTATTCTGATTTTTTTAACGTTAATTTCACGGATTGTATCGAACGCCATCTCTTTGAGGGAGAGGGTGGTGAGGAAATGTGAAATATAAATAAATAACCATGGTTTGTTGGTATTTCAAAGGCTGATTCCTTTCCATATGGGCAAACCACGGGTCCGATTGTAGATTCCAAGCAGTCCTTGACTTATGACTGAATGTTTAGCGACATTCGCAACAAGAACAGGTGCTTTATGGCCCATAAATCACTTCTGGCTGTCATAAAATGGGGTCTGATTTGGGATTGTGGGCTAGTCCTCGACTTACGACTGGCCATTTAGGTTGAGGACCCCCGATTTAAGTGAATCCCTGCGGTGATTCAGTTAGTAACCGGGTTGTTAATTGAATCCGCCTTCCCCGTTGACTTTGTTTCTTAGAAGGTCGCAAAACAGGATCACATGATCCCAGGACACTGCAACCGTCACAGATATGAAGCAGTTGTACCAAGCATCCAAATTTGGATCACTTTAACCGCAGGGATGCTGCAATGGTCCAAAGTGTGAAAAACAGTCACGTTGGGTTTTTTTTTTAGTGCCGTTGTAACTTCCCACGGTCACTAAGTGAACTGTTGTAAGTCAAGGACTAACTGTACTGCTTTGGTAGGAATGAAGATTCTGCAGTGAGAACTGAGGTGTGCTGTCCCTACTTTTCCCTCTGCAGCGTGGGATCGCCCCGGAGACCAGGAAACAAGATGGAATGGACCCCCACCACCTGTTCGTGTACCTCCCAAGCCGCCACGGAAGCCCCCGAAGTTAGGTATGGTTTCTGAGACCCCTGCCCAGTGGTGGGATTCAGCCGGTTCATACCGGTTCAGCAGAATCGGTAGCTAAATTCTGCTGAGTTCGGCGAATCGGCTGAATGCTTCCAGCCAGTCTAGGCCTCAGAGGCCTGTAGGAGCCCTCCCAGGCCTAAAATGGCCTGCTGGAAGTACATGGATGCCACTTCCGGAAGACCAGTCTAGGCCTCAGAGGCCTGTAAGAGCCCTCCCAGGCCTAAAATGGCCTGCTGGAAGTACATGGATGCCACTTCCGGAAGACCAGTCTAGGCCTCGGAGGACCAGGCCTACATCCAATAAGAGAACCCGGTTATTCAGGTACTTGAATCCCACCACTGCCCCTGTCCTTGTGTCGCGACAATTATTGTCATCCAGCAACAAAAGCCACAAGCTAGTTCAGTCTGTCCAGATGTGTTCACTTCACAGGACGATGCTCAATGTACTGTATCAAAAAGGGCCTTGAGCTGTTGAATCCTGGTCTTTCTCTCTCTTTTTAAAATAGGGATTCTAGTCCTCATGATGCTGCCAATTTATATGGGAGTGTTGGATCTTATGTGCTAAGGCAGGTAATGGGCCAGTGGGCAGGATCTCTTCTAGGATTGAAGGAGGACTTAAGCAAATCTCTCTTCCCGGTCTTATATGCCGTTGGAATTTGGGGATGCAGGTAGTCCACTTGCGATGTTTCATTTAGTGACCATTCAAAGTTATGACGGCACTGAAAAAAAGTGACTTATGACTGTTTTTCACACCACCGTTGCAGCATCTCCCTGCTCAGCTGATCCAAATTCAAATGCTTGGCAACCGACTCATATTTATGACGGTCGCAGTGTGGTAGGATAATGTGATCCCCTTTTGCGACCTTCAGACACGCAAAGCCAGTGGGGAAGCCGGATTCACTTAACCACCGTGTGACTAACTTAACTGCGGTGATTCACTTAACAACAAGGACAAGAAAGGTCATAAAATGGGGCAAAATTCGTTTAACAACCGTCTCAGTTAACAACAGAAATTTTAGGCTCAGTTGTGGTAAGTTGAGGACTTACCTTATTTTTATAAGGGTTGTAGCATCCCAGGATCACGTGACGGCCATTGGCGAACTCCCCCGCTATTTTCCCCACAAGCAAAATTGATGGGGTAAGCTGAACTCGTTTAATGACCATGGCAAAAAAGTAGCAAAATTGGCTTAAAAACTGCATTGCTGGCTATGGAAGTTCCAGGTCTGTCGTAGGTCGAGAACTACCTGTATTTATCACATAACAAGGTTAAGGATAGGATAGGATAGGATAGGATAGGATAGGATAGGATAGGATAGGATAGGATAGGATAGAAAATATGGAATAGAATAGAAAATAGAATAGAACAGAATAGAATAGAAAATATGGAATAGGATAGGATAGGATAGAAAATAGAACAGAACAGAACAGAATAGAATAGAAAATATGGAATAGAATAGAAAACATGGAATAGGATAGGATAGGATAAGATAGGATAGGATAGAAAATATGGAATAGAATAGAATAGAATAGAATAGAATAGAATAGAAAACATGGAATAGAATAGAATAGAATAGAGAATAGAACAGAACAGAATATAGAATGGAATGGAATGGAATGGAATAGAATAGAATAGAATAGAATAGAATAGAATAGAATAGAAAAAACATGGAATAGAATAATAAGAACAGAATAGAATAGAATAGAATAGAATAGAATAGAATAGAAAAATACATGGAATAGAATAATAAGAATAGAATAGAATAGAATAGAATAGAAAAAACATGGAATAGAATAATAAGAATAGAATAGAATAGAATAGAATAGAATAGAATAGAATAGAATAACAGAGTTGGAAGGGACCTTGGAGGTCTTCTAGTCTAACCCTAACCAGTGGTGGCGAACCTATGGCACGGGTGCCAGAGGCGGCACTCAGAGCCCTCTCTGTGGGCACGCGCGCCGTCGCCCCAGTCCTAGGCCTTCAGCTGGGTTTTATAAAACCTTTTCACTTTAGGCCTCTGCCGCCGTGTGCAAAAAAAAAAAAAAAAGGTTCAATCAATCAGTCAATTTCAACTTCTCGCGGGGAAAAAAAAGATCGTGCAAAGTTAGAATTGATTGATTGAACTTTTTAGCCCTACCCAGTCTGCCGTTACCACCGCAGCCACACCCACCCAATGGGCCACGCCCACCCGGCACTCGATGCATAAGTGGGTTTTGGGTTGCAGTTTGGGCACTCAGTCTCTAAAAGGTTCGCCATCACTGCCCTAGACCATTTCAGACAAAATTGCTGGAGAGCTGATCTGGTTAGGCCAAGGCTACTCTGTCTTGTAAACCCTGTTTGCTTTTTTTTAAAATCTCTTAAAGGTAGCCTACTCGAGGGTCAATCTGCCGCCAGGCCCGGGGTACCTTCCACCAAACAGGAGACTCCATTATTCAGAAGCGCCCCCAATGGTAAGTTAGTTTCTCGTGTATAAATCCCTACAGCAGTGGTTCTCAACCTTTTTAATGCCGCGACCCCCAACCAGTCGTAAGTCGAGGACTACTCAACCGGTCGTAAGTCGAGGACTACTCAACTGGTGCAGCACCGTTTGCAGAATGGGACTTTTGGCGGGCTCAGCAGGGCAGAGACAGCCTGGACAATTCCTATTGGCTTTTGAAAGCCAATAGAATTAGACTCTATTCAATAGAGTCTATTCTATTGGCTTTCAAAAGCCAATAGAATAAAAGGGAGTAGCACAGCTAAGGAAAAGGGGGGGAAAAATGGCAGACTGCGTTGTTTGGCGACCCCCGTGAAATGGTCGTTTGACCCCAAATGGGGTCCCGACCCACAGGTTGAGAACCGCTGTCCTACAGGATTCCATCAAGATGTCATTAAGCACGGGTAGTCCTCGAATTACGACCACAATTGAGCCCTTTGTGTGAGTGGAGCCAGAACCGAAAAATGAGAGATTCGTGTTCCCTTTGGGGGGTGACTCCAGATGTCGGCTTATTTACGGATAGATTTGATCCATCTACACCTCACTTTTTTCAAGAGAGTCCAGGTGTCACGCATACAAACTCCCCCTACTTTACAACAACCTGTGAGGTAGGCTGGGAAGGAAAAGAGGACCGGGAAAAGCAACCCAGTGAATCGTGGGATCCAGTGGGGACTCGAACCCAGAACGTCCGACCTCTGCAAGCTAAACTGTATTCATTTATCAATTTATTTCCGATACATAATTTTTCTCGCTAAGCGGGACATTGGTTAAGTGCGTTTTGCCCCGTTTTACGACCTTCCTTGGCACAGTTGTTAAGTGAATCGCCGCAGTTGATAATTTAGTCAAACGGTCGTTAAGCGAATCCGGCTTCCCCCCCCTATCATCGACTTGGCTTGTCAGAAGGTTGCAAAAGGGGATCGCGTGACCCCCCCCGGGAATGTTGCAACCGTCGTAAATGTGAGTCACTTGCCAAGCGCCTCAATTTGGATTCCTTTCCATTAAACACCCCGTTGTAACTTCAAATGTTCATAAAAGGAGCAGTCGTTAAGTGAGGACTTTCTGAACATAGCATTTTCTTTTTACTGGTGGAATGAGACACCTTGCAGCTGCCTCCTCATCCTGGTCAATTTGCTGCAGGACAATTTCTAGGAGACTAGACAGCTGCTTGTCTGAATTGGTATAGCAGAGGTTCTCAACCTGTGGGTCGGGACCCCATTTGGGGTCGAACGACCATTTCATGGGGGTCGCCAAACAACGCAGTCCGCCATTTTTTACCCCTTTTCCTTGGCTGTGCTACTCCCTTTTATTCTATTGGCTTTTGAAAGCCAATAGAAGAGACTCTCTTGAATAGAGTCTAATTCTATTGGCTTTCAAAAGCCAATAGGAATTGTCCAGGCGGTCTCTGCCCTGCTGAGCCCGCCAAAAGTCCCATTCTGCAAACGGTGCTGCACCAGTTGAGTAGTCCTCGACTTACGACCGGTTAAGTAGTCTTCGACTTACGACCGGTTGGGGGTCGTGGCATTAAAAAGGTTGAGAACCACTGTGGTACAGGGTTTCCTGCCTGAGCAGGGGGTTGGATTAGTCCAGGGCTTTTCAAACTTTTCACCCATTGTACCACTTTTAGGATACGGCAACATCCGAGTACCACCAGTCGCCTGGCAAGGTGTCAAAAACTTGACCCCCCGCCCCCAAAAAAGGAAAAAAGTGATAAATATAGGTAGTCCTCAACTTACAACAGTTCGCTTAGTCACTGTTCGAAATTACAATGGCACTGAAAAAAGTGCCCCCCAAGCCACAGCCGAGCAAGACACTGCCTACCCGCCCGGTGGCGCTCTTCCTCCTGTCTGAGGTTTTCATTGTTGTGAGCATTTCTCTTGAGACTTGGCAGCAGGGGTGGGGTGGGGGGCTGTTTGGTTTTTATTCCCCCGTCTGCTGGGTGGTTGCAGCAGGTTTTGGTCACTTCACATGACCCTGGGACACTGTGACCGTCATAAATATGAATCAGTTGGTCTGAATGTAAATCACAAGACCCTGGAGAGGCTGCAACATTCCAGCTGATTGGCGCTTCTTCAGGGCTCAGCAGAAGCACCAGGATCAGTGCTGCTTTCCAGCTGGAGCCTGTCGCTGATCCTGGTGCTTCCGCTGAGCCCTGACAGCCCCGAAGAAGCACCGATCAGCTGGAAAGCGGCACTGATCCTGGGGCTTCCGCTGAGCCCTGACAGCCTCGAAGAAGCACTGATCCTGGCACTTCTGTTGAGCCCTGACAGCCCTGCAGCTCCAGCCGTCTCTCGCTCAGGCTTGTGTGGTGCTGCCACCGGTTCAGCTCGTTCCCCTCCCCCGCTACCCCTTTTCAAGGATGGTCGCGTACCACCTGCCAGGTGCCAATGTACCACAGGGGGGACCCGTACCACTGGTTGAAAAGCCCTGGACTAGATGACCTCCAAGGTCCCTTCCAGTTCTATTCTGATTGATTGATCGAGTCTTCCACTCTGGTTTCCAAAGCCAGCCCGGCTTAAAGGAGGTGGAAGTTCTCGGCAGCCCAGACTCCTTCTCCAAAATCTTCCTCACCTTGCTGTCCGGTGCTCCCCCCCCCCATTTTCCCGCTCTCCCCCCCCCTTCCCGGTGATTGGCGGGCTAAGCAGGAGTCATTGCTCTGGATGGAGACTTCGCGCCAACTCACCACGGGGCGAGAATTACCCTAATATCCAGGACTTTTTTTGGGTCATAGAATGCCCAGAATGGAGTTCCGCCACCTTTTTGGGATGGAACGTTGTAGGGTAGGCAAGGCGGGTTGTATGACGTGTGTGAGTTCCGGCACCTTTTTTTTTTTTAAAACAAAAAAAGCACTGCTAATATCAAAGAAATAGTGGAATAGGATGGAGCGGGGACAGAATGAAGCGCACGTGACCAAAATTAAAATATACCGTAAATGCCGGCGTATAAGACGACTTCCGCGAGCGCTGAAATCGGCGCCAAAGACGGGGGTCGTCTTATACGCCGAGTTGTCTTATACCCCGGAAATACTGGTAGTTTCCGGCGTATAAGACGACGTTCTAGGAATGCGACCCGGCTATAAAGACGGGGGTCGTCTTATACGCCGGGTCGCCTAATACGCCGGCATATATGGTACTTTTTATTTATTTTAAAAAATTAAATCAAAGTGTTCAGTTGTCCCGTTGTCCCGTTGTGTCGGGAGTGAGTCTCCTGGTCACCATCCCCGCTTGCCTCTCTCAGGACAGGGAAGGAGGGAGGGAGAGGGGGAGGGAAGGAAGGAAGGAAGGAAGGAAGGAAGGAAGGAAGGAAGGAAGGAAGGAAGGAAGGAAGGGAGGGACGGAGGGAAGGAAGGAAGGAAGGAGAGAGGGAGGAAGGAAGGAGAGGAAGGGAGGGAAGGAAGGAGAGGGAGGGAAGGAAGAAAGGAGAGGGAAGAAAGGAAAGAAGGAGGGAGGGAAGGAAGGAGAGGGAAGGAAGGAAGGAAGGAAGGAAGGAAGGAAGGAAGGAAGGAAGGAAGGAAGGAAAGGGAGGGAGGAAGGACTAAAGGAAGGAAGGCAGAATTCCTTGCCAGCTTGGACGAGGATAAAGTTTAGCTGACTGTGTTCAGCAGGTCAGCGGTTCAAATCTCACCGGCTCAAGGTTGACTCAGCCTTCCATCCTTCGCCGAGTTTATGTAAAATGAAGGACCAGATTGTTAGGGGCAATGTATATATATAGTAATATATATATATATATATATATATATATATATATATATATATATCTATCTATCTATCTATCTATCTATCTATCTATCTATCTATCTATCTATCTATCTATCTATCTATCTATCTATCTATCTATCGCTTACTGGTGTACACCGCTTAGAGAGTGCTTGCACTTAAAGTGGTATATAAGTCTCATAAATAAATAAATAAATAAATAAATAAATAAATAAATAAATAAAAGTCCCCAACCTCCCAATGGTGTGTGGGTCTCTCTCTCTCTCTGTGTGCATGGAACAATGACTCCCACTTAGCCCGCCTTTTTGGGGGGGGGCGCTAGAAAGTGAGGCGAGGAAGACTTTGGAGAAGGAGTGCGGGCTGGCGGGAACTTTCTCCTCCCTTCAGCTGGGCTGGCTTTGGAAACCAGAGGAGCGGAAGGCCCATGGGGGCGGTTTGGCTGGGCCGAGGTGTCCTGTGGCGAGGTGGCCACTGCAAGGCGGCCGCAGTGAGGTGGCCGCGCCGAGTTGTCCTATTACACCCTTTTGACTCTGGGCCGGTTGCCGATGTCTTTCTCTTTGCAGAGATGACCGAGGAGCTGAAGCGCAAACTTCAGGAACGGAGGGCCAAGATGGAGAATTGAAATGCCGGCGGCCATTTTGAATTTGAAAAAGAAGAAGAAAGAAAAAAATCCACACAGAGACAAGGGAGAGAGGACCCAACCGGACTCCCGACAAATCTACCTCTGGATCCCTTTCCCGCCTCCCCAATTGCTCTCTGGGGCGAACCAAACCCTCCTGTGATGCCTGGGTGGGGAGGAATCTTGCGGGATCAGATCACAGCCAGGGCAGATCCTGCCATGGGAAAAAAAAATTAAGGAGTGGATTGAAAAGGATTGGGGGAAGACTTTCTAACAGTGGCACAAAGAAACAGACAGTCAGTGGAACTGCTGGCCACCAGAAGTTGTGGGTGCTCCCATACTGGAGATTTTTAAGGGATGGGATAATAGGGTCTCCTGCCTGAGCAGGGGGTTGGACTAGACCAGGGCTTTTCAACCAGTGGTACGGGTACCACCTGTGGTACATTGGCACCTGGCAGGTGGTACGCGACCATCCTAGAAAAGGGGTAGTGGGGGAGGGGAATGAGCTGAACCGGTGGCAGCACCACACAAGCCTGAGCAAGAGACGGCTGGAGCTGCAGGGCTGTCATGGCTCAGCGGAAGCGCCAGGATCAGCGCCAGGATCCAGCTGGAGCTCAGCGCTGATCCTGGCGCTTCTGCTGAGCCCAGAAGAAGCGCAGATCAGCTGGAATGTTGCGGCATCTCCAGGGTCTTGTGATTTACATTCAGATGCTTGGCAACTGATTCATATTTATGATGGTCACAGTGTCCCAGGCTCATGTGAAGTGACCAAAACCTGCTGCAACCAGCCAGCAGACGGGGGGAATAATAACCAAACACCCCCCACCCCACCCCCACTGCCAATCCTCAACAGAAATGCTCACAACAATGAAAACCTCGGACAGGAGGAAGAGCACCGTCGGGTGGGCAGGCAGGTGTCTTGCTCGGTTGTGGCTTGGGGGGCACTTTTTTCAGTGCCATTGTAACTTCGAACAGTCACTAAGTGAACTGTTGTAAGTCGAGGATGACCTGTACTTTATCACTTTTTTCCTTTTTTTTTTTTTTTGATCATCAGGTTTTTGACACCTTGCTAGGTGACTGGAGGTACTCGGATGTTGCCATATCCTAAAAGTGGTACAATGGGTGAAAAGGTTGAAAAGCCCTGGGCTAGATGACCTTCAAGGTCCCTCCCATCTCTATTCTTCTGGAAATGCGGTCATTTGGGGCCTGTTCCAGCACAGGTTTACTCAGAGGGAGATCCCCAAGGGGTGCAAGAGAGCTAGCTGGGTTATCCATCTTCTTCTTCTTCTTCTTCTTCTTCTTCTTCTTCTTCTTCTTCTTCTTCTTCTTCTTCTTCTTCTTCTTCTTCTTCTTCTTCTTCTTCTTCTTCGTCTTCTTCTTCTTCTTCTTCTTCTTCTTCTTCTTCTTCTCCTCCTCCTCCTCCTCCTCCTCCTCCTCCTCCTCCTCCTCCTCCTCCTCCTCCTCCTCCTCCTCCTCCTCCTATATATTGAATAAGAACAGTCTCCAGGTCCGTATGAAGAGATCAGCCACCCGGACACGTTGAAAAGAGACCATAAAAAAAGAAGGAAAGGAAAAGATCCTAAACGGATCTTCAAAAGAATAGTGGGAAGACACATCCCTGTGGAGATGTGCTCATATTTTTATATATTTCAGACAGGAAGGGACAATGATGGGTCCATAAACATTTCTAAGTGATAATAAAACTCAGGTTATTTCCTGCCCTCCTTCGGATGTCTGCCGGGAACAATGTGCTTAGCAGTATTACAAGCAACATCTTGAGATTCATAGAAATATATAGGAAGATTTTGAAAAGACATAGCACAGCCCTCGGGGGGCTACAAGGCCAGCTTCCTTACGTCTTAATTGGTCTGATAAAGAGTCCCCCCCCCTCAATTCATTTGAAAACTGGTTATCACAATCTTAAAAATTCTGATCTACCAGCTCTTCCTGGCCAGGACTCTCTTGGGTAGCATATGTGGCTATTGTTTTTTGTGGAATATACAATAAAGAAATATTTTTGGGGGTGTTTATCCTTGTTTGGAAAGAGCCGAATATGGCTGTCACTAGGTTTTGTGTGTGTGTGTGTGTGTGTGTGTGTGTGCGCGCGCGCACGCACACACACACACACACACACACACACACACACACACACACACACGTGCGTTGGGGGGGGGCTGTGTCATGTCTTGGGCAATGCTTTTCCATTTCAAAGAGCAGGTTTGCTATGTATCCCATTCGTAAATTCAATTTGTAAAACTATGGATGAATTGCAAAGCAGATGGGTGACCAAGAGATCAAAGCATTTGGGGGGAAGGGAGGAAGGAAGGAGGGGAGGGAGGGAGGGAGGAAAAGTAAGGAAGGGAGAGGAAGGGAGGGAAGGAAGAGTGAAGGAGGAGGGAAAGATGGAAGGAAGAGATGAAGGAAGGAAGTTAGGGGTAGGGAGGAGAAGAAAGGAAGGAGGGAAGAAGAGAGAAGCGAGCAAGGGAAGGGAAGGAAGCAAAGGGAGGGAGGAGAGGCAGGGCAGAAAAGGAAGGAAGGAAGGAAGGGAAAGGAGGGAGGGAGGGGAGAGAGGAGAAGAAAGGTATGGAGAGAAAGGAAAGAAGGAAGGGAGCAAGGAAGAAGAAGGTAGAACGAACAAGAGTGAGGGAAGATGGAAAGGGAAGAAGGGGAGGGGAAGAGAACAGAAGAGAAAAGAAAGATAAAAAAGGAAGGAAGGAAATTAAAGGAACTGAGGACAGGAAGGAAGAAGGAGGAAATAGAAAAAGGAAGAGAGGAAATGGGGAAAGAAGAAGGAAGGACTGTTTCTTTTCTTGAATCGCCATGGCAACATTGAGAACGCCTGCACATCCAAAGTGGCAGAGCCGGAAGCGGGCCTACATTAATAATTTTGATAGACCGGCCTGAATTTGCAATCACCTGTCGATTTGAATATACGACTTTCTAAACCAGGAGAGGCACAATATGGTCAACTGTCTTGACCGCTCAATCTCTGAGGGAAAAATCGATATTTTTCATTCAGGGCCACAAACGGAATAAAAGGAACAAGCAAAGTTGTTTTGTCATTTTGGCATGAACTGCCCGTTCCCAATTATAAATCTATTTAGGCATGAAAGTTGGCTGGACCAATCACCAGGAGACAGTGAGTTCTAGTCCCGCCTTAGGCATGAAAGCCGGCTGGGTAACTTTGGACCAATCACAGGAGACGGGGAGTTCTAATCCCGCCTTAGGCATGAAAGCCCGCTGGGTGACTTTGGGCCAATTACTAGGAGACTGGGAATTCTAGTCCCACCTTAGCTATGAAAGTCAGCTAGGTGATCTTGGGCCAATCACCAGGAGATGGTGAGTTCTAGTCCCGCCTTAGGCATGAAAGCCAGCTGAGTAAGTTTGGGACAATCACCAGGAGACTAGGAGTTCTAGTTCCACCTTAGGCATGAAAGCCGGCTGGGTGACTTTGGGCCAATCACCAGGAGACAGTGAATTCTAGTCCTGCCTTAGGCATGAAAGCCGGCTGAGTAAGTTTGGGACAATCACCAGGAGACCGTGAGTTCTAGCCCTGCCTTAGGCCTGAAAGCTGGCTGGGCCAATCTTTCTCTCTCTATCTCAACCCAACTCACCTCACAGGGTTGTTGTGGGAAAAATAGGAGGAGGAAGGTATCTTGGGTAACGTTCTCCACCTTGAGTTAAATAAAATAAATACAATTTTGATCTGGGCGCTTCGGAACAGAAACTGGAAAGGAGGATCTTCACATGATGCTCCCGCAAGTCTCCATTTTGAAGAGCCCCCCGACTAGAAAAGCAGAAGGAACAAACTTATTTACTTCTGTATTTATTTATTTACTGCTTGTCATCTTAAGATGTACGTTGGTTAAGATGCCAACAACTCCGTTTGGTGGATTCCAGTTGTTTCAACTGGCACCTTTTCCAACCTCGGCGACTTTAAGATGTATGGACTTCAACTCCCAGAATTCCGTTAGCCCGACATTTCTATGCATCTTGTGGTACTTTCAAAGTAGTTCTCCATCAACCGACTGCCGTGGGGAAGTTCTCGTGCTAAGGCAGGTGGTGGGCAAGGGGATCACACCTAATTTTACAACCTTTGCTGCCACGGTCGTTAAGTGAATCACTGTGGTTGTTAAGTGAATCATGCAGTTGTTAAGAGAATCTGGCTTCCCTCATGATTTTACTGAGGGGTTAGGAGGAGGGAGGGAGACAAAGGAAGGAAGGAAGGAAGGAAGGAGAGGGAGGGAGGGGTGAGGGAAGCAAGGAAGGAAGGAGGGAGAGAGGGAGAGAAGGAAGGAAGGAAGGAAGGAAGGAAGGGAGGGGTGAGGGAAGCAAGGAAGGAAGAAGGAGAGAAGGAAGAAGGGAGAGAAGGAAGGAAGGAAGAAAAGGAGGGAGAGAAGGAAGGAGAGAGAGGGATGAGGGAAGCAAGAAGGAAGGAAGGAGAGAGGGAGAGAAGGAAGGAAGGAGGGAAGGGAGGAAGGAGGGAGGGAAGAAAGGAAGGAAGGAAAGGAGAGAGGGAGAGAAGGAAGGAGGGAGGGAAGGAAGGAGGGAGAGAAGGAAGGAAGGAGAGAAGGAGAGGGAGAGAAGGAAGGAAGGAGGGAAGGGAGGAAGGAGGGAGGGAAGAAAGGAAGGAAAGAAAGGAGGGAGGGAAGGAAGGAGGGAGAAAAGGAAGGAGGGAGAGGGAGAGAAGGAAGGAAAGGAGGGAGAGAGGGAGAGAAGGAAGGAAGAAAGAAAAGGAGGGAGAGAAGGAAGGAGAGGGGGGTGAGGGAAGCAAGAAGGAAGGAAGGAGAGAGGGAGGGAAGAAAGGAAGGAAGGAAAGGAGAGAGGGAGAGAAGGAAGGAGGGAGGGAAGGAAGGAGGGAGAGAAGGAAGGAAGGAGGGAGAGAAGGAAGGAGAGGGAGAGAAGGAAGGAAGGAAAGGAGGGAGAGAAGGAAGAAGGAGAGGGAGAGAAGGAAGGGAAGGGAGGAAGGAGGGAAGAAAGGAAGGAAGGAAAGAAAGGAGGGAGGGAGAGAAGGAAGGAAAGGAGGGAGAGAAGGAAGGAAGGAGGGAGAGAGGGAGAGAAGGAAGGAAAGAAAGGAGGGAGAGAAGGACAGAAGGAAGAAGGAGGGAGAGAGAGAAGGAAGGAAGAAAGAAAGGGAGGAAGGTGGGAAGATCCTGGCTACCCCCGTTGTAAATACATGCTGGTTACCAAGCATGCAAAGTTTAATCACATGGCTGTGCGGCTGCAGTGACGGTTGTAAGTACAAGGATCCGACCTAAGTCCCTTTTTTCAGGGCCAGTGTGACTTCAAACAGTCACTAAACAAGTGGGTGTAAGTCAAGGACTGCCTCTAATGAGTTCCCCAGAGACCCAGGTAGGGCGAGGTGTTTTTCCCCACTAGATCTCTACTTATTCACCAACCGGCCGGCGTTTGCAAACTAACACGAGAGGTCTGAAATTTATTACTAAGAGCAGAAACCGGTTAAAGTTCGGTGAGACAATAAAGCCAACAACCCAAGCCAACAAATCTCCTTTTGCGATGCGAATTGACCTGCCCGATCTATAAACCTGGGCTGTGTTTCTGAATTATTGCAACACGTTGAATTAACTTGGCTGTCGTGCTGCTTTGGCAATCCCACATTCCAAGCGGGTTTGCGCAGATTCCCCAGAAAAGAGCGGATCAAATCTGATCCAGCCGATCACTTCCGCTCTCCTTCTAAAAATTAAAAAGTAAGTTCCTCTCCCTCATGGATGTGAAAAGTGACACACTTTTGTGATACCCAAGGCTTGAGGTGGGCCTACAGGTAGTCCTGGACTTACTTCAATGGACCCCAAAATTTCTGTTGCCAAGCGAGATGTTTGTTAAGTGAAAAAAGTGAGGTTCTACATTTAGGCAAGAAAAACCAAATGTACAGGTATAGTATAGGGCAGTGATGGCGAACCTTTTAGAGACCGAGTGCCCAAACTGCAACCCAAAACACGGTGGGTGTGGCCCATTGGCTGGGTATGGCTGTGGTGGTAACGGCAGACTGGGTGGGACTAAAAAGTTCAATCCATCCATTCCAACTTTGCAAGATCTTTTTTTTTTCCCCATGAGAAGTTAAAATTGATTGATAGATTGAATTTTTTTTTTTTTTTTTTTTGCACACACGAAAAGGTTTTATAAAACCCAGCTGAAGGCCTAGGACTGGGGCGACGGTGAGCGTGCCCACAGAGAGGGCTCTGTGTGCCGCCTCTGGCACCCGTGCCACAGGTTCACCACCACTGGTATAGGGGGTACCTTGCTCAATAGTAATAACTGTGAAAGGGATAATAATAATAATAATAATAATAATAATAATAATAAAAGGTTAGAAGGGACTTTGGAGGTCATCTAGTCCAACTCCCTGCTCAGGCAGGAAACCCTATACCATTTTGAACAAATGGCTGCCCAGTTTCTTCTTAAAAACTTCTGGAGGCAGGTTGTTCCACTGGTTAATTGTTCTAACTGGATTTACTTCACAACCTGGTTAACTAATTTATCAACTGCAGTGATTCACTTAACAACCCTGGGAAGAAAGGTCGTAAAATGGGGCAAAACTCAATTGGCAAAAAAGTAGTAAAGTTAATAATAATAATAATAATAATAATAATAATAATAATAATAATAATAATGTTAGAAGGGACCTTGGAGGTCATCTAGTCCAACTCCCTGCTCAGGCAGGAAGCCCTATACCATTTCGAACAAATGGCTGCCCAGTTTCTTCTTGAAAACTTCCAGTGCTGGAGCATTCACCGCTTCTGGAGGCAGGTTGTTCCACTGGTTAATTGTTCTAACTGGATTTACTTCACAACCTGGTTAACTAATTTATCAACTGCAGTGATTCACTTAACAACCCTGGGAAGAAAGGTCGTAAAATGGGGCAAAACTCAATTGGCAAAAAAGTAGTAAAGTTAATAATAATAATAATAATAATTAAAAAAGTTGGAAGGGATCTTGGAGATCATCAAGTCCAACCCCCCGCTCAGGCAAAAAAGCCGATACCATTTTAGACAAATGGCTGTCCAGTCTTTTCTTAAAAACTTCCAGTGTTGGAGCATTCACCACTTCTGGAGGCAGGTTGTTCCACTGGTTAATTGTTCTGACTGTCAGGAAGTTTCTCCTTAGTTCTAGGTTGCTTCTCTCCTTGATGAGTTTCCATCTGTTGCTTCTTGTCCTGCCTTCAGGAGCTTTGGAGAATAGCTTGACTGCCTCTTCTTTGGGGCAGCCCCTGAGATACTGGAAGACTGCTATCATGTCCCCCCTCGTCCTTCTCTTCATTAAACTAGAGATACCCAAAAATAGTCTTCTGCCTATTTATTCTACATTTCTTTTCTTCTTCTTTTTTTTAAAAAAGATTTTATTGAGTTTTATAGGGTTAGGGATAGAACAAGATCAGGATAAGGATTAAGGTTTAGGGTGGGGTTGGGATCAGGATTGATGTTGGGAAGGGGTTGAGGTCAACATTGGGGTTATCCCCCAACAGCATTTTCAATCTTTAGCAAACAGACTATTGTCTGGGTAACATATGTTCACAATCGTTGATATACTAATAAGTAATTGTAGCAAATGTAATAAATGATACTGGAAGACTGCTATCATGTCCCCCCTCGTCCTTCTCTTCGTTAAGCTAGACATATCCAATTCCAGCAGTCGTTCCTTATATGCTTTAGCCTCCAGTTCCCTGATCATCTTTGTTGCTCTTCTCTGCCCTCTTTCTAGAGTTTCAACATCTTTTTTACATTGTGGCGACCAAAACTGGATGCAGTATTCCAAGTGTGGCCTTACTAAGGCCTTGTAAATTGGTATTAACACTTCACCTTATCTTGATTCTGTCCCTCTGTTAATGCAGCCTAGCACTGTGTTGGCCTTTTTGACAGCTGCAGCACACTGCTGGCTCATATTTAAGTGATTGTCCACTAGGACTCCGAGATCCCTCTCACAGTTGCTACTATTGAGCAAGGTACCCCCGATATATACCTGTACATTTGGTTTTCTTGCCTAAATCTAGAAACTTATTTTTTTCACCACTGAATTTCATTTTGTTAGATAGCGCCCAGTGTTCAAGTCTGTCCAGATCCGCCTGTATCTTAAGCCTGTCTTCTGGAGTGTTGACTATTCCGTGTCCCGGGATCATGTGATTCCCTTTTGAAACCTTCTGACCAGCAATGAGGAACCCAGATTCACTTAACAACCAGGTCAATAATTTAACAACGGTAGCAAGAAAAGTCATAAAGTGGGACAAAAGCCACTGAACAATTGTCTCAGTTAATAACGGAAATTTTGGGCTCAATGTTGGTCGTAAGTTGAGGACTACCGTTATAACCAGTTGCCAAGAATCTGAATTTCGATCACGTGACCATGAAGATGCTGCGACGGTCGTAAGTCTGAAAAATTTTCATAAATCCCTCTTTTTGGTGCTGTTCCAGTCACTAAACAAACTATTCTAAGTTAAGGAACACCTCTAGTTGTGACCTTTTTGCATCTAATATTTTTATTACTGTCTCTCAGTTATTGTATTTTATGCATTCGAATGTTTATTACTGTGATTAGAATAAAGTTATTTGCTTACTTACAGTACTGAACTGGACAATACTCTCAGAGCTTGGAAGCTAAGCAACATTTGGCAGGGTTACTAATTGGATGGGAGACATCAGGGCATTGCAGGCTTCCAGATCCAACTGCAAAATTGGAAAAGCTTCACGGAACAAAATGACAAGCCCCGTTGATGGAGCTGCCAAAGAAACAACATGGATTTTATCACCCAAAGCAGGCTTTCTCAGCGCTGATCGCTTTAACACGCGTGGACTCCAGCTAACGGTTGCTAAGGGAACAGCGGTAAGTTTGAAGACTACCAGTTGCCTTGTTCAAAATGGCGGACGCTCTCAAATATCCGTAAACTCTGATTGAGTATACGAGAGTTTCTGATTTCCTTTCTAGACAGCCTTTTATTCAGAAACACGAGGACTAGAATCTTAGCTTATTCTTGAGGACAATCTTAGTTCATACATGAGGATTAGAATCTTAAGTTTACTCTTGAGGACTAGAACCTCAGTTTGTTCCTGAGGACTAGAACTTTAGTTTATTCTTGAGGACTAGAATCTTAAGTTTGTTCTTGAGGACTAGTTTATTCTCGGAGACTCGAGGCCATTCCGAAGTGATAACCTAGCTTTCGCAAACCGACAGCAAAAATGGCTACAAATCCATTGTTTATTAATTGAAGCAATATCCTCCTTTTCCAAAATCAAGCACCAAAAAAAAAAAAAAAAGACTTTGGACTGGTTTAGCAATTCATTCTTAATCCAGGCCAGATTTTTTTTTAAAAAAAAAAGCCTGACTCGTTTTGCAGAATTTTGCTCTCTGCAACTGGAGTGTTGGGGAAAATTTTGGAGTGGGGTGGGGTGGCAGAAAACCAGAGTGGGGAATGCACAGTGCTTTTATTGTCCCTTTTCCCCCCCCCCTCAACCAAGCTTTTGTGCTACGCGAGAGGTGGCATCCCGAATCCCACTGATAGCACCGGATAACCGAGGGGAACCCTGGGATTAAAATCCAGCGAGGGCGCCATTTTACAATCCGATCTAAATAATCTAGTATCTTCCAGCTAACCCCCTTTTTAAGTCTCCTTGGCAAGTGCCTAATCCAGGGCTCTCCAAACTTGGCCTCTATAAGACGGGTGGACTTCAACTCCCAGAATCCCCCAGCCAGCCAGGGGGAATTCTGGGAGTTGAAGTCCACCCGTCTTAAAGTGGCCAAGTTTGGATAGACGAAACCTGGAAGGAAAAAAAGAATACGTATTGTATATATATTTTTAAAATACGGTGGGGTCCGTGACCGTGAATGGACTGTCTCTCCAACTTGGAAAAGAGGAAGGTGACGAGCGTCACTAAGTGAGGCTGGTGGTAGAACTGCTCGTCGCGCTGTTGCGCTTCTGAAGGCATTTGACGGCGCCAGGAACTTGCAAGCCGGAGTAGACGTGAAAACTGCCGCACCACACCTGAGCAGGAAGAAACGAAAAACCAGAATAAGCCGGGGGAATAAATTGCGACGGGTCCAAAGAATCATAGAAACTCAAGAGATATCAAGCAAAAGCAAGGAAACTGCTGTAAAAAAAACCCAAAGCAGGGCATATATGTCCGTACAGGTCAAAACAGTCAAGATGGTGGCCACAGGTGCACTTAGATCCGCCCCTTTGGAATCTTTGCAGGACATAGGTCTGCCATTTTGACTTTTTTGACCTTCTGCCCATCGGTGCTCTTCCTGAGAGATGCAGTAGTGTTCAGAGCTAAATCCTTCCTTCTTTCCTTCCTTGCTTCCTTCCTCCCTCCCTCCCCCTTCCTTCCTTCCTTCCTTCCTTCCTTCCTTCCTTCCTTCCTTCCTTCCTTCCTATCCATCTCTCCACTAGGTGGTCCTTCTCTATTATTCTATATTTAGTTGCCTCATATTGTGGGATCCCCAGTCAGGATGGGAACTGGGCAGTTGGTTAATTATTAACTTGAATTAATTAACTGAATTTTAATCAATTAAACCAAGTTAAATTATTAAATGCAATTAAACTCGTTTAAATTATTAAATGATACTCATTCAATTTAATTAAATTTCATCAATGCAATTGAATTGAGTTATTAAATTTAATCAATGAAATTAAATTAGGTAGCAGGGCTGGAGACAAGGCAGATTTAACACCCCTTTTCAAATATCTGCAGGGAAATCACCTGGAAAAAGGTCTAAATTCTTACTGATTTCGGAACCCAACACATTTAAAACTGAGGTTAGGTCGATATTGTGGCTGAATGAAAGAAAAACTTCTTAACAAGAAGAGCAGTTTGCTGGTGGAAACTGCTGGTAGCCCAGTACAGGCTGGGCCACCATCCAATGTGGGATATTTTAATTTGGACCCCTGCACACAACAAAGGGAGGGGGGGACTGGATGCCCTCGAGGTTCCCTCCCACATCCAAGATTCTATCATTCTACGCTTCTAATTTCCTGCCTAGCTAAATAATTATTTTGCTTGTAATCCAAGGCTAGCGTAGCACACTTCTAAATTTAGATATGGACGAAGGAAAAAAAAAGGAACGGCTTCTAATCCTTTGAGCATAAATGTACATCATCAATAAATACAAATCGGCCACCCAATGTTGCTTTGCATATTAATTGGTATATTAATTAATTTAATAAATATGGGGCGGGGTATTTGATTCTGTCACTTCACCCGGCATAATTCTCTTCCTTGATCCAATCTATTAATTTATCTCCTTTAAGTAGTTCAGTAGGTCTCAGCCTATTCCGGTTCTCCTTCAAAATCCCATCATAAGGACTAGAACCTTGTGTTGTTGTTGTTGTTTTTTAAGAAAAGGAAGACAGAACTTCAAAGATCTTCACCAGATGTTACAACCCACAAGCTTCTTCTTAAGATAAGAGACAAGATAACCTTTATTGTCATTTTTTCCCACTGTGGGCACAACGGCACACATCAAAAATGAAATTTACCGCTTCCAAAACTTACCATAAAGGCCGGGAGAACCGGTTGGGTAAATTTGGCTCGAAATGTGTGTAGCAACTGCTTAGTTTTTGCGTTGTAGAACGAGAGGAATCCTGCAAAGAGGGAAAAGGAAAAAAAGGGGGGGTCTTGAGGGGTGAGGGAACAGGGGAAAATATGGACAAGAAGAAGTAGAAAGGGGGCCAAAAATTTATCTATCCCAGTTTGACAGGGGAAAAATTGGAGAAGACCCTCTCCCCACACACAAAAAAACCCAGTTATGCCTCCATTGTACAGGGAGTCCTCGAATTACGACCACAGCAGAATTCCCGTTGCTAAGCAAGGCAGTTGTGGAGGGAGTCGCAGTCGGTTTTGCACATTTTTTGGGGGCCACAGTTGTTAATCACCGCAGTTCTTAAGTAAATCATAAGCAAGGTGGTTGTAACGGGTGGAAACTCATCAAGGAGAGAAGCAACCTAGAACTAAGGAGAAACTTCCTGACAGTGAGAGCAATTCATCAGTGGAACAGCTTGCCTCCAGAAGCAGTGAATGCTTCAACACTGGAGGTTTTAAAGAAGAGATTGGACAGTCATTTGTCTGAAATGGTATAGGGTTTCCTGCCTGAGCAGGGGGTTGGACTAGATGACCTCCAAGGTCCCTTCCAACTTTACTACTATTACAAAGTTAAACAGGTCAGGCTTGATTTTTATGACCTTTTTGGGCAGGGTTATTAAATTAATCACCGCCATCACTAAGTGAATCTTATGGTCATTGAACGAATCCAGCTTCCCTCACTGACTTTGCATGTCGGAAGCCAGCTAGAAGGTTGGAAATGGTGATCACTTGATCCCAGGGAATGTTTGAACCGTAATAAAGACATATTGCTTAAAAAGCACTGTAGTTTGATTGTATGCTGCGACAGTCGTAAGTGTGAGGACTCGCCGTAAGTTTTCAATGCTGTTGTAACTTCAAAAGGAAGGATGGTAAGTTGAAGGAATAGGAATAGCAACAGCCCACAAACAGCCCACAAACCCACAGCCACACTCCGCCAGGAATTATCCAGAACCAAAAACAAGATCCAGAAGGACGAAAGAAACAATGCAATCTACACAATCAGCTGTAACATTGCAACCAATTCTACTGGATTGGGATTTGGGATTTGGCCACGATCCCAAATCCTTAATCACTACTCACACCGACACCAAACAGCAACAGTTCGATTGGAGCAACATAACAACAACAACAACATTGACAGACTCTATCTACCAAAGCAAATAGGTGGGCGTGGAATGCTGCAAGTACATCAGATGGTCGAAGAAGAAAAAATGGCTTTGGAAGAATATCTGAAGAACAATGATGAAGATGCACTGAAATTAGTATATCAGGAAGGCTTACTGACTACTGGAGAGACCAAACTGGCCTACAAGAAAGACCAAATGAAGAACAGAATAGAGGCATGGGAAGACAAAGCACTACATGGCCAATACATTAAAAAATAGCTGGGAAAGCAGATAATAATAAAACCTGGCAATGGCTAAGAGCAGGAAAATTGAAGAAAGAGACCGAGGGACTAATTCTGGCTGCACAAGACCAAGCCTTAAGGACAAATGCATACAAAGTCAAAATTGAGGAGACAGCAACAGACAGTAAGTGCCGCCTATGCAAAGAAGCTGAAGAAACAGTGGACCACTTGGTAAGCTGTTGCAAGAAGATTGCACAGACTGATTACAAGCAGCGGCATGACAAAGTAGCAATAATGGTGCATTGGAAGATCTGCAAAAAATATCATTTGCCTGTAAGCAAAAACTGGTGGGATCATAAAATAGAGAAAGTCATAGAAAATGATTAAATTAAACTGCTCTGGGACTTCAGAATTCAAACAGACAAGCACCTGCAACATAACACCCCAGACTTAACAATTGTCGATAAGAAAGACAAAAAAGTCTGGATAGTGGACGTGGCAGTGCCTGAAGACAGCAGAATAGAAGAGAAAGAACTGGAGAAGATAACAAAATACAAAGACCTACAAATAGAAGTAGAAAGACTGTGGCAAAAGCAAGCAAGGGTAGTACCAATAGTGATAGGCTCCTTGGGTGCAATCCCAAAACAACTGGAGCACCACTTGAACACAATTGGCATTGACAAATTTGCTATTAGTCAATTGCAAAAGGCGGCCTTACTAGGTACTGCTTCCATCCTGCGACGATACCTGTAATACCATCGAACATCCACATCTGCCTATCCCAGGTCCTGGGTAAGGACTCGATAGGTAGACAAAATGCCAAATCCAGTCTGAACATCTGGCTGACTGTGCGATGATCCATAATAATAATAATTATTATTATTATTTGCCTTCCATTTCACCATAAGAATTTACCTTCGTGAAAATTGCAATACACGCCTAGAATATCCGGAACTGGGATGTCCAGGATTTTGGCCTTGTTGTTGTGCTTGGCTGTGAAGCTGACCTGCAGCCAGTTGTTGAGATGAAGGCACCAGGACGAAGAAGTTTTGCCCAGCTGGTCAAACTTGCCCAGATTCCGATAAGCCACGCCCACCGCAAACGCTTTGCTGTCCCGGTCGTAGCGTACCTCCCAGTAGTGGTCACCGCTGTCAATCAAGGTGTCTCCTGTGAAGGGAAGAATTATGGAGCCCTTGGATTGGCTGATAAATCCGTTCGCTTGCTTTGCATTGGCTAAAATCAATGTGTTTCTCAAGCTCAGTGACTTTTAAGGTTTATGGACTTCAACTCCCAGAATTCCGCAGCCAGCCATGCTGGCTGGGGAATTCTGGGAATTGAAGTCCATGCTTCTTAAAGTCGCTGAGCTTGTGAAACTAGCTAAAATAAACCTACATCTGAGTTTAATGCCGTCTTTCTCAATCTTGGCCACTTTAAGATGTCTGGACTTCAGCTCCCAGAATTCATCAGCCACATGCTTCAAGCACGCCACCTGGGGAATTGTGGGAACTGAAATCCACACAGCTTTTAAATGTGTTCAGATTGAGAAATATTGCTCTAGTAGTGTTATCCCAACCACAACAATAAGAAATAGAATTGATTGACTCAGTTCAGTTTTAAGTTTAGGATTTGTATTTCTTGTTTTAATGTTTTATATGCCATAATCTTATTTCACGTCTGTAAGTTGCTTTTAGCTTTTTAAGATGCGAGGACTTCAACTCCCAGAATGCTCAACCAGCATTTGTGGACTTCAACTCCTGGAACGTTCATTCGCAAGACACACACACACACACACCCCCAAGATGACCCTGGACAGTGACGAAATTCTTACCTAACACTGTATAGGATTCGGCAGTGAATCGGTCTCGCCCTCCACGGCCCATCGGCATCCTTTTCGGAGACTGGACACACCTGTGTACAAGAAGATCCATTGGGCGGGGCTGCTGAGACCCACCATTCAAAAGTGAGGGGGCAATGGGGAGGGCTGGGAATTGGACCCCATTTAGAGCCCAGCCCCCCCTCCCCCGTTTCACACTGTGACAACGCTGAGTTGAGGAAACCAAGGAGTCACAACAGAAAACCATCCTTTTATATGCCTTGGTCCACGTGTGCATGAATCTGATTACAAATTTAATGCAGGCGGTCCTCGACGTACCAGCCCAAAATTTATGTTGCTAAGCGAGACACTTGTTAACTGAGTTTTGCCCCATTTTACGACTCTTCTTGCTGCCTTTGTTAAGCAAATCGCTGCGGTGGTTCAGTTAGTAACACGGTTGTTAAGTGAATTCAGCTTCCCTGAGGACTGGGATTGTCAGGTCGCAAAAGGGGAACATACGATCCCGGGACACTGTGGCCGTCGTAAATGTGAGTCAGTTGTAATTATGGGAAAGACATATTAAACTAACTAAAGCAGTGCCACCTAAAGAAAACCTATACAACATGTTTTACAGATGGCACATGACACCCGTGAGACTAGCGAAAAGGTTTAAAAATACTTCAAACAATTGTTGGAAATGCCAACAAAGGCCAGGTACGTATTACTACATCTGGTGGACATGCCCTAAAGCACTAGTTCTCAACCGTTTTAATGCTGCGACCCCCAACCGGTCGTAAGTCGAGGACTACTCAACTGGTCGTAAGTCGAGGACTACTCAACTGGTGCAGCACCGTTTGCAGAATGGGACTTTTGGCGGGCTCAGCAGGGCAGAGACAGCCGGGACAATTCCTATTGGCTTTGGAAAGCCAATAGAATTAGACTCTATTCAAGAGAGTCTATTCTATTGGCTTTCAAAAGCCAATAGAATAAAAGGGAGGAGCACAGCTAAGGAAAAGGGGGAAAAAAATGGCGGACTGCGTTGTTTGGCGACCCCCGTGAAATGGTCGTTCGACCCCAAATGGGGTCCCGACCCACAGGTTGAGAACCACTGCCCTAAAGCAAAAAGGTATTGGGCTAAAATACATCTATGGCTGGAGAAGATGACTAGAAAACAAATAGACTTTAAACCAGAACTGTTTTTGTGAGGAATAATAGGAGCCAAGTATGAGAAAGATTCTTCTTTGTCTTGTGCCATATCTGTTGTCGGACGTTGGCGATCCTGTTTTTATCAGCAGCCACACAAAAAAATGCTGCTGAGTTTTGTCCAAACCAGTCCCTTAGATTTTGAAGCCACGATGGTCTCCTTCTGCCTGGACCTCGTTTGCCTTCAATCTTTCCCTGGAGGATGAAATGGAGCATGCCGTGTTTTTCTGGGTGTCGCATCACACGTCCGAAATATTCTAATTTTTGTTTTTTAATTGTTTGGATGATTTCTCTTGGCTTTCCCAGGCGGCTTATCGCCTCCTCATTTCTGATCTTGTCAACTCAGCTTATACGTAACAGCTGCCTGTAAATCCACATTTCAAATGCTTCTAGTCTCTTCAGGTGGCCTTTTGTCAGAGACCAACTCTCTACTCCATAGAGCAGGATAGAAAAAATATAGCATCTGACAAGCCTGATTTTTCAGTCTTAGGCTTATGTCGTGACTGCAGAAGGCTTTTTTCATTTTGAAGAATGCTGTTCAAGCTTTCTCTATCCTTGTCTTTACTTCAGTGGTCATGTCTCCGCGTGATCCTTTCACCTTTTTTTAATGATATCCCTTCCGAATTTATTGGTAGTAAATTAACGGGTTGTTTGCTGACAACCATGATCTTGGTTTTTGAGGTGTTCAGCTTCAAGCCATATTTTTCAGATAAAAAGATAAAAAAAGAGAAAGATTGCAGATATCTAATACTACGTGTATTAACGGCAGCAAGAATTGTATTTGCCCAATATTGGAAAAAATGAAAATTTACGAGCTGAAGAAATGCTAATTAAGAAAATTCTATAGAGTGTGCAGAAATGGATAGATGGACTTTAAAGATTAAAGAGAAAGAAGACTCAGTGTACTTTAGAACATGGGATAACTTTTATCCATGACTAGAAAAACGACTCAGAGAGAAAGGAATGTGACATGTAATTTTGAATATATATTAGTAGGAAGAAGGCTACTGAGTGATTAATTAATTTATGATAATTAACTACATCTATTATTCTTAGTTAAATACATGTACCCAGATAATGTACTGTTTGCTAAATATTGAAAATGTTACCTGGGAAAACCCCAACTCCAATCCTAATCCCGACCCCATTTTATCCCTAACCCTATTAAAACGAACAAAATTTATATTACAAAAAATAAATAAATAAATGTGAGTCAGTTGTCAAGCTTCCAAACATAAATCGCGTGACCCTGGGGATGCAGCCATCGTCGTAAGTGTGAAAAGCTGGTCGTAAGTCACTTCTTTTCAGTGCCGTCGTAACTTTGAATGTTCATCCAATGAACGGTTGTAAGCCGAGGACGATCCATTTTCAGTTATAGGCAGTTCTCATTTAATGGCAGTATTTATCAAATCTAGCATCAGAAAAAATATCCAAATAAAGTTCAGTTCTTTATCTGCTCCCGCCCTACACACAGAATCTTGCCAGAGTTAATGTATCCAGGGGGTCCTCGACTTACAATCATTCGTTTAGTGACCGTTCCACTGAAAAAAGGGACACTTATGACCAGCTTTTCACACTCAAGGCCGGGGTGACGGGATCAAATTTCAGGCCGACGAAATGACGGAATAAACCAGCCCAGCCGAGCAAAGTAATTACCTGGCTGGAGAGTTAATGGGGGAGGCAGTTCGGCCCTTCCCGTCCTTTTCCCGTGCTTTCATGTCCTGCACCTTCCCACCCATGGCGTCCCATTCCACACTGAGGTCTTCCACCTTGAGATTGAGGTGGCTGGTGCTGCCATCCAGGCGGTACATGAAGGCTGGGAAGAGAAGAAAGAAGTTTGGGTGTTCGTTTCTAAGTTCCTTCCTTCCTCCTCTCCCCCCCATTCCTAATTTTTCCTCTCCCTCCCTCCCTCCATCCCTCCCTCTCTCCTTCCTTCCCTCCCTCTTACCTTCCCACCTCTTTCCTTTCCTTTCCTCTCCCTCCCCTCCTGCTCCTAATTTCTCCTCTCATTTCCTTCCTTCCTTCTCTTCCTTCTTTCCTTCCTTCCTTCTCTTCCTTCCTTCCTTCCTTTTCTTTCTTCCTTCTTTCCTTCCTCTCTCACTCCCACTGTTCCTTTCCTTTCTCCCTTCTCTCCTCTCCCACTCCTAATTTCTCCTCTCATTTCCTTCCTTCCTTCCTTTTCTCTCCCTCCCAATGTTCCTCTCCTTTCTCCCTTCTCTCCCCTCCCACTAATTTTTCCTCTTTTTTCCTTCCTTCCTTCCTTCCTTCCTTCCTTCCTTCCTTCCTTCCTTCCTTCCTTCCTTCCTTCTCCATCCCAATGTTCCTTTCCTTTCTCCCTTCCCACTCCTAATTTCTCCTCTCATTTTTTTCCTTCCTTCCTTCCTTCCTTCCTTCCTTCCTTCCTTCCTTCCTTCCTTCCTTCCTTTTCTCTCCCTCCCAATGTTCCTTTCCTTTCCTTTCTCCCTTCTCTCCCCTCTCACTAATTTTTCCTCATTTTTTCCTTCCTTCCTTCCTTCTTTTTTTCCTTCCTTCCTTCCTTCCTTCCTTCCTTCCTTCCTTCCTTCCTTCCTTCCTTCCTTCCTTCCTTCCTTCCTTCCTTCCTCCCTCCCTCCCTCCCTCCTTCCTTCCCTCCCTTCTTAATCTCAATCCAAATCCCCAGGTCATTTCTGCCTTAATGACCGCAGAGGTCTCCGAACAACCTGAACCACGGGCATAAACTGAGGACTAGCTGTATAGCTAATATTTATAAAATCGTTTTAGCCTAATCCTGGATTTCCTAGTCTGGTCTATTTACTGGGAGAGACAATGTCCTGCAACAGACCACTGCACTGATCAATGAAGCAAATTAAGGGGAGGGACCTTCTAGAGTCTCCAAATGTGGCCGCTTTAAGAATTCTGGGAGTTGAAGTCCACAAGTCTTAAAGCAGCCAAGTTTGAAGACCCCTGTTCTAGACCAGTGGCGGCGAACCTATGGCACGGGTGCCAGAGGCGGCACTCAGAGCCCTCTCTATGGGCACGTGTGCCGTTGCCCCAGTCCTAGGCCTTCAGTTGGGTTTTAGGCCTCCGCCGCCGTGTGCAAAAAAAAAAAAAAAAAAAAAAGGGTCAATCAATCAATCAATTTCAACTTCTCGCGGGAAAAAAAAGTTCTTGCAAAGTTGGAATGGATTGATTGAACTTTTTAGTCCCACCCAGTCTGCTGTTACCACTGCAGCCACGCCCACCTAATGGGCCACGCCCACCCGGCTCCCGACGATGCATAAGTGGGTTTTGGGTTGCAGTTTGGGCACCCGGTCTCTAAAAGGTTCACCATCACTGTGCTAGACCATCTAGCTAGCCCAGTCCCCGTTCTCTCTTCTGCAAGTTCAGCCCAGGCCATTTGTGGAGGCTTTGATCACCCAGAGGCAACCACCATTTTGATTTTCACTCCACATGCTCCCGAGTTTAATATTTTTGGGATCACAAACCTGGATTCCTCCATTAAATCCAAACTAGGAAATCACATGCGCCAGATCTGGAATCTTCCAATCCTGGCTAATCTCTAGCTGGGCTGGAAATCCACGTTGCCACCCCCCACCTATACATAAACGACCTATTGGGGTTGCTTACCTCTTGTTTCCAAAGTGACCGGCTCTGAAAACTCTCCCGCCACGGCTTTGTTGCAGGCTTTGACCCGAAAATTCATATATTTCATGTCGAATTTCAACCCTGTAGAGATGGAAAGGTGAAGAAGAATTAGAGAGAATCTAACATTTATGTCATCCAACTTGTATGCCGTCCCTTTAAAAGGCGGGACGTTGTTTTGGCTATAGTTCTCTCTTCTTCCTCCCCCTTTAAATCTTTCTCCTTCCTTCTTCAGCTGTGGATCCAGAAAGTTACATAATTTCTAAAAAAGAGTTATGGAAAAGGTGCAAAATATAAATATATTCGGCTTGATCAATATTTTTTCATTCTCCAAAAATTGTATTCTGGTGTTTCTCCATCTAGGCAGCTTTAAAATATGTGGACTTTGTCATATTGCGCTGAAATAACCCAGGAGTAAACATAGTAAACAGTGGTTTAAATAGTGGTTTATATTACCCCATCTACAATATATGCACTAGGAACAAAATACATACATGTGGTAATACAGCAAAATCCAACACACAGCAGTTACAGCAGGAATCAGACGAGAGAGAGAAACACTCCAGCAAAAGCCTTACCTTTTATACTCAGGCTCTTAAAGGGATACAGACCCTGCTTGCTCTTAAACGGACACAGGCCTTGCTGAGTCATTCCTATTGTTGCATCATCCACCTTATATTACATTACATCATTACATAAGCTGTTTAGCTATTAAATTAATACCTTGACAGACTTCAACTCCCAGAATTCCTCAGCTAGCTTTTGCTGGCTGGGGAATTCTGGGAGTTGATGTCCACACATTTTAAAGCTGTTTAGATTGAGAAACACTGCATTAAATTCAAATCATAATACAGGCAGTCCTTGATTTACAACATAGGCATCTATTCAAAATTATGATGGACCTCTCAAAAATATGATCCGGATTCAAAGTTCCGACAACAACACACACACACCTCTGATCATTTTTCGGTGATGTGTGAGATTTTTTTTTCCTGGAAACTTGCTTTGACTTCCTGTTTTATAATAATAATAATAATAATAATAATAATAATAATAATAATAATAATAATAATAAAGGCGGCCTTATTAGGAACTGCTTCCATCCTGCGACGATATCTGTAATACCATCAAACATCCACATCTGCCTATCCCAGGTCCTGGGTAAGGACTCGATAGGTAGACAAAATGCCAAATCCAGTCTGAACATCTGGCTGACTGTGCGATGATCAATAATAATAATAATAATAATAATAATAATAATAATAATAATAATAATAATAATAATAAAAGTTGGAAGGGACCTTGGAGGTCATCTAGTCCAACCCCCTGCTCAGGCAGGAAACCCTACACCATTTTGGACAAATGGCTGTCCAGTCTCTTCTTAAAAACTTCCAGTGTTGGAGCATTTATTGCTTCTGGAGCAATTAATACCCTGTGCTGACAATGGATTCATTTAACAACCCCCGTTTTTGCTCAACATCCCCTTCAAAAAAAAAAAAAAACCTCATAAAATCAGATTTGTTACAGGGCGACCTGCATAATGACCGTCATGCCTTAACAAGCAAAGTTGAGGCTCAATGATGATCATAAATTGAGGACTACCTGCAAACCTCTAATTTTTAATGTTTTAGTTTTATAGTTTTAATATGGTTTTGTATGTCTTTTAATTTTGGGTTGGGAGTTGGTTATAAAACGGGCGGCTAGGAAGAAATATTATAGAAGTTGTTATGTCCCGAGCCTTTGCAAACGGCTCGGGCGTTTGCAGGCAGTCCCGGGCAGGTGCAAAGCTGCCCGGGACCAGACAGGCTGTCGCCAGCGCCGTGCGCATGCGCGGGTGCTGGCGCGGGAAAAGTAACCCATTTACCCGGGAGTTGCCTATATAAGAGGCTGCGAGGCGTTTGGGCGAGGCTGAAGCCATCTTCCTGTAAGCTGAACGCTGAATAAATGAAACTGAGAACTCCAGCTGCTTCTCGTGTCTGTTTTCCCGCCACGGACTCAACACTGGCGACGAGGGTGGGATGCCTTGCACTACCTGGAAAGGAAGAAGTGTAAGCTTACCCAAGGAGTCCTGAGCGGCGGAAGAGGAACGGCGTCGACTCGGCAGCTACCCGCCAATCCGGTGCGCATTCGGGGGTAGGCTGGCTGATAGACCCGTCTCCTGAAGATCCGAAGATGGCGAAAATCGGAAGGCTTTCGGAATTCGACGTCTCACATCCAGAGCGGTGGGAGTCCTACGTATCCAGAATGGAGAACTACTTCAAGGCAAACCAAGTGAGGGAAGATAGCTTGAAGGCTGCCACCCTGCTTTGCGTTTGCGGCCAAGACGCCTTCGAAATCGCAGAAAACCTTGCAGCACCTGTTCCAGTAGAGTCTGTAAGCTACGCAGACCTGAAGAAGCTGCTGAAGGAGCACTTCCACCCCAAGGTGTCCGTTATCTCATGGCGCCACACCTTCGAGCAGAGGGATCAACGGTCAGGTGAAACAGCCAAGGAATACATCGCCGCGCTACGGAAGGCCGCCAAGCCCTGCGAGTTCAAGGACCTCGAGGGAACGACTGAGGGACCGATTCGTGTGCGGGCTAAGGCATCGAGAGGCTACAACAGAGACTTTTCGCAAAGGAAGAATTATCCTTCCAAGACGCCTTAAGGGAAGTCACCGCAGAAGAAGCAGCAGGCGGCGCCATCAAAAACATGCGGCCGATCAGAAACAGTGCAGAGGGTGCGTCCGTGCACCAGGAAGACGTCCGACGAAACTCCGAGGAGGATCCGGACGAGGAAGTCGACCGTCTACACCCCGCGAAGGAAGAGAACCAGAAGGGAAGCTCTTCGGCTCTGCTCAAGTGCATCGGCTGTGGAGGTCGCCACAGGAGAACCGACTGCAAGTTCCGCTCCGCTACCTGTCGGGCATGCGGCAAACAAGGGCATATTGCAGCTGTGTGTCTGAGCCGACGAAAGGCACAACCCCAAGAAGAACGCCTGAAAGGTACCAGATTCCCCAGCCAGAATAGGGTAGGGTTTTGCGCTTCGCGAAGAAGCATCTGTAGAACAGGCACACACAAGCCCATGAAGAAAAAGCTGTCACTCAACGTGAAGCTACAAGGGGTTCCATTATCTATGGAACTAGACACAGGGTCTGCCCTTTCCATCATTTCATTGAATACATTTAGGAAGATTTGTTCCAGTAGTGGGACTAAGGCCAAGTTAAGGCCTTCTGATATTGTATTAACTGATTTTCAGAACTCAAGAGTGTGTGTTAAGGGGGAGGCCACCATTAACGTGCAATACAAGAGTTTTGAAGGTCCACTAGACTTGTTAGTAGTAGGGGGTGAAAGAACGAGTCTCATAGGACTCGATTGGTTTGAGGCCCTGGGGATACACGTCACAGGACTCAACAGCTTAAAAACACTCGACCTACAGGAAGTCTGCAAGGAATTTGCAGATGTTTTCAGCCCCCAGCTGGGCACATTCAAAGGACCACCTGTGTCCTTAAAGCTAGACCCAACTGTCACTCCCATTAGGATTAAAGCAAGAAGGGTCCCTTTTGCTTTAAAAAGTAAGATTGACACTGAACTAGGGACAAACTAATCCAAACAGGGGAATCCTAGCAGACCTGTTTGATTGTCCAACCCGTGGGAGACCCCCATTGGTCACAGATCTAAAAGGAAATGGGACATTCGATCATTTGTGCTGATTACAAATGCACACTCAATTAAAGGCATTTGCAAGCAACAAGCTATCTGTTACTGTGGTCAGGTAACATCTGGCCCTCTCCAAGGGGGGCGTGTTTTTGCAAAGGCTTTGACCTAGCTCAAGCATATCAACAGCTGCCTGTTGATGATGATGCTGCCATAGCGCAGACCATTGTGACCCACAGGGGAGCCTTTAAAGTAAAAAGGCTACAGTTTGGAGTAAATGTCGCTCCTGGGATTTTCCAAAGCGTAATGGAAAACACACTACGAGGTATACCAGGGGTCTGCCCCTACTTTGAAGATGTCTTGATTGCAGGAGACTCCACACACATTCTAGCTGAAAGACTTAGGGCTGTCCTGTTAAGATTCAGGGAATCAGGCCTCAAGCTCAGAAAAGACAAATGCAAGATCGGGGTGCCTTCTACTGAATTTCTGGGATTCAAAATTGATGCTGCTGGGATTCATCATGCTGAATCCAAACTAACTGCTATTTTACAAGCACCCAGGCCAAAGTCTAAGGCCGAACTTCAGGCCTTCCTAGGCCTCCTGAATTTCTACAATTCTTTTCTTCCACATAAAGCTAGCGTAGCTGAGCCTCTTCACAGGCTACTCGACAAACAAGCTGTGTGGCTGTGGTCACAAGCACATGAGGCTTGCTTTAAAGAAGTCAAGGCCTTGCTCACTTCTAACAGTGTTCTTGCACATTGCAACGAGTCTCTTCCTGTGTGCATCGCTTGTGATGCATCCCCCTACGGGGTTGGAGCTGTCCTGAGTCACCTCAGGTCTGATGGAACTCAGGTTCCTATTGCATACTACTCCAGAACACTGTCTTATGCCGAGCGCAACTACGCTCAGATAGACAGGGAGGCTCTGGCTGTTGTTGCTGGAATTAAAAAATTCCACGATTTTCTATATGGCAGGCATTTCACGGTCTTCACTGACCATAAGCCTCTTTGCTGGGACTGTTTACCACACGTAAGCAGGACTCCCAACATTCATTCCCCTAGAATGTGCTTAGGTGCGTCATTTTCTGTCGCATATGATTTCTCATATCCCAGCTGGGAAAGAAATGGGCCATGCTGATGGCCTCAGTAGGGTGCCTCTGCCAGTAGTAGAAGCTGACCCCGCGCCAGCTGTCAACATTCTATCAATCCACGCCTTGCCCGAGCTCCCTCTTAGTGCCAGGGATGTTACCGCTGAAACAGGTACAGATCACACACTTTCACGTGTCCGCTCCTGGGTCCTGTCCGGGTGTCCTGAGCACTGCCCTAGTCCTGAGTTTCAGAGTTTCTGGTCCAAAAGAAACGAACTGTCCCTTTCTCAGGGTTGTCTGCTTTGGGGAAACAGAGTTGTCATTCCCACCTCAATGAGAACTAGGGTCTTAGAATCCCTCCACGAGGGTCATCCTGGCATTGTTCGTATGAAGGCTCTTGCACGCAGCCACTTGTGGTGGCCTGCTTTAGATAAAGATATTGAGGCTAAGGTACACGCATGCCACCTGTGCCAACGATCTCGCCCCGAGATGCCCCAAGCTCCTGTGCATAGATGGGAGGAAACACAGTCCCCATGGTCTAGGGTGCACATTGACTACGCTGGCCTTTCAGGGCCAGTTCTTCTTGGTCCTTGTTGACAGCCATTCAAAATGGCTTGAGGTTGTACCTGTCTCATCCACCACCACTGCAAAGACTATTCAGGTACTGAGGGGGATTTTTGCTGCACACGGGCTGCCAGATGTCATTGTGTCCGACAACGGCCCTCAATTCACCTCCTCCGAATTCCAAGCTTTCTTACAGGCAAACCTGATTCGTCCTGCCACGTCTGCGCCTTTTCACCCGTCCACCAACGGTATGGCTGAACGCATGGTGCGCATCGCAAAGGACGCCTTGAAGAGACTCACCTACGGGAACTGGCATCACAGGTTGGCTGACTTTCTCCTTTCTTATCGCACCACACCGTCCACTTCTACAGGGAGAAGTCCAGCTGAACTTCGTTGGTGGCGCCAACTTACTACGAGACTTGACCGGTTGCATCCGGACAGACTGCCTTCATCTACCTCACATCCTATGGCACCTAGACAACTACTTGTGAAGTGCCCCGGTTTGAGCCTCGCAATACGGGCCTGTCATACATGGGTCCACCGCTTCTGTGTCCAGGATCCAGGTCCCTCTCTCCTACGAGGTTGCCCTGGACAACGGTCGGTGTCCTGCGTCAGCACATCGACCAACTTCGCTCTAGGCGAGACTTGTCTGCTGAGACTCCTGGGTCTTTTCCAGGGGGGGAGGGGGACCCTTTGGAGCAAAGGGAAGGTCAAGAGCTACTGCCCATCTCCACTGAGGGAGCCACAAACGGCTCGTCCCAAGGTTCTGCAATTGCTCCGAAAAGAAAGTCATGGAGCTTACCCACACAACAGGCACTCACGCCTACTCCAGCCAGGGAGTCACCCGGGGGCATACTCACTTTCCACACACATCACACAGCACTCCAGTAACGGAGGATACCCGGGGGCATCCCAACAAATCATTCCCCGCAAGAGAGCTACTGGCACACAATTCCCAAGGGTTGGCCTGACCTTACCCCAAATCCTACAGGGGGTCAAACATACACAGAGCTAGTCAGGAACCAAGTCCCGACTACAACAACCCTAGCACAAATCAGGGAACACTGAGTTTTGGGAGAGTACAGAAACCCACATGAGCCCAAACACAGAATGGGTTTCAGGGAATGGACAGCCTCCTGACAGGTCTTGGACTGACCTAGGAGGTCCTACAGAGACGCCCAGCAGCGGCTATCACTTCAAGGGGCCTGAGGGTCTACAGCTAGGTAGGTCAACCAGGTCACAAAGTAACAGAAGCCCTGGCCTGACGAGCCCGGTGGGCAAGCAAGCAGGCCAGGCATCGGGGCACAGTCCTTGGAAGACACCAGGGCACAATAGAGAGAACAGGCTCACGCCTCCCTCCAGTCAGGGGACTTATGCCAGTAACCCAGAGCTAAGAAGGTCACAGAGAGCAAAGAAATCTCCTAAGTATCTAGAAGATTACATAACATTGCTGGCAAGGCAAAAGCCAGTAATCAGTGGGAGCACTGGGGAGCAAAATGTCATATAAAATAAATGTTGTATGTTGGTAGTAGTTTTAGCCCGGGGGAAAGGGGTGTTATGTCCCGAGCCTTTGCAAACGGCTCGGGCGTTTGCAGGCAGTCCCGGGCAGGTGCAAAGCTGCCCGGGACCAGACAGGCTGTCGCCAGCGCCGTGCGCATGCGCGGGTGCTGGCGCGGGAAAAGTAACCCATTTACCCGGGAGTTGCCTATATAAGAGGCTGCGAGGCGTTTGGGCGAGGCTGAAGCCATCTTCCTGTAAGCTGAACGCTGAATAAATGAAACTGAGAACTCCAGCTGCTTCTCGTGTCTGTTTTCCCGCCACGGACTCAACAGTAATTGCAGGCTCAATTACGGTCGTAACTTGAGGATTACCTGTATAAAGAATGGGTCCAATGCTGCGGTCCCTGACTATTCTTGTGAGATTTCCACAGAGGGAGCTCATGAGGAGAGTTCTATATGGACTTGTGGCTTGTGTGGCTTGTGTGGCTTGTGTTATTAATTCCCCTCCAGCTAGATAATTGTGAATGAGTTCAGGCAGGTTCTGGCTAGGAGTTGTTTTGGGGTCCCTTCTTTCCCTTCTTTTGATATTCCCAAAATCTTGGGTAGTGGTGCGATGATTAGAATGCAGTATAGCAGATTAACTCTGCATTCCACTGCCAGGAATTCGATCCTGACTGGCTCAAAGTTGACTTAGCCTGCCATCCTTCTGGCATTAGTAAAATGAGGACTCAGATTGTTGGGGGCAATATGTTGACTCTGTAAACCACTTAAAGAGGGCTGTAAACCACTGTGAAGTGGTATGTAAGTCTAAGTGCTATTGCTATTGTTTACAGTTTGCCGACCTGTCAGATGCAGCCAATCGGAATCACGAGGCCCTTCGCCAGGCCAAACAGGAGATGAACGAATCTCGCCGTCAGATCCAGACCTTGACCTGTGAGGTGGATGGACTCAAAGGAACAGTGAGTAAAACACCCATCCTGCTTCAACCTGGGGCAGTAGCAGAGTGCGGCATAGGTCAAAGAACAAGAGAGGGAAAGCCACAGGTCAGCTGATGATGCTGTCTTAGCTTCACCATGCCTTGCTCTGCATGGTGAAATCCCAGAAGAAAGATTGATTACAGCAATCAAATTATGACAACTTCATTGGTTATTGGGCAGTGGTGGGATTCAAATATCTGAACAACCAGTTCTCTGCATGGATGCCACTTCTGGAAGTCCGTTCTGAGCCAGGGAGGCCTCCCAGGCCCAGAACTGACTGCCAGAAGTATGTGGATGCCACTTCTGGTGGGCTGTTCTGGGCCTGGGAGGCCTTCCCGGCTCAGAACGGACTTCCAGAAATGGCGTCTACTCACTTCTGGTGGTCCATTCTGGGCCTTGCAAAAAAGGGCTAGGGCATCAGCTGGTTCTCCAACAAAAAATTAGTTACCAATTCTACTGAATTGATGCGAACCAGCTAAATCCCACCACTGCTACTGGGCCATTTGCAGATTCTGTCTATGACCAGCAAAAACTCTGTATGATACAGGATCAAGCCACCTTCCTTCACCTTAGCCTGCCTGAATTTTAAGATCTTCAGGTGGAAATCTCCTTGCACTGCTTCAACCCTACTGGAGCATGTTTGACAGGAATACAAAAAGTGCCTACTTGGTGATGGCTCCTCCCAGGCTCTAGAACAGTGGTTTTCAACCTTTCTAATGCCGCGACCCCATAATACAGTTTCCCATGTTGTGGTGACCCCCAACCACTTATACATCACCGGGTGCCAGGGGCGTGGCCAAAGAAAAGGGGAAAAAATGGCGGACAGCCTTGTTTGGCGACCCCCATGAAATGGTCATTCAACCCCAAATGGGGTCCCAACCCACAGGTTGAGAACCACTGCTCTAGAATCACTAAATTGACTCTATCTTCTGCAACTTCCCGGTGGTGGCAAAGATCTTGTTCAGGCAGTTTTTGGGGCTTTAGGATGATTTGTCAGTAACTGAAACAGGTTTGGATAAGTAGCTGCTGTTCATTTTCTAACTCAGTTGATGTATTTTAGTCAGATTTTTATATTTGGTTGTTGGTAGCCTTGAGCACCATTTATAGTTGAAAGGCAGACTGTAAATGCAATAAATACGGTAAAATGAAGAGGGGAAGCCACCTGGAGTGCTATCAAGCTGTCTGGATTCAACTGCTTTTATAGTCTGTTTTGACCAGAAGTTACCTCTGCACCCCTCAGGATCATCTTAGTTGCTTATGAATGAGTGAGATTTTGGGGGTCAGTATCCATTTCATGAATTTCAGTCTTGGTGCTGCTCGCTCTTCATCTTGTTAGAATGAAGCCTTGCTGAGACAGATGCGAGATCTTGAGGACCAATATGGAGCCGAAGTGGGCTCCTACCAAGAGACAGTGGCGCGGCTGGAGCAGGAGATCCATCACATGAAGGAAGAGATGGCTCGACACCTCCGGGAGTACCAGGACCTGCTGAATGTCAAGATGGCTCTTGACATTGAAATTGCGACTTACCGCAAGCTGTTGGAAGGAGAGGAAAGTAGGTAGGTCAACAGTGGTCAGATCCTGCCCTGCTCATCTTTTAGGTTCATGGGCACATTTTGAATGTTCATGGGTGCCACCCCTGAGTGGCTAGTGCAGGCAGCATGGTAAGGCACAAAACACTGGAAGACGTAAATTGGTTTTGGGGAGACAAGGACTTACCCAGGAAACTGAGCATGAAGCAGACATGAAGGTTGCTGAGCCATAAGGCTATTCATTGGGCTCCACCTAAAATTGTCCAGTCTTTTCTTTTCCTAACCTTTCTGATAGCTAGGCATTTCCCCTCTGTTTACACCAATCTTGCTCTAATGCTCTCCCCTCCATATCCTTTCAGCATTTTCATATCTGGACACATGACCATTAGACCAGGTGCATGTAGGAAAGTTTCTGGAATAATTTAGGCCAATCTTGCTTTGTGGGATGCCTGGCACGTGTTTCTTCTATTTCAGATAGTAGGGTGGGTGGGCACCGGAAGGTTGATCTGCAGCTGTCTTGGTTATAGTTTCAGCATTGAGAAAGATAGTCCCTATTTTTACCTAGTTCTAAATAACATTTTATAGGAATATGTGAGGAGGAGGGAGGTCTTCTCCTTTCCTGGGAGGAATGCAAAAAAGCCATTTTAAAGAGAAAGTTTGGAAATTAACTTGTAGAAGTTTCTGTAATGCTCACTGCCCCGTATCTTCCTTGCAGGATTGCAGTACCTGTCCAATCCATGGCATCTTTCAGCATCAAAACTGCAGGTGAGCCAATAGCCAGCATGGGTCTTCAATGCACCCACATGCTTTTATGTTGTTTGACAAAATTATGGGCTTCTGAAAGAGATGGTAGCAGTGGCACAGAAGTCAGCAATATTCTAGGTCAGGGGTAGGCAACCTTGGCTCTTTTATGACTCGTGGAGTTCAACTCCCAGAATTCCTGAGCCAGCATGGCTCAGCTTGGAAACCTCTCCCTTTCCCCTCAGCATGGCTGGCTCAGGAATTCTGGGAGTTGAAGTCCACGAGTCATAAAAGAGCCAAGGTTGCCTATCCCTGTTCCAGGTGGAGCCAAGCATCTTTTTTGGCCATATTTTGCACATGCTTTATTTCTACCAAGCAGTAACTTGAGGGGAACATTTTGGCTTGATGAGAACAAGCTTGGCTTTGGAGGTTCCCTTATCTCAAGTTGTGCAGGCAATCGTGCCTTAGCCTCAGTTGCTTTTTCTTGGAAAGAGACCCAAAGGCTCCTTTGCTCTCCCCACCTTCCACGTTCCTTTCTTTCTAATTTCTCCCAGCCAAAGATCTGTCATGATGGGTGTATGAGTGAAAGAAGATAGCTGAGTGCTGGGTGTTTGGGAGCTGTAGTCCTCAGTCCCCTGCATGACCCTGGATGGGGTGAAGTAAGGGGCCTTGAATGCTGAGCCTTTTCTCCCTCAAACCTCCCTCCTCCTTAGTTTCAGAGCCAGATCCAAGTGCAGAGAGCCATACCCGGAAGACGGTGCTGATCAAAACCATTGAAACCCAGGATGGAGAGGCAAGTCAATGAGCTGTTCATACTGGAGATTTGTGTGAAAGAGGAACTCGGGGCAGAGGTGTGATTTTTAAGTTGTGGAGATTGGACCTAAGCCTAGGGCACAGCAAATAACTCCAGAGGCCTAATTAGGGTTTTGCTGTTATTTCAGTCAACCAAAGGAAACCTGGCTTCATAAAAGTCCTGAGGGGTGCCAGGTTGGGGAAGGATTGCCCTCTGCTGCTCTCATAGCTTGGCTTTTTCTCTTCCTGCAGGTGGTGACCGAATCAAGGAAGGAGCAGAGAGCTGAGATAGAGAAGTGAGGCTGGCCACCCCAGCAGGGTCCCCTGGGCCACTGAGAGAGGCACTAAGCTCACCTCTTTGCAAACGTCCCAGTCGCAGATCCCCCTTTTCCCTCACTAAGCCACACTGGCCTTATTTACGATGGTGATGTTGATGATACCTCTTACCACTGGCAGCCTTCCCACACTGTTCCAGGCTCCCTAAGACAGCCCTCTCTGGCCTTCGGACCGTACTCTGTTCACAGCCTGGTGGCAGTCCCACCAGTAATTACCATTGGTCTTGGGAGTGGAGATGGCTTCACCCTGCTCTTTTCTTCCACCGCCTCCTACCTCTTCGTACCACATTCCTTCTCATCCCTCCCTGCAAAGAACCCTTCTCTAATCACTACCCCCAAAACCAAGCTGCCTTCCTGTAAAGTACCACTCACAAAGCCAGCCCACCCTAGGAACCAATTTGCCATGTATGTTTAGATGGAATCTAAAGGCTGTGGCCTTCCGGCTGTTGTGGAATTAAAACTCCCAGCCTCCTAAGTCATACAGAGTGCTGCTGGGACTTGTAGTTCAGCAATAGGTGGAAGGTTCCAGGTTCCCTACCACTGCCAAACACTTAGATGGCTGCAGATTGGCAAGCTCTGACAACTTGCAAGGGCCACTAAGCACAACAACTTGGAAGCACCAAAGAAGGCTAGGAGCTTGCTCATGACCTTATTTTACAGCTCTTGTTGAATCTAAACGATTCTATGTGCTGACCACAGACACCTCCCATGGTTTACAAAGCTTTTCAAGAGAATCATGCTTTGTCAAGATGCAATAGGTTTGGCTTCCCAATTAGTTCTCACTTCTGTGAACTTACTTTGAGAAGGTGCATATTTAGCTTCACCTCATCTGTACTGAAAGGGAGAATAGCACTGGCCAACTTTATAGGGCTGTTTTAAGGTTGACAAGGTAATGCAACAAAAGCATTTTAAATATTAAATAGTAACAAGTGTTAATTTCCTCAGTTGTCGAGCCCCAATCTGGTGGTCTCCAGATGTGTTGACTCCAATTCTCATAATTCCTAAGCAGCGTGATACTGGCTGGGGTTGTGAGAATTAATTTACTGCAACAAGGGAGTGGAAGTGGAGAATACTACGTCAGATCTTCTCAAACAAGCTCCCAAATGAATGCATATACAACAGATTATTGTCTTTTTATTTTTTACAGCAAATTTTGTAAGGGAATCTTTAAAAAGAACCCTCTAAAATAAGTCTTTTGACCATTAGTGCGTTGTTTCCCAATACTGAAGGGTGCTTAGCGGTAATTTTAAGAAACTGATCCAGTAGATCAGAGGTCCCCAACCTTTTGAGCACCAGGGACCGGTTCCGTGGAGAAAGGTTTTTCCGTGGACCGGAGGGTGCGTGGTTTTGTGCTGCCTGCATCTCGCGGATAGGGCTTTGCTAGCATGCCATGGCCCAGTACTGGTCCACGGACCAGTGGTTGGACCCCTGCAGTAGATGTTTACTCAGAAGCCTCAATTCTTTCTTAACCATTTGACTTCCTTTCATTCAAATATGATTTTAGTGCACTTCTAAAAATGATGTCAACTTTGCCTTCTAAGGCAAAAGTAAAGCTAGAAAGCTGCCTTACACTAGAAATTGTGAGTCACAGGGAAAAGAATATTTTTCTGTTCAGCTCTTTAATGCTCCTCTGTCAAAAAAACCCAACTTTTTTCTGCTCCCTTTCTGGGAGAAAGGATCAGGTTGAGACCATCATGGAATTCCCCTTCATCTGCATTGCATATAATTAAGTGTTGTGCAGGCAAAGAAAGCAGATGAGCATTTCTAGAATTTTGAAAAACTCCAAACAATTGCCTTTAATTCACAGGGTCAAACAAACTACAGAACAACAAAAAAAAGAGAGCAAAAAATGCTTACTACCAGTGGTGCTGATTTACAGCCTTAATAAGCAGCAATTCCATCATGTATGAAAGGCATCCAAGACTTCTGTTTAGCACAGTGGTCCTCAACCTTTTTAATGCTGCGACCCCCAACCGGTTGTAAGTCAAGGACTACTCAACCAGTCGTAAGTCAAGGACTATTCAACTGGTGCAGCACCGTTTGCAGAATGGGACTTTTGGCAGGCTCAGCAGGGCAGAGACAGCCTGGACAATTCCTATTGGCTTTTGAAAGCCAATAGAATTAGACTCTATTCAAGAGAGTCTATTCTATTGGCTTTCAAAAGCCAAAAGAATAAAAGGGAGTAGCACAGCTAAGGAAAAGGGGGAAAAAATGGCGGACTGCGTTGTTTGGCGACCCCCGTGAAATGGTCGTTCAACCCCAAATGGGGTCCCGACCCACAGGTTAAGAACCACTGGTTTAGCAGAAGTGGTCACCAAGATTTCAGTGAAGCTTCTGAATCCCTTGTCTATGAACTTGAGAACCCCAGCGACTGTGTGAACGCAACCTCAGTTGGGTGCTAAATGGCCAAAATGGGATTTTGATTTGATTTTGATTTTTTAAAATATAATCCCAAATGGGATTATATTTATGACATCCTGTTGTTATAATGTCATATCCTTGTCTTCTTGTGGCCCTCAAACTGCTGCCTCTTCATTCCTTCATGGGATCTGTAACGTCTCATAAGAGGTAGCACCAAACTCTTATTTCCAGTCTGTCCAGTTTTTAGTCAAATCCAGCTTTCTTTTTGTCAGATGGACATCTTCTTTCACACATTTTCTTTTCTATCCAACAATCTGAGGACTCGTCTTTTCTTTCCTCTCATTTTTGCCCTTGATATTCCAGACTTGTACCTTTCAGATAGAATATGGTAACCATTGCATTTCTGCTACTAATTCCATTCTTGTCAGCCCCTGAAGATAAGCCAGGGCAGGAAGCAGAGCCCACCAAGGCTACAGGAACGTTACTAAGTTATGTTAACAGATTCTTGAAAGACTGACAGATTTCCCCCCCCCCCTCTGCTTCTCTTGCACCAAAGGGAATCTACATGGGCCTGGGTTTTTTTTCCCCTCGCCTCATCTTTCATCTTTAAGTAAACAAGTTGATGTTTACTCAACTATTCTTGCTTTTCTTTTTCAAGTTTTATTTTCATATTTCTGTACATTCCCTATCTTGCTGGAAGAAGGAAAGCTGCCGTAGAAGCTTTCTACCTTAAACTCAGGAGTCATCTTGATAAGCAAGAAGTCTTTTATTTATTTATTTATTTATTTATTTATTTATTTATTTATTTATTTATTTATTTATGAGACTTATATACCGCTTTAAGTGCAAGCACTCTCTAAGCGGTGTACACCAGTAAGCAATGTATATATATATATTTACATTGCTCCCAACAATCTGGGTCCTCATTTTACCTACTCCGGAAGGATGGAAAGCTGAGTCAACCTTGAGCCGGTGAGATTTGAACCGCTGACCTGCTGAACACAGTCAGCTAAAGTGGCCTGCAGTACTTGTCTTGTCTTCTCATTTCTCCAGATTCATTCCAGAAAGAAATAAACTTCAGGGAGTTGTTTCTCCATGGATGTTTGGTTCATCCCTCCATTCTCTCAGACCAAGACCAGTCAACTTTTTAATGGCTGGGGCTGGGGCTGATGCTTATTTTATTTTAGGGGACAGTGAATGCAGGGCAGTTATAGAATGGATGAAACCGATTTTTGAAGGCATTATTTTGGCTCAAAGTGCCATCTTTGCTTAGTCTGAATTGCTACCAAATCATACAGTGCAGGGGTGTGTGTCATAAAATGGTACTTGAGCTGCTTATAATCTACACATGGAGCATAGGATGGAGTGATTATACTTGTCTTTAGAGATAGGAATTTCTGAAACAGTAAATCTCACTTAACCTTGATGACTTTTTAAGTGAGTTAGCAGCTGAAGTATTCTCTATGATTGTGCTTTCTTCTTTGATCCCCCCCCAATCACTGTTACTTATTCTTAATTTCTTACTCCTTGTTAATGGTCCAGTAGGGTTATTACTTCTTTCCTTGAAAATCAGTTAAAGCAATAGCTACCAAAATTCTTGAAATCTGGCTTTAATATCAGCTTTAATTGCTTAGTTGAAGTTAGATAACCTCTGCCACATAGAAGCATTTCTGATCATGATTGCTTACAGTGGACAGCCCAGTTTCCCATCATTTCGAGATATTTAAAAGACCAGGGAAAATTTCAAAATAAGCATATTGGAAAAAAAAGACACCCCCCCCCAACTTCCCCTGATGCAAAGGAACATTAGGTGCCGCCCCTCGGTGGCCAAAGGGTTACCCACCTCTGATAAAAGCTCTAATTTGTCTGAATCAAGACAGATTTGAAACGCAGAGAAGTTGCATGTGAGCTTTCCACTTCTATCTATTGTGTTTGCTTGTGGTCCGTGTGCCTTGGCCTATGTGTAGCTCTATACTGCGGGTAAAGAGCTCTTTATGCCTGCAGGTGCCAGTCTGTATGTCAATATCTTGACTGGTTATTCCAGATTACTTCAGACCAGACCCCAACCCACACCTCCTCCTCTATTTCCCCTTACAATCAGAGCCAAAAGATGACTGGTATACTAGATCAGAGGTCCCCAACCTTGGCAACTTTAAGACTTCTGGACTTGAACTCTCAGAATTCCTCAGCCAGCCAAGCTGACTGAGGAATTCTGGGAGTTGAAGTCCACAAGTCATGAAGGGACCAAATTTGGAGACCCCTGTACTAGATCATCCTTTCCCTGTTGCTTGCCACGTTCTTTTGTTTTGCTGCTGCTTTGCTTTCTTGCTATCTTTGGAGTTGCCAGATTTCCTTACACGTTAGTTCTCATGAATATACTGGTTTCTTAAAATATTGCTACAGTTACTGGGACCTGGCACTCCTAAGGAAGGGAACAAGCAGGAGAGAGCAGGGGAAGACTTGGCTGGAATGTCTTCTCAGCTGATTTGTTGAGACCTTGGGTGAGTTCTCAGTCCTTCTGCACATGATGAATGCAGAATACATTATGTTAAATGGAAGTCAACCCGGTATGAATAAGGTTTTCAGATACAATATAGAACACTCCACCTCATAGATCATACTTCCAAATCTACGTAGTAATTCTTAGAATAATTCATATGAAAGATGAAGATTCGCCAAAGGACTTGGAGCTTGTTAGAGAAAGTACTTTATAGCAGACTAAGTATCAAAAACTTAAATGGAGACATCGGTAATATATGGTGGCTCAGAAGAGACATTGTGAGGAATTCCATTTCCACTTAGTTTCTTCTATGAGTTTGAATATTGAAGTTCACCTGAACCAAAAAGAGATTCTTGTACCTTTCAGTTGAGGTTCCTTAACGGTGTGGTCATATACACAATGAGTGACATTAACCCAAAAGACGTTTGTTAATGCATTTAAGATTATACCTTTCCTATTAATTTCACCATGACCGAGGCATCAAACCGATGGTGATAGCTGCATTTTCACCTAGTTCTTAAGTAGGATTATTTCCTCTGCTTTTATTTGCATTATTCCCATGAAAGTCCATGCAAGAGCTAAATAATGCAGAACAGCTACTTGGAAAACTGGTATCTTGATTTCCAGGATGTATCTGCTTCTGATTTAGAATGAATTTACAGAATTAATCTCCATTTGGGATCTTGCTAATCAATACCACTTAGAGTTGCTAACTTCTATTGATCTTCAGTGTGTGCTTCTAATGCTTAAAATGCAAAAATTAAGATGCAGGAGGTTTAACTGGCAATAGCTGTGTGTTAGAATCAGCCAAAATATTGAATCAGCCAACCTTAATTTAATTGCAAAAAATCTTGAAGTAATTGAAAGGGGAAGCAAGCGAATCTGTGTTCCTGAAAAGAATGCCCAGTTGAACATCAAAAATAGTACATATGGAAATAAGATCATAGCTTTTATCCTCAGTCCAGTAATACCAATTTTTATGCCTCTATTACTGTCTCATTATACAATTGATTTTGTTTACATTGCTTTGAGAACTTTTTCTAGCACAATGACCTCATTATTATTTATAACTTGAAGGAGTAGAGTATTGGGATACTGCTTTAAACCATTTTACTTCATGACTATCCTATCCTGTCCTTTCTATCAACCAAAATTATGACTAGTCCTCTTATAAACATCTATATTATTGTTAGTAATTATACATACTTTCATGCATCTTGCTCCTCATGTTTGAGCTAGAGGCAATAAAGTATGTAGCTTTGCAAAAAATGTTAACAGAGGTTCACAAGCCTTCAAAATATTTGCCCAATAATAGTTGAGAACCTCAATGATACTGAGATAGCTTTTCCTGTTTTCTTCCAAATTATTCCAGAGGCATTTATTTCCAGTCTTCAAGATCCTTTGTCACTTTTTTCTTTCTGCCAATTTTGTAATTTTTTTTGTCCTTCTGTTGCTAAAATCAGAAATTAGATCAACGCTAGTATTCAAGTTTGCTTGTAAGATTCAAGATTGTGTTTCTCTGATCCCCTCTTGCAACAAGTTCAGTAACAACTTACTTCAAACATGCCACCTGCTGCACACTTTCAGGATCAGTAATTTCTAGCTGACTTAAGGCACAAATGTTTCTAGTCATAGAGTTGCCAACTGCCAAATCCAACTTAATGATCCTGTGGGAAACTAGGGCACTACCTTTCTGGCTATTTTATCTTTTTACCTATACTTCTCCTTCCCAACTGAGGAACAATTTTATAATCTCAGTAGCTACAGTACACCAGAGTAGGAAAGGAACAAATTGATGACACAGGAAGTACACAATGTCATGCTATCTAATGGACCTTCCCACAACAAGTCTGGACTATCAAGCTATGTCCAGGCAGAACTTCACTCGCATTTTGTCCTTCCAACTTTTGCTTTTCATAGCAGATAGTTTAGCATTTTAATTTTTTTGTGAGCAGGTAATTTGAAAAATATTTATTATATACTGTTTAAATTTTATACCATTATTGAAGTTGGCCTTCACTGTAAAATACAAGAAATTTTCCCCATGGAGACCACAGCATTTTCCCCTTTTCCTAACCAGGCTAATCCTGCAAATTAACTAGGAAAATAAAAGCATCTTTGGTAGTAAGCAAGATGGCTTAAAAACGTTGAGAAAACAGCATTGTTTCCTTGCACGGATGCGAAAATCTTGCCAGCTTTAAAACACTTAAGCTTGAACGTGGCTATTCCGTGCTCTCAGGATGTGTTCCAAGTTCGAGATTTCTGGCAAGGTGGGAACAGTGTCAGAGCTTCAACAAACTTTGACTTTGCTACGTTTTACTCAGCTTTACTTCTTGGCCTCTTAGCGTGCATTCTCTTGTAGAGATTTCTCTACAGGGTGGAAGGGCCTAAATAATATTTCCTGTGATCAGTCCCTTATAAATGGCTCTGGCACATTTCAGAACTCCAGTTTGGAATTCTGATACGTTGCACCTTCTCCCCTTTATCCCCCCCCAAAAGAACAATAGGTTTTGAAAACCTCCCGGGCTTATACTTAATGGGCTTTGGGCACTGGTTACTGCTTTTGATAGCTCTCAATTTCCATGTTCTTTGCAGAGCTAGTAGAGATTCCTGGTGCTAACTCTTCCCATGCCAATGGATCTCTGCATCTCTCCTGCTATGCTATGCTAATTCTGTCGACCCCAATTCCTCCCTTGGATATCCACATCAATTGGCTCTCCAGAACACCTTTCCTTGCAATTAGGCTTGCTTTATTAAATATCTAGCTTGGGGAAATACGATGTAGTTTGCCCAGGTAACAACTCAACCTATTATAGTACATACTCCGGTGAAGAAACAGGCTACGTGAAGACTGGGAGTGGTGGCAGTCATTCTGTTCCTGGTGCTTCCTGATCTCCGCTGAATAATCTTGGTTTTGTGATGCCCATGGTCAGTGTGTGGAATAGGCCACGTATGCTTTGAACCAGCCAATAAATTTAATGTGAAGAGTGTCCTGCTGCATATTTTTTGGGTGTGTGTGTGTGCTTTGAATGTCAACAGAAACTTCCCCACATAATTCCAAGCTCTGGTCCTGTTTGATTTTGTTAAAGCCAGGTGGCTGCTGAAAACTTCTACTAGCTTTGCTTAGATTTGTCAAGCAAGGACATTATTTTTCTCTGCCATTTAAAACTTTTCTGTGACCTCATTCATGCATTGTACTAAGCCAGGAGTCTTCAAGCTTGGCCCTTTTATGACTTGTGGACTTCAACTTGCCTGGCTGAGGAATTCTGGGAGTTGAAGTCCACAAGTCATAAAAGGGCCAAGTTTGAAGACCCCCTGTACTAGGCCCTAGCTTCTAATGGTTGCACATGTGAACCCAACCAACTGCATTTTAGTTAATAAACTGTAATTTAAAAACCATGGTTTGACATAATAGTGAAGAACTGTTTTTCAGTTCAATAGTTGCACAAAAAAGACCTTGAGCAGCATATAAGGCCCCAAGGCAGCCAATCCAATAAGTTGGTTTAATTCTATGATTAAATATTAACTAAACTACTTTCTGTAAACACTGAGTTAGCAAAAGTTGACTGTAGCCTATAAAGCTCCAAAAGCATCAAAAGTGTAACAGTTAAAAATCAAACATATGAATGCAAAAACAGTGAAGGTATAAAAGCTCTGGCTTTATCCTGTGCTTTAGACAAGATACCAGAATTTCATCTTCACCAAATGGGCAACCTGAAAAAAAGTCAACATGTATCTGATTCAAAGCCTGCAGAGAGATTGAAGCCCACCTGAAGAAAATGTGATGGCCTTTTAAACAGTTTTGTATGAAGCAAGTGTTGGTCTCAATGATCCAGCTGCTGGATTATGCATCATTTCTACTTTTGCTTAGCAAAAACTCTTAAAGCACATTTGATAAGCAGCCAAAACCTAGTGAAAAGTGATCATTAGTATGAACTTGGTCCTCAGGTATAACCTTTTAGAAGCCCTGATTTTATTCTCGCTTATTAACCATAAGGTGCATCTGAAAGAAAATGTTCTGATTCAAGTCACACGCACAGTAATAGGTGAAAGTAGAGTGTGTCTATTGCACATTTGTTATAGCAATATCCCCCAGGTTACAAACTCCCCTCCCAAGCGGTTTAGTGAGTAAGTCCAAGCACACACACAGGAAATTAAAGCAATTAAAGCAGGTAAATGTCCCCTACAAGAAAACCTCCCCGAGGCAAGACCAAATCCAAATGCAAATCCAAGTCCCGGTCCAAAAAAAGATAAACCCAAGGATCACTGTGCAAAATCAGGATAGAGGAAGCACAGAGCCAAAGACAACACTCAGGAAAACTAATGGTGATCTTCATCAACCACTCCCTCCTGCCTGCGTACTGAGTAATCCACAACCTGGTGTTCCTGATTAGGAGGAGCAAGGCTGTTTCCTCACAAACAGCCTCCCTGATCTTCTCTGAGCTTCCCATTTCTTTGCGAAGAGCAGCCTCTCTCTGACCTCTTTTGAGCTTCTCATCTTTCAGCTCTTCAGATTGTCAGGATCAGGTGTGTGTGTATTGTGTGTGTGTAGCAACTGTTCATCATCAGAGGCAGCCTGTTATTAATGTCAGTGGCAGCCATGCCTCTTTCTCTTGTTGAGTGGGTAGCTGTCCATCCTGTTGATCATGCCTGATGGATCTGCGAAGCATCCTCCTCTACCCCCAGACTTTGAGTGCTCCTGGGACCCTGGATCCCTGTATTTGATGGCCCTGGTTCCAGCTCACCCTCCTCTAAGTCAGCAACCAATGACAAAAACACAAATTGTAGGGGGGGGAAAAAGAGAAAGCAAACTCAAGCTAAACCAAGGGTCAGTTAATGAGGGTTTAGAGAAAAGAGTCTTCTGACTTGTGGGGTTTTAAGCAGATGTTCAAAAAGTTACCACACTAACTGGCTTTTAGCAGCCTTTGATGTTCACTCTTCCTATCATTGTGAAGCAGAATTCACCAAGTGTTGGGACTGTTTACTCACTGTTTTTTCACTTATCTGGGGTGGCGTGGGGTGGGGCAAGACCCAATGGCTCTTGCTTCAGGATTCAAGAGCCTGGCACTGGCTGAGCACAATCTGCTCCAAGAACAGGATCAGATGGGGAGTTTGGGAAGATATGCGCATCAAACTTGTAAGGCAAGTGTTGTAAGACAAGCTCAGGAAGGACAGAAACCACCATTGGAGCAGAAGGGCAAATACTTGCTTGATCTTGATTTCAGTAGAAATAGACCACGAACAATCCTTCTGACTTTGGGGGTTTTACATCCAAACTGGTTAGGTTCACACAAGTAACTGAGCTGCTATTTGCTAGGTTTCATATCAGCATCCAAAAAAAACCCCAACACCACAGCCAGCCTCGTATGGTGGCTAAGGCACCAGCCTATAAACAGGGAGACCAGGAGTTGTAGTCCTGCCTTAGGCCCAAAGCCAGCTGGCCGACCTTGGGCTAGCTAGTCTCTCTCTCTCCCTCTCCCTCTCTCTCCTCCAGAAAGGAGCAGACAACGGCAAACTACTTCTGAAATCTTGCCAAGAAAACTGCAGGGACTTGTCCAAATAGCAGCCAGCAGTCAAGACTTCCTTGAAGGAAAGCAAGCAAAATGTCACCAACGAACAAGTCACACGCTCACCAAGCCCGGCTAATCCTATCTTAACTCCAGTACTGAGGATCGCCCCACCCCTTTCCTCGGGACGCAATTCTAGCCAATCAAAGCACGCCGAACGCCTCCCTTTGTCCTCTTCCGCTCCAGAACTCCCCCTCAGCATTCTAGCCTCGCCTCCTGGCAGACCACGTGATCGCTGGGACGGGCCAATCGGCGCCTTCTGCTACTTTATGAACTGCGCCTCGCTTGCCTTGCTAGAGGAGGGGATGGTCCGGAGCAGGTGAGCAACAGGGGGCGAGGGCTGGCCAGTCCGGCCGAAACTGACCGGGGTGATGACGAAGCATAAGCAGAGCTTACCTGAGAAGGCCTCCCTCTCTCGGGAAACGGTGTTGAGCCGAAGGCGGGCCGTCTTATGAACGGGAGCTACCAACGACGGTCGCTAGGGAGACCGTTGCGCCGTTTTCAAACGTTACGCTGACACCTTTTAGCTGCACACGGGTCAGCTGAACTTCGGTCACTCGGTGTTGGCGACAGTGGGGCGAGGAGGTGGATTTATCTGTCCGGGTAACGAGGATTAGGCCTTTTCATATAAACGCCACGTCGGGTTTGTGGGTTATTCCCACAAGGCATTAACTGAGTTAACCCATTTCCCCGTATTCCCTCTGAAGTATCGGTTACTGTAACATCATCGAGCAATAAGCAAATCGGTTTTTTTTAGTTTAGTCTGTTATGCGGACTCAGCGTAAAAGTGCTGGAATTGGGAGGGGGGAAGTGTAATTGACCATCAAGTGCTAATGACAGTGGATGTAAACAGAAATGCACAACGAATAAATGAGAAACCACGATTGTGGGAAAAAGCATATTGGACAAGTCGAATTGTATTCCACCCTGGTAATTGCTACAGTGCTTGCTTGCTTTTGATGTAGGTGCAAACCCAGGCAGACGGGATCCTAAATGGCTCCAGTAGGAAAGGAAAACCAGCAAGTACCTTTGCCCTTTCCGAAGACCCTTGACAAACCAAGTTGGAAGGAAAACACTTTGCTGGCTGCAGGCACTTCCAGTAGCAGTAAGATCCCGGTCCTTTCCAAAAGCAGACACCCTCCAGAGTGGAGACAATCCCAGCCACAGGTGAACATGATGGAGTCACTTTTGACTTAGGCCTGTGTGGTTTTGAGTTTCTGCTTATGTTTGTTTTGATACTTGGCTGTATGTTTCTTTATGAATTAATTCTACGAGGCTGCCCTGTTCAAAACAATTCTGGGAATTGTACATATTATAAATTGACATAGTTTAAAAAAGTGATAACCCAGAAACTAATACACAATAAAGGAGAATATTTGTAGCTCAGGGCTGAAATGAAGGATCGTTAGTAGTTTTCTTGCAGACATTTTGAACCCCAAATTAGGTAACATGATCAGTGCTACCGTAGTAAGGAGTGGGCTTTGTTCTCACTTTATAATCTAGTGGCTTGCCTTGTCAGTGTTGATGAGGTGGTGGTCTTAGTGGGGGTTTGTGCTGTTTATAATGTTGGCTTGTTTGGCAGTTCCTTGATTGGGGTATTGTTTACTTGATTGTTGGTCTGATAAATTTTGGAGTTAATCTATACTCATCTGGGTGCTGATTGCTGACAGGGAGGTGCTTTAGTCTCTTTTGCATAGTTTATCTATAAATGTCTGCAAGAAAACTAGCAAGCTCAGAGAGAACTAAGGACCACTCAGCTCATACACAGTTCTTCCAGAAAACACATATTGTTTTAACCCAGGTCTGGATAAAAAGCCAGGTCTTCAAGACAGCAGGGTTGAGGCTCAAACTTTCAGGGGCATGCTATTCTACTGAGCAGGTTCAACGATAGGGCATATCATGATGGAACTGATTTTAAAATGGGGCAGAAAGAGTAAGACAATTCCTCAGCTAAGCTGTGTGCCTTGAAGGTATTTATAGATCAAAATGAATACCTTGAATTGCACTTGGAAGTTGCAATCTGCCTTCTCAATAGCCTTCTCTAGAAACAGGTTTGGACACACGTCTATCATCACTGGGTCAGAGATGGCTTCTTGAGGAGGTAGTGTAATTATCATCTCACTCAAAGGTTCATTCATTATCTCATGGACCTGATTGCACACCACCTTCTAGACACCCTTATCTATCAGGAGAGGCATTGATCTAAATGCCAGGTAGATGAGTTAACAGTCTGAAGAATCCTGTTACTTTCTTCAGGAGTTACTGGATGAAACATCCGAGTAAACAGGACAGACTGGTGCCTCAGTCAGTTTGCATGGAGCCCTAATATGGGCTCTTACCCTTGTTTTACTTCATTTTTCTTCAGTGGTTCTCTAGGTGTGTCTTGTCATTTCATTCCCTGGAGCTTCTTAGAAATTCAGGGAACCCCAAGAGAGATCACATAAAGCAATCAATCCAATACCATGGTTATCTACCAGTTTGAATGCTGGGTCCAGGCTTGATTGGTTGCAAACAACAGCTCAACTTTCCTTATGAATAGTCTGGCCCAGTTTTCCACCATATCTCTCCCTGTCTGTCAGAACTGATGTGAAGCTATGAAGGGGTGCCTTTCTTCAACTGAGCTTGTAGCTCCCCAAAGGGAAGCATGTACCAGTGATATTTCTATGAAGCAAATGGCCGGCTTTGATGGCTTGCTCAATGGCCTTCATGCAGAGTGCTTTTCTTTCAATATTGTGGTGCTGTTTCTGTACAACATTTAGAGTGGGGTGACTGTGTTAAGCAAAATAATGCTGCTTTGTACATCTTCAGTGTTACTGTACATTGTTAATGGTTTTGGATATATTTTTTTCCAGCTGAGTAATTTATACAAAATAATTTAATTTGCGTGTACACATACACACATTTACTCCATAGTTATAGAGCAGGGGTGTCAAACTCAATTTCATTGAGGGCCGCATCAGCATTGTGGTTGCCCTCAGGGGGCCGGGTGGGTGTGGCCAGAGTGAGTGCGGCCTGGATGGGTATGACTGGAGTGGGTGTGGCCTACTGGATGAGTGTAGCCAGCTCTACATCGTTCACGTCAAGGGTGCCTGTGGGGGCCTGGGCAGGAGTGGGATAAATCTGAGGGTCTCTGGCAGAAGGGAGTGGGACCAGGGCAAGTGCCAAGGCATGGTCCACTGGAGGAGCCTCACTGTTCCTCTCAGGCCATGTGGGGGGGGGGAGGGGGCTTATGGAGGTAAGACTGAATGCGTTTCAGCATAGATGGCCACCACAAAATTGTATATTGGCTCCCAGCTGGCCTGGGCCAGGGCCAAGGCAGAGGGGGCCGTTCCCTCACTGTTTCCAGGATGGCTTCACAGGCCACATGAAACCACTTTGCGGGCCGCATGTGGCCCGCAGGCCTTGTGTCTCATAGAGGAATGAGAATCTGCTGTGAATGGGGTGGGATATAAAGATAGTAAAACAAATAAATGGTGTTTGGGACACTGTCCTTTGGGGTTCTGTTTCAGGCCCCAGTTGTTCACTGAAGAATAATGTGGTCAGAGTAGAAGAGCCATCAATATAGGAGTGGGGAACCTGGCTTTAGGCTGATTCTGCTGTTCTCCAACTAGGGTTACCACTAGGGTACGTTTTTATAGGAAGACAGCAGTCACCTGAGTTTAATCCTCTTGTTTTCTTTGCAGACATGTTCTTTCAAAGCGAGGACTTACGAGATGTCTCATTCCAATCCAGTTCTGGAATTGGCAGTTGGGTTAGCCCCCAAGACCCCTACCAGAGAACCCTTCTCAGAGATGCAGTTAACCACCCCCGGTTGTAGGAATGAAGGTGATGTGTCTTATGGCAAAGGTATAAAGATTATTGTTCCGCACCCATCCTCCTGACCTCCTGTAATGGCATGAAGATCTGGCTCTGCCAGTTGTCATGAGCCGCAATGGAAGTGCATCATGCTGGAGGTGGCTAATGGGTTAAGACAAGATTCCACCTCACCCTCATGTGCACCCTGCTCCCTTCCTCCCCATCGTTTAATTGTAAATTATTACTCTCATTGTTTATTGCTGCAATGTTTTATTGGCTTTTAATGTTTGTAAGCCACCTGGAGCTGGCTCTAGGTGAGATGAGTGGCAAACAAGTCTGTTTATTTATTTATTGAAATGGATCAGTTTTTGTACACCATTTTAACTTGATTGAATGAGCCATCACTTGATAGAATTCTGGCTGTCTGGTTAGGCATTGTAGGCAGCTAACTTTGGATGTGATGGATTAGTAACTTTAATTTAGGGGATGGTATTGTTACATTCCAGCTCCCACTGATACAGGCGGTGTTGCTAATGGCTGGGAATTATGGAAGTTATGTCCTCAGCAAAGTTTTGTGAGTCACAGATGCCAAACCATACCTGAATATTTCAAGAAGAGCCTGGTCTCAGGATCTTGGTTCCTGTGCTTGGTAATCCATGGCTTGTTGGGTTGTCTGGAATTGTGGTTAATCATAACAATGACAGGTGGTAATAATTTGAATCAACAGCATATAATGCAGTACTAGGATTTTTTTTTTTTTTTTAATGAGGACTGGTTTGTAATTAACACTAAGTGATAATGGTAACTTCACATATGGCTTGTTGTTATGGATGAATCCACTGCTGCTGTGTGTCAACTGCTTTAAATTATCCAGATCAGTCTTGAAATTAGGGTTGTTGTTTTTTTGCATGGATAAATTATCTCCTTTTCTGCTCTTTAACCATAATAAAGGTTTGGTTTGGTTTGATTTGATTTAATTTGATTTGATGCCCTTCTGTTGTGACAGAACATACTTGGATTATGTAGCTCTTATGGTAGGCTATGTGGTTCATGTGGAGCCTGTTTTCAATTGGAGATGAAATATTTTTTTAAAAAATTAGTTCTTTCTAACTCTGCATTTAAGTCCAGCTTGGGAAAAATGGTGCAGACTTCTAGGGACTCTTTTCTTGGTATCTAGTATAATTAATTACTAGAGGCCTCTCCCCCCCCCCCCCCCGAAACACAATACCTTAACTGTGTGGCTAATGCAAATTCCAATTTTCCTTGCAGAAGTGAACACAGCCGAGTTTGTGTCTGACCCAGAAGCTCTTGCCAGCATACTATCCAACACAGGGCTGAGTCACCAGATGGTGAGTGCAGCCCACAAGCCCAGCCTTGCCCAGCGAGTTCCTCTGAAAGGGGAGAGAGCACGGTTTACTAGCATTGGGGTAAGTCTCCATCACGGGCAAGAATTCTGCTGGTCTCCTTTGTCTTCTGTGTTCTGGTCTACTGAGTTAAAATGGAGCAGTGCAGATATCCAGCCAGGCACCTCTTGTAGTATTTCAAAACTAATGGTGGCCCTTAATTGCCGTTATGGTTCAACAGAAATTATGATAATCATCATCTGGAGATATCCATGAAGATTCTCATCATCCAGGTCATGGTTGTTCCCAAGGAACTTTTTCAAAAGGCAACTAGGCTTTGTTTTTCGTTGAAGACCTTTCACTTCTCATCCAAGAAGCTTCTTCAGTTCTGACTTCAGAAGACTTCAGAACTGAAGAAGCTTCTTGGATGAGAAGCAAAAGAACTTCAAGGAAAAACAAACGTCCAGTTGCCTTTTGAAAAAGCACTTTTGGGACGAGCGTCTGAAGATATATTACCTTAACTATCCTTTTTTTCTCCCCCCCCCTTGGGTTTATTGTGTGGGATGTTTATAAAAGTTCTAGCTCCAGCATAATATCAGTTGGGAATGGTATACATATGCAAGAATTCCTAACTAGGTTCATAACATTGTCATGATTATTGATAAACCATCAGCTTGGTTTTCATAACACGTAATGCTAAAGCCAGACAAATTTTATTTTAATAAAGCATGGTGTGTGAACCCAGTTATGCATGCACAACTCTAGAATTAACACATCAACACCCCCCTTCCCCACCTCCGGGGTTATATTTCAACCCTGGATTGCCCAACTGAAGCTGTCAATGTTCTGTCCGGAGGTTGTTTAGATCTGGATGGAGAAGGACTGACTTTAGCCTCAGTCCTGAAAAGATGGAATGGCTGTGACTGTTTGCCCTCCCCCCCCAATTGGGGGTGTTTTCCTCAGTGGTTTTAGATAGGACAGCACTTCCCCATTCAAGACTGGTGCACAGTTTGGAAGTATTCCTGGTCTTGTAGCTACAACTCAAAGAGCAGGATCTGTAATCAGGAGGACCTTTTCACAGGTTTATCGTGTGCACTGGTTGGATCCTTTCTTCAAGTTGGAGGCCCCTTAGAACAGCCATTGATTTCTTTTAAAAAAATATTTTTTAATCCTGGCTTTATTACTTTATCAGTAACTCATATTCTTTTTCCTCCTATTTTCCCCACAACAACCCTGTGAAGTGAGTTGGGCTGGTCACCCAGCGGGCTTTCACGCCTAAAGAGGGACTAGAATTCTTCGTCATCGGGTTTCTAGTCCAGCACATTCGCTTGTGCACCAGCCTTGTTCACCTTATGATTGAGCAGTTCTAATGCATTGTACTCAGGGCTATCCTTGAAGAATTTGCTGGTTCAAAATGGAGCGATATGAGCAGTAAGAAGCACTTCTCACTATTCTTCCTCGTTGGCTTTTAGGTGCAATTCAAGGCATTGTTTATTACCTATACAGCCCTTCATGACATCCGGCCTGGCTATCTGAGGGACTTCTTCTTCTTCTTGTGCCATATTCATTATTGGACGTTGGCGATCATGTCGACGATCCTGTTTTTATCAGCAGCCACACGAAAAAGCGCTGCTGAGTTTTGTCCAAACCAGTCCCTTGGATTTTGAAGCCACGATGTTCTTCTTCTGCCTGGACCTCGTTTGCCTTCAATCTTTCCCTGGAGGATTAAATGGAGTATGCTGTATTTTTCTGGGTGTCGCATCACATGTCCAAAATATTCTAACTTTCGTTTTTTAATTGTTTTGATGATTTCCCTTGGCTTTCCCAGGCGGCTTATCACCTCCTCATTTCTGATCTTGTCAACCCAGCTTATATGTGACAGCCGCCTGTAAACCCACATTTCAAATGCTTCTAGTGTCTTCAAGTGGCCTTCTGTCAGAGACCAACTCTCTACTCCATAGAGCAGGATAGAAAAAATATAACATCTGACAAGCCAGATTTTCAATCTTAGGCTTATGTCTGTCTCCATTTGTTTGTCTGGCATTTTGCCTGCCTAGAATTTTCACAAGGACTGGGTACACATCAGGTCCCCTTTATTCAACGTTGTCTCTTTATGGGAATGTGCCTTCTGTGTCACAGCCCCTGCCTTCTAGAACAGCATTCTGCAGAGATATGAATGGAGCCACTCTACCAGGCTTCAGGAAGAAGGCCTTTAAAACCTGGCTTTGTTCTCAGGCTGGAGTTTTATTCATTTGATTTATTAAATTGATTTCTGTAGCTGCCCATCTTGCAAAAGGTTGTTATGTTTGTGAGGGGCCTTGTCAGGTTTTTATTGTATTGCTTTTAGTCTGGGTTGCCTTTTTTATGTTTTTGATGCTTTTAAATATTTCAGCTGTGTAATTGGATTTAGTAAGCCTCCCAGAGTCTACTAGAGTGAATGGACACCCAAATGAGATTAATAGATAAGTATTAGATTTACTGGGAAAGGATTTGGCCCATCCAAACTGCACACATACTTTGTTTTCTTTGTGGATTCTGCTTGCCGTTTTCCTAAACTTAGAAAAAAAATATTTGCGGCTGGAACAGAGGAAAAGTAGATTTAACTACATAAATAAAGTCCTCAGTCCTCAGCGTTTTCAGTGGTGGCTCTCCCTTCCTATGGACTATTCCCCTGGAGATAAGATTGGCTCCCAACTTTTACTTCTCTGGAAGGGCTTGAACAAGTGATTCTTCAGGACCCCATGTTGATACAGGAGCCAGTCGAGTGGCTGATTCGATTGTGTTTGTTGCCACTGTGGGGGAGTGCATTATGGGTTCCTGTACTGTGGGCTCTTAATTTTGTAAGCTGTTCAGAGTTGCCGTGTTTCTACAGCCTGTCCTCACCTTATGGCCACAATTGAGACCAGAATTTCTGTGGTTAAGCAAGGTGGTTGTTAAATGAGTCGCGTCCAGTTTTGCAACCTTCTTTGGCCCAGGGTTGTTAAATGGGCCGTTGCAGTTTTTAAGTGAATCATGAGGTCATTAAATGAGTCTGGCTTTCCCCGTTGACTTTGCTTGTCAGAAGCCAGCTGGGAAAGTTGCAAAGGCCGATCACATAATCCCAGGATGCTGCCTCTGTCCTCCAACGCACACCAATTGCCCAAGCAACCAAATTCTGATCATGTGACCTGGGGAATGCTGCAATGGTTGTGAGTGTGAGGACCGGTGGTAAGTCCCTGTTTTCAGTGTTGCAACTTTGAACAGTTGCTCAATAAATGGTTGTATGTTGAGGACTGCATGTATACATTTGTTTAATAAATAAACATTAGAGGCACCTGGCATCCAAGCACTGTCTTTTAAAAATTGAATTTGGGTGTGTGTTCTCTCTCTGTAGAAGGCCTACCCTTCCCTGGATACAGAGGCTCCTACGGTGAACCCTTTTCGCATGTCCCATATCTCTACCTCCGCTTCAACAGGTATGACTTAATTTGCATTTCCCTTTTTGGGAAAAACGGTCTTTCGTCGAACAAGGTCTTAAGATTTATTCATGGAGTTCTCAGGATACAATTAACTGGGACTTCGAAATATTTGAAGACCATGCTTACAGGTATTGGAAAATTGATCTGAGACCACTGATGCTGCATTATCCATTTTTTTTTCTTGTCCCCCCACAGATATAGATCGCCCACAGTCTTTGAGCCTTGCCTTGGATACCCAACAACTTAAAACGTTGTCAACTACACTCAAGAACTGGAAGCCTGGGGTGGGTAGTTGATTTTCTTTTCCTTGTAGAAACATCAGCAAAAAAAAATCAAAACCCTTTAAAGTAAGGAAGTTGAATGGTCAGCATAAGTCTCTCTAGTACAGACATGTCAAACTCGCGACGTCATGTGACATGTAACGTATCGGGACGGTTTTGCCATTGCTGACAATGGGGTGGGCGTGGCTTCTGGATGACGTGTCCGGTCCGCGGGCCGGCAGTTTGACACCCCTGCTCTAGTACAACTAACAGAGCTTTCATTTAATAAGGCTTACTAAAGCAGTTTTCTTGTCAGTGTTGGATATAGTATTATAAAGTTCTTTATTTTCTCTGCATCCAAATCTCTGGCCCACGGTATCAGAGATATCAGTTTTCAAGAAGAGTATTACTATAATTTAATTGCACACTGTGAAGAAACAAAGGGATAATTGGAGGCAAGGCTTTCCGTCATTGTTTGGCCCCAGAAGAATGAAAAACGGTGTTACAGGGAGTCCTTGACTTATTATCACTGTTGAACTCGGAGGTTTGTTATAAGGCGTTGTGACCAGACTTGTGACTGGTGACAGATTTCTCTTTTATGACTGCTTTTATGAGGGTCACTAAGCAAGTGGCTGTAGTTAAGTGAATAATTTGATGGTTCAGCAAATCAAGTAATTCTGAATCCAGCTTATCTAATGGGCCTTTTTTTGTTTTGTTTTGTTTTGAAAAACAAAACAAAAAAAATTCACAAAACTGGATCATGTGATTGTGGGATGTTGCAAAGGGTCGTAAATGCAAGCCAGTTGCTAAGTGCTCAAAATATAGTCACATGACTGCAGAGGTGATATGGCAGTCGTAACTTCATGTTTGGGCCATAAATAACTTCATAACTTTGAAGAGTCATTAAGTGACTGGTCGTAAGTCAAGGACTACTTATATAAGTCGTCTTTTGGCTTTAAAGTCTTAACAATTTTTAAATTTTATTTTATTTTATTTTATTTTTTATTTTATTATTTTATTTTATTATTTTATTTTATTTTATTATTTTATTATTTTATGACTGTCCACTCTCAGCAACTCAGGCCAGCTTACAAACAGAAACCTTTCTATATAGCCTCCTCCCAGCTCTTCAAACCTCAGTGATGCCACAGGGTCCATTAATAGGGGATGCTTGGGAACTATATGTGTGTATATTTGTCCATCTCTATGTACACACATACACACATAACCTATACCAGTGATGGCGAACCTTTTAGAGACCGAGTGCCCAAAACCTGCCCCCCCACCCCACTTCCCGCCCTGCCTGCTCCACCCCTGCCCTGCCCGCCTGCAGGGCCACCCACTGTCTTCATGGCCCGCTGCAGATCGCCCAGGCGGCCCTGCAGCGCCATGGCAGCCACGCCCTGTGCCCGCACTCCGCAATATCATCTGCGCGCAACGGGGTGTGAGGGTTAGGGTTAGGGTTAGTCTTGTCCCTGCTGCCTGGCTGCCATATCCTTGGCTGCGCTACTCCGTGCAGGCCATGCCTGGGGGTGACTCTCCTCTGGGGGGGGCTGCTGGTGAGGGGGCCGCAGGGGGAGGCGGGGCTGGGGTGACAGCACGCGTGCCCGCAGAGAGGGCTCCAAGTGCCGCCTCTGGCACGCGTGCCATAGGTTCGCCACCACTGACCTATACATACAGAATATACCATATATACCCACTGTCCTTTAGGGTTCAGCCTCAGGCTGAAATTATCAGTTTTGTTTTCAGGCAACAGAGTGAGCAGTGTAGCCAAGAATGTCAAAAGAGGCAAAGATTTGCCTGCAAAGTGTGTTTTCAAAGAGGAGCATACAGAAGAGCTGGTCAAAGCTGGTCCAAGATTGAAGAGTTGGGTCAAGATTGTCAGCCATTTCAAGGGTCTAAAGTTCAAGAATTAAATTCATACACAAGGAATCACACACAAGCCAGACGTTGTTTCCAGCAAAGAGAACAGAGGTGACCCAAGTGTCTGCAGCGAACTATTGCTAGTCAGAATGTTTATCCTGTTGCCTGGCAAGAGACCTCATAGATTTCCTCTGTTGGGCTCTCCTTTCTATTCATCTGGTGCATTTATGGCATCCTCTGATAAAGCCAGCTGTTCAGAAGGTATTTGTGGTTGATCTGATTATATTTGGCTTTGCTAAGTGAGGTGCCGCTTGACTGCACCTGATATTACAATCTTTTTCTGCCACAGTTGAGCAAAGCACCCACAGTTGCTAAGCCAGACATCATATGACTGAAATGCGACCTCCTGCCAGCTTCCCCATTGGCTTTGCTACCGGAACTGGCTGAAAGATCACAAACGATAACATCAAACAGAGAGATCTGAATCTGAATCAGAACACAACTGGAAGGGACTTTGGAGGTCTTCTAGTCCAGCCCCCTGCTCAAGCAGGAGATTCTATACCATTTCAGACAAGTGACTGTCCAGTCTTTTCTTAAAAACCTCCAGTGATGAATTACCTGCACTGTATGAAGCAAGCTGTTCCACTGGTTAATTGTCCTCCCTGTTAGGAAGTTTCTCCTTAATTTCAGGTCACTTCTGTCCTTGATTAGTTTCCATCCATTGCTTCTTGTATTGCCCTCTGGTGCTTTGGAAAATAAGTCGACCCCCCCCCTCTTCTTTGTGGCAGCCCCTCCAATACTGAAATACGGCTATCATGTCTCTCCTAGTCCTTTTCTCTAGACTAGCCAAACCCCAATCCCACAACCGTTCTTCATATGTTTTAGACTCCAGGCCTTTAATCATCTTAGTCGCTCTTCTTTGTGCAAGCCAACTGCCATATGCCCAGATCGCAATCGTATAACAATGGGGAAGCTGCATTGGTCATAAATGTGAGGACTACTTGTAAGTCACTTTTTCACAGAGCTGTCATAACTTCAAAAGATCACGAAACAAATCGTCATTAAGCAAGGACTACCTATATGTGTATGCACCTGCACACATTCCTATACATACTTTGTATGTGTTTGTGTAAACAAACCCTGTGTGGGCACACACAAATATACCATGTGTTTGTTCTGGACATTATTATGGGAACTGCCATGTTTATATCTAGATTCTGTCTATCTGCAGTGTGTGGTCTTGATCTACTTGCTCATTTTCTTGTCTGCGTTGGGCTTCCTACCACCTAACGGAGTAGCGCTGAGGAGTTGTTGCCATGTGGCTCTAGCCTTTGTTATTTGTGTCAGGTGCAGATGGCAAAGGCCAACCAACCCACAAAGACCGCGAAGGGGGACAATTCAACATCCAGTCTGGAGGCAAAACATCCGAGCAATGTTGCTGGGGGCAGTCTGTCAACGCAAAGGTGAGAAAAGAGCCAATTGCACTGGAAACTGTTCCCTTGCAATTTGTTGGGGTTTGGGTAGATGTATTATGATTTATAATAAATAAAATCTTGGTAGTTCTGCTTGCTACAGATAGTCCTCGAGTTTTGTCCGTTCGTTATCCATTCGCAGTTACCGTGGCCTCAGCCATTGTACTTTACAGCTCGTAAAGTACTTCTGGCTATCTTAAAAATGACATGCTGTGTACTCCTCATCCAGTCACAGGACCACACCTTGGGCACTTGGCAACCGGCTCACATTTTTGAGTGGTTGTGATGTCAGGAGAATGGATTCAGACTGAGCAACTGGTGTCATCCGCTTAACAACTGCTATAAAAAGTATTGTAAAATCAGGTCTGGTCCTGTGAGTGCCTTGACGTAACGACTCACAACTTACATCTGAAATTTTGGTCCCAGTTGTGATTGCAAGTCAAGGAATACCTAGATGGTTTCTTGGTGACTGAATTACCACACTGGGTTCAGCATGGCTTAATTCAGACATGTCAAACATAAGGCCCGGGGGCCGGATGTGGCCCGCGAAGTGGTTTCATGTGGACGGCGAAGCCATCCTGGAAATAATGAGGGAACGGCCCCCGCTGCCTTGGCCCTGGCCCAGGCCAGCCGGGAGCCAGTGTACAATTTTGTGGTGGCCATCTATGCTGAAGCGTATTCAGTCTTAGCTCCATAAGCTCCCCCCACAGAAGAACAGTGAGGCTCCTCCAGTGGACCATGCCTTGGCAATTGCCCTGGTCCCACCCCCTTCTGCCAGAGACCCTCAGATCTATCCCACTCCTGCCCAGGCCCCCATAGGCACCCTTGACGTGAACAATGTAGAGCTGGCCATACCCACCCAGTAGGCCACACCCATGCCCACCCAGTAGGCCGCATCCATCCTGGCCACACCCACCCAGCCCCCTGAGGGCAACCGCAATGCTGATGCGGCCCTCAATGAAATTGAGTTTGACACCCTTGGCTTAATTTAACCTTGAGTATTGAATAATTTATTCTGAATTACATGATTTTTCACTCCGGGTTTTTAAATGAGGATTTTTTGCTCCCCAGAGAGGAGGAAGGTATTTTCACCTTTTCAGTAAAGAGGAAAAAAGGGTTTTTAAATTCCTACCTCTGCCTCCTCCTCCCTCGCATTATGAATTGCCAGGTAAATCCACAGTAGCTCCAATGCTTGTAACTCTCTGTTGCCTTTGCTCTTAAACAGCAGCTCAGCTGGGAGGAAAAAAAACACAGGAACATCTGGGGAAGGTGAGTGACTGCTTTCTTCTCTACGATCTAGTGCAGGGGTCCTCAACCCTGGTCCGTGGATCGGTACTGGTCCGTGGCATGCCAGCAACCGGTCCGCACAACCAAAGCCCCATCCACGGGATGCAGGCAGCACATAAAACCACGCATCCTCCGGTCCACGGAAAAACCTCTCACCATGTCCCTGGTGCCCAAAAGGTTGGGGACCTCTGATCTAGAGCCATGGGGAAGAGTCTCTTCTCTGTTTTTTCTTTTGGAGTATAGCTAGATGTGCCCTCTATGTCTGCCAATACCAGTGAGATAGCGCAAATGAATCAGTGTAGATCAAACAGTATGATTGGTTTATCTTTCAGCAACAGTGGGTTTGACCCACTTCTTGCCTTCGTCCGACACTTTTTTTATGGCCCATTTGGTCTCCATATTAAAAAAAAATCCGTCCTGCTCAGTGCACAAAGCATTCCTACGGAATAACATTCTTCAAAATTAGATAAAGATGGTATAGGTCAGGGGTAGACAACCTTGACTCTTTTATGACTCGTGGACTTCAACTCCCAGAATTCCTGAGCCAGCATGGAAACCTCTCCCCTCAGCATGGAAACCTCTCCCTTTCCCCTCAGCATGGCTGGCTCAGGAATTCTGGGAGTTGAAGTCCATGAGTCATAAAAGAGCCAGGTTGCCTACCCCTGGTATAGGTAGTCCTTGACTTACAATAATTCATTTAGTGACCGTTCAGAGTTACTGTACAATGGCAGTGAGAAAAGTGACACAGCAATTTTTCACACTTACGACCTTGCAGCATCCCATGGTTGTGTGATCGAAATTCAGACACCTGGCGATTGACTCATAATTATGACAGTTGCAGTATTCCAAGGTCATGCGATCCCCTTTTGCGACTTTCTGACAAAGTCAGTGAGGAAGTCAGATTCAGTTAACAACCGTGTTACGAAATTAAAAACTTTCAGTGTTTCACTTAGCACCCGTGGCCATAAAGGTTGTAAAATGGGGCAAAACTCGCTTAACAACATTTCATAAGTCGAGGACTACCTTTATTGATGTTTCAGACAATATTTGCTGCTTCTTGATGGAGACCAGCTTTTCCCAACCTGGTACCACTCAGATGCATTGAAGTTTAGCTCCTTTAATTTCCCTCCAGCGGGGCCTTTATTCCCATGGTACCTGTTTAGGGAAAACTGGTATAAAATAGGACTACAGGTGGTCCTCAGGTTATGTCCAGTCATTCAGCAACCATTCAAAGTTACAGTGGTGCTGAGAAAAAAGGACTTATGCTGGGTCCTTAAATTTATGGCCATTGCCGTGTCTCTATGGTCATGTGATCAAAATTTGGGTGCTTGGCCTGCACCCAACCATTGCAGCGTCCTTTGGTCACATTCTCCTGCACTGCACCAGCTGCTTTCATTTCAACTCCCCCATCTGCCTATTTCCCTGCCCATCTTTGCAGGGGATAAGAGAAGCCTGAGGTCCTTGCCCAGGGATAGGCAACCTTGGCTCTTTTGTGACTGGTGGACTTCAACTCCCAGAATTCCTGAGCCAGCCATGCTGAGCGGAAAGGGAGAGGTTTCCAAGCTGAGCCATGCTGGTTCAGGAATTCTGGGAATTGAAGTCCATGAGTCATAAAAGAGCCAAGGTTGCCTACCCCTGTCCTTGTCTAACAATCACAGCTGGGGCTGCCAGGAATGCCGTCACTAAAAAAAGTGGAGCCGCATAATGTTTTACTTAATGACCACTTTGCTTAGCAAGGGGTACAAATTAGGTCATGGTCCAAGGAAGATCTGTGGTTCAGCTCAAGCTGATTTGAGGGCACCCCTTATCTTCTATCCTTGCAGAGGAAGAGTTCATGCCAGACCCAGCAGCGAAAGCAAGCATCCTTTTGAACATAGGCTTGAGCCACTCTGGCCTTGGAGCCATGGGAAAAATGAGCCTGGCCCAGCGGGTACCGTTGAAGGATGCTCGGAAACTGTCAGTATTGTGTGACAATATGCAGGTGAACGACATCAGATTTCTTGGCTTCCCTTGGTAATCCTAGATCAGTGATGGTGAACCTTTTAGACACCAAGTGCCCCAAAACCGCCGTGCCCCCCCCGCCCCGCCCTCCCGCAGGGCCACCTACCATCTCCATGGCCTGCAGGTGGCCCTGCAGCTCCATGGCCACGCCCTCTGCCCATGCCACGCGCGCGACGGGGCGCAAGGACAGAGCCTTATCCCTGCTGCCTAGTTGCCATGTCCTTGGCTGCGCTGCTCCGCGCAGGCCGTGCCTGGGAGTGACTCTCTTCCGGGGGGGGGGCTGCTGGTGAGGAGAGGGCCGCGGGGGGAGGGGGCTGGGGCGATGGCACGTGTGCCCACAGATGCAGCAGATCACCTGTCTTGCATACGTACACCTTCACCTTCTCCTAATCCTGTTGTCTACAGGTAATCCTCTCTTTGCAACAGTTCATTTAGTGACTATTCAAAGTTAACAATGGCACGGAAAAAAGTGACTAATGACTAACGACCATTTTTCCCCACTTACGGCCATTACTGTCTCCCCATGGTCACGTGATCAAAATTCAGACGCTTGACAACTGATAGTTATGACGATTGCAGAGTCCTTGAGGGTCATGTGTGATCACCTTTTTTGACCCTCTGACAAGCAAAGCCAATGGGGGAAGCCAGATTCATTTTACAACTGTATTACTAACTTAACAACTGCAGCGATCCGCTTAACAGCCGTGGCAAGAAAGGTTGTAAAATGGAGCAAAGCTCACTTAGCAAATGTCTCCCTTAACAATGGAAATTTGGGGCTCAGTTATGGTCGTAAATCAAGGAATACCTGTAATTGCTGATAGGTTGTTAAGTAGGTTTCCACCTACGAGGAGGGGCTTTAATCTGTGGTGGCTGTTGGGCACTGACTTTGTTTCCTGTCCCTAGGGGGAAGGTCCCTCTCTGTCCCAGCCCCGCACGAGTGTGATGTCTGCAGGGAAGTATGGCCGTGTGCTCTGCCGTACTACTCCAGGCCCTAAAGGTATCATTTACAGAGGAGTGGGAACTTCATTTCAATTTTGGAGCTTTTCGTGACTGCGTCTCTCTGATTTCTCACTTCTCTCTTTGCCTGTTTTGTAGGTCTGGCTTCTGGAGCTCAGCAAACTAACACACCGCTTAAGAGGTGTTCCAATGCTGAATGTACACCTTATGGACTAGCCAGAAGAGTTCCTATTACTAGCTCTCAATCCTTGGTTTGTACTTGAGGCAATGCACTTGAGAATATCTGAACTGTATCCCTAAGATCTAGCCAGTTCTTGATAATATCTTGATGCTTGATAAAGCCAGATATATTTAGCACTGTTGGGATCTTGGAGACCAAGATATCCTTTATTACTTTGGTTCATATGTAAGATGTTCATCTCCACTCCCGGCCCATATTTTGTGAAGGCTAAAACAATGTTTGCTGGCTTTTTGTTAGTTCAGGTACAATTCAACATTAATGGCTTTTATTCCATAAAGCTTTTTTCTCTTGAAATTAAATATGTTTGCCTTTTTCTCTATTGTGGGTGTGAACTTGTGGCCCATTAGAGTTTGCTGAATTGTAAGTCCCACCATCCCTTATTACTTACTATGCTGAGTGAGACTGCTGGGATTTGTAGTTCATATCCCATGTATGCATTGCCCCATTCTGTATAGCAGTGGTTCTCAACCTGTGGGTCGGGATCCCATTTGGGGTCAAATGACCATTTCACGGGGGTCGCCAAACCATGCTGTCCGCCATTTTTTTCCCTTTTCCCTAGCTGTCCTACTCCCTTTTATTGGTGGCCACACCCACTTGGGGGTCACCACAACATGGGGAACTGTATTATGGGGTCACGGCATTAGAAAGGTTGAGAATCACTGCTGTATAGGCTTATCTGCAGAATTATCTTTGGGTTCTCCTTTATTTACACTTGCCTTTAAAAGGTGTGCAGGTGTCAGCAGGTGGCAGATGGTGACGTTCTAGTTATGTGACTTGCTCAGTGATACTAAGCTAGCATCGCTGCTTTTAGTGACAGGCCCAAGTATTTCAATTTCTTCATGGGAAAGTCTATAATATTTTCCATTAGCTGTGTACAGCTCATACTCCATTTATGACCATCCAAATTAATGATGGTTCAAAGTTACAATGAACTTGGAAAAAGTGACTTACCACCTGTACTCGCCCTTACGACTGTTGCACCACTCCCACGATCATGTGATCGGCTGGCAACAGACTTGCATTTACGATTGGTTGCAGTGTCCTGGGGTTGTTAGGTCATGATTTGCAACTTTTTTTTTTGCCAATTTCCGGCAAAAACTGCCAACTGGAGAAGCTGGGTTTGCTTAATGATTGCTGGATTTGGTTTACGACCACACAATTAGCTTCACAGTTGTCATGGCAATGTCATAAAATTAGATCTGACTCGACTTGCAACAGAAATTCCAGTCCAGATTGTGATTTTAGGACAAAGATTACCTGTAAATTACTGGAAAGTGATATGCCATATCTTTTACTGTTGAAGCTGTCGTCTCTAAAGGGAAAGGCAGAAGAGACTAAAACATATCAAGCTATCCTACAGTAAGATGGTCTGTCTGGCTCAGAACTGCATTTCTGCAGTGCCATAATTGAATGCATGCTCAATGTGCTGTTATCATTGAATAATGACCCGCCACCCTTGTTAGACCTGCCCCTTTTGAAGTATTGTCTTGCAGTTCTCTATGATTCCATTCAATCAGTCTCTGAATATTTTTCTCTTGTATTGGATCAGCGTTGCTCATCCTGGATACGCCAACGTACACCTCTTTCTTCCCGTACGACAGACAAAAGGGTGGGTACCCGTCACTTAAAAAAGGCATAGCAGTGGAAAACTAGGCAACTGTCTAATTCTGCTTCTTATAGCCAGACAGACTGTCTCACAAGCTGGTCCAGCTTCCTCTATTCCACGGGTGCCAAACTTGATCATGTCACATGATGTATTGTGGCATTTTTTGCCTTTGTGGAGCCGGGGTGAGTGTGGCCAGCATGTGACGCATCCGGCCCGCGGGCCGCCAGTTTAATACCCTTGCTCTACCATATATTAGGAGGCAAACCTTAGATTAATCTTGACCTCACAAAACACAATTTAGCATTTTTTCTGAATGGGGTGTCCATCACATGCCACAGTGATGACATCATCATATAAATTTTGCAATTACCAACTTGCACCATAATATTTGATACAAGTATATAAGCTACATCACTTTTCTGATGTGTGTGTCAGATGCATATGTCATTTGTACCCTGGCAGATACCTATGGATGGATGCTCATGTGTTGGTATGCATGATCTTGTGGCAGTATATTGTATTAGCTGCTAAATGTAAGAAGAATTAGTTTTTTGTTCTTTGGCGAAGTAGCATTTTTATTACTTTATTTGTAATTTAAATTTGTATGCCAGCCTATTTCCAGTGACTCTGGTTGCCTCACAGGTTTTTTTAAAAAAACCACAAGCTTTATCAAATCAATAATTATCTGCCTCTATATATTTTCCACTTCAAAGAATTGCTTCCCAAATTTGATTCTCATTACTGTTGCTTGGTTCAGAGTTAATAAAACCACTCTGCATCTATTTTCTATTTGGGCGCTTCACCTTTTGGCAAATGTAAGCATTCCGACTATGAATGTGCTTTCAAAATTTTAGTTTTAAAGAAATTTTAGTAAGTTGTCACTAAGAACTGGTTGTAATGAGCCATTCATTTCTGCCCTTGAATTTGTTCTTTTCAGGTCAAATTGTTAGACAGAGTCACTGGACCGATGGGAGCTGTTGGTTCCAAAGAGGAAGATGCCTCTGTGCCCTGGGTAAATATACCTATGGCAAATAATGGTGCTGTACAAGTAGAAAACATGCCTATAATGAGGGCTTGGGTTTCTCAGGTCCCAGGGCATCCAATCCTTCTACCACACGGCCCAAAGTTCCTTGAACAGTTCAGCAATTTTTTTTCTTACTTGTATCTGCCACAAGTACAGGTAGTTCTCGACTTACAACAGTTCGTTTAGTGACGGTTCAAAGTTACAGCGGCATTAAAAACGTTACTTGTGACCATTTTTCACAGTTACGACGTTTGCGGCACATCCCCACGGTCATGTGATCAAAATTCAGAGGCTTGGCAACTGGTTCATATTTATGACCGTTGCTGTGTCCCAAGGTCATGTGATCACCTTTTGCAACCTTCTGACAAGCAAAGTCAATGGGGAAGCCCGATTCTCTGAACAGCCGTGTTATTAGCTTGTCAACTGCAGTGATTCATTTAACAACTGTGGCAGGAAAAGTCATAAAATGGGGCAAAGCTCACTTAATAACAGAAATGGTGGGGTTAATTGTGGTCATACATCGAGGACTACCTGCACAGCTTTATTATTATAAAATATGTCACAGATACGAGATACATAGATGTTCATTTATGTTTTGCTGAAAGCCCAACCAGATAATTCTTGATTAGGGTTAGTTAGTTCATTTTGCTTAGAAATAATCATGTGATTACTGTAGAGCTGTCAGATAAGCTAGGAGGCCAGTACAGCACTGCTTGTGTTTTGTGGTACATCATCTGTTGTTTACTCTTTCCACTTTACTGGTGTTGCAAGTTATGAAAATTCTTGGTAAACATGATTTCTGAACTTCTCTTAGAAAACTAAACTTGTTAAATGTAGAGTTTTAGCCTGTAAATTTGCTCAGTATGCCCATTTTTATAAACTAAATGTGCTCTACAATAATGTATTTTTGAAGACCTTCCTGGCTTAAAAAAAAAGATTGTGTTCCTAAAAACTGCATTTTTGTAAAACCAGAAATAATATAAACAGAACCGGTTCTTTTGGCAGGCCTGGGAAAAGTGTAGCAGCCGTGCAAGGATGCTTGCTGGGGCTGGGAAATCATTGGCCCAGGTGGAAAATGGACCAGACAGAAAATCTTCCTCATGTTTCTGCCTGTTCTTGACAGCCTTTTGGTGGGGATGTGTTTCAGAGGAAGTGATGTGACATTTCCCTATCCACACACACATACAGGAGAAAATAGCTGTGCGTCTTTTTGATGAGGAAATGGCAGCATCGGTGAAGAAAGTGCCAACTGTTCCTGCGATTACCAAAGAAATGGAAAAGCTTCAGGTAGGCAAAGGAGTCTTTAAGAGTGGGAGTCAAATTGGTTGTTGGTTTTGTTTTGTTTTTGTAGGAAGGAGTTTTAAATGGGGAGTGTGCTGTGTGGCGATTGCAAGTAAAGTCTGAGGTTACAGGAGTGGCTCCTGGAGGCTGTAAACCTGTGGCCTTTCTCCAAAGGCTTGGACCCCAGGCCCACAGAACGGCTCCCCAAAGTATTGCTCAGTGGTTATGTTGTAGCTCAGGATTCTTCAAACTTGGCCCTTTTATGACTTGTGGACTTCAACTCCCCGAATTCCTCAGCCAGGCACGCTGGCTGAGGAATTCTGGGCGTTGAAGTCCACAAGTCATAAAAGGGCCAAGTTTGAAGACCCCTGTTGTAGCTTGTAGATTAGTAGAAGAAGGTTATTAAAGAGATGGGAAGCAAGCAATGGCAGCCTCAAAGCCGTGGCTGATCTTAAAAATCTAGGCAGGGATGGGCCTTGTCAGCACCTGCCTAATATCTACAGGGCTGCAGGGCAGATATGGAAGTTGAACAAATTTCCCAGGAGAAGGCATCAGCGAACACTTCTGTGTTGTTTCCATGAAGACTCCATGGGCTCCCTTGCTGAGTCACTAGGAGTCAACTCTCTGAAAGCAATAGGTGGTTGTGATGGCAGGAATGGTAGAGGGTGGTTGGGGCTGCTATATTGTGTAGTAAAGGGGTAGGCAACCTTGGCTCTTTTATGACTCGTGGACTTCAACTCCCAGAATTCCTAAGCTAGCATAGCTGGCTCAGGAATTCTGGGGGTTGAAGTCCACGAGTTTTAAAAGAGCCAAGGTTGCCTACCCCTGGTATAGTATCATGCTCTGGAGGTCCTCTGTAGAGAACTGCAGCTCGTCTGTCTCTGAGACAGAGAAGAGAGTCCAGTGCGGATGAGGTGGAGCCATGTTGCTTGCTAGGTAAGCCGATGTCTCCTGTGGATTCTGGCTGGGGCTACCTTTTTCCTCATAATTCTTTTTTTTTTTTTTTTGTAATTTTTTTTATTATTTTTTCCATGTAATTCAACGTTTTCCTCACAATTGTTTGTGCTCTTCTCTCTCCAGCGTGTTGAGTACCTTGCCCAGCTCTTGCAGCAGGAGATGGATGGTGACATTGATTATGAGGAGGCCCCTTCACTAAAGAAATTGCACAAGTGCTTGACAGTTCACGGCTCACCAACCCTGGCGGCTTTCAAGCCCGAACTATCTCCTACGCCTCCCCAGGATCCTAAGCCAAGCTTGTCTGAAGAGGCTCCAGACTTAACTGTGACTGTTACCTCTGCACCTACCTCCACCCACACCACTTCAAGCCAGCTGCACGTCTGCCCCAGCCCCTCCCTGCAAGAAGCCAGCTGCCCCTCATTCAGTGCAACAAGTACCGGTGAGGCAGGAAAGACAGCTTGAAAAAAGGCTCTGTGGCAGTGGTGGTTAGGCACTTTTCAGGAAGGCAGACTTTCATCTGCCACAACAAGAAGCTCTAGAGCAGGGGTCTCCAAAATGGCCAGTTGAGGATTTCTGAGAGTTGAAGTCCACAAGTCTTCATGTTGCCAAGTTTGGAGACCTCTGCTCTAGAGCTTCTTGTTGAAATTCAGCTCATAGCACTTTTCAGTGTCTGAGACTTGCTATTTAAGAAATGTCCTGACTTGATCACGGTCCATGGACAGCAAAACCTCTGCAGATAGGCCATAGGTCAGGGGTAGGCAACCTTGGCTCTTTTATGACGTGTGGACTTCCACTCCCAGAATTCCTGAGCCAGCATATCTCAGCTTGGAAACCTCTCTTTCCCCTCAGCCATAGTTGCCTGTCTGTGACCTAGGCCAGGGGTAGGCAACCTTGGTTCTTTTATGACTCGTGGACTTCAACCCCCAGAATTCCTGAGCCAGCCATGCTGAGGGGAAAGGGAGAGGTTTCCAAGCCTGAGCCATGTTGGCTCAGGAATTCTGGGAGTTGAAGTCCATGAGTCATAAAAGAGCCAAGGTTGCCTACCCCTGCCCTAGGCCTTCAGTTTACATCTTAAGGTCTACTTTCAGAACAAGTGGGGTTGGCCAGAGATTATTAGAGCCAGGTCCATAGGCTAAAAACAAAGTTTAAACTAAAGATTACAGATTGCCAACCAAGCACCCCACTTCCACTGGTGACTGGAGAAGCCAGCTGAGAGTACTGAAGCAGGGCCGGCTGGGCAGTCTGTCAGGAAGAGCAGGCTGCCTTCTGAGGCATACATTTGGCAGTACGACAGAAGGGTTCCCTTATAGTCTTTAAGCCTTCTGACAAGGGATCCTTTCTCCACGGCTCTCTGTGGGAACAAATGACAGGGTCAGAAAGATCCTCGAAGTCACTGCAAGGGAGTCTGAAGCGTTATGAAGGAATTGAGGGCACAGAAGGTGATTTTCTCAAAAGACCTGGCCCAGGAAAAGAGGAGAAAATTCTGGAAGTGAGCAACTGTAGTTATGCATGCAGTGACAACGGGAATGCTTGAAAATGGGATGTTTTTCCTGAAATGGATTCCTGGCAAGGGATATTTTGTTCCTTATGAGAACCGGGAAGGATGTATTGGGAAAGTGTCTTACAAATCTAATCTGGGGGGGGGGAGCTTTTAAATGGATCCCCAAGAGAGAGAAATGACAGATCAGAAAGTAACCTGAAGAACAGTAATCCAGGAACTGCAATTTACCAGGAGCATAAAAGAGGAAGGACCAAAAAACTGTCTATAATCAGCCTGGGTCCATGCCTCCTTTTGTTTTGCCCCTGTAGATCTTGCAAAACAACGGTTGGATCACCTCCGGACTGCCCCCCTTCGTTTCCACGAAGCCTGCCTAAATGACGAATGTGCCTTCTATACTTCTCGCCTTGCTTCCCTGACTCGGCCCTCGGCGCATCGGTGCCAAGAGCCGGTGGCAAAAATGCTGAACGCTCACGATACCATGGTAAGATGGAATTAGCTTTGTTGATGTGCGCTGGGCGGGTGGCAAGCCAAGATTACGTAAGCCAAAAGCAGCTACTGATGTTCACACGAAATATTCAGTTAGAGAAGGCTCCATGTTGGACCCTTCTTTAAAAGTATGCTGTAGCTCAAGGGATGCCGATCTCTCCCCTTTGTGCATTTGTGTATGGGCTACGCTGCCATTTTTCCATTATGAAAAAATGTTCTCTCTCTCTGTATGGTTTGCAATGTGTGAGTCCGTTTGTTGGCCCTCCAGTGCTCAAATTCAGAGGATTTGCATATGGGATGCATATACAAAAAGGGCTGAATTTTTTATGCATGTTCCCACAATTTTGGATTGAATGTGCTGTTTAACCTGAGGTATTTTACCTATGAGATAAGATTCCCCCCCCCCCTTTCTTGGCCTATTGTTTGGGCCTCAAAGCCTGGCTCTGCCTAATGGGAATTCTCCATGTTGGAGGCGAATCATTGGATTAGGAAGAAGAACCCTACTGCACCCTGTAGTATTTTTAAAAAACTTGTTTAATCTCTGCTTATTTAATATTTATTTTATTGTTTTGCACCTTTGCTTTTTTATAAGGATTGTAAGCCGTCCAGAGTCACTTAACTGTGCCACATAAATTTAATAAGATATAATAATAGTTTTTTAGCGTGAAAAGCATCTATTTCTGAGAAAAAGTGAGATGCCAAAAGTATGTCTGTTTTGCAGAATTAGGGGCTCCAAAACGTACAGGTGTGTGCAGAAGGCAGAGCAAGTGCATACCAGAACATCCTTGGCATGGATGGGGAAAGCATGTTCTGAGATGTTTTCTGTGGCCACCAATTTCATATTAACCTTTATTTGAAGACAGGCTCATTCTTCAAACAAAAGGGTATATGCTTGCTCTTTTCTACTTAGGCCAGATTGCTATTTAACTGTTGACATTTTAATTGCTGTGTTTGCCTGACTGAAATGGTGGCCACTGGCATTGTTCTTCAGCTTGCTGTTGGTCAAGATTGTCCATCTTTTTCTTGTCTGTATCCCCTTTATTTGAAGCTTATCAAGGCATTGAGTGGGCTGTTCATATAGGTTGTGTTAAGTGTCTGAAATCTGTAGCTAATTTGGTGCTGTGTCTTATTTATTCAGAATTAGTTTGGGATGTTTTTGGACAGAGGGCAAGCAAGAGAGCCAGTTTTGCCTAGTGGTTAGAGCACCAGGCTAGAAAGCAAGGGACCATGAGTTCAAGTCTTGCTTTAGGCATGAAGGCTGGCTGGGGGATCTTGGGCCTGTCACTCTTTCTCAGTCCAAGGTGGTTGTTGTGGGAAAAATATGAGAATGAGATATGTTGGATACGTTCGCCGCTTTGAGTAAAAATAATAAAGGCGGGTTGAATTTTCTAGCAGTTTTTTTTCCCCATGAGACACACTTGTGGATTTTTCCTTTTATAATTTTTAGAAATACTTTTGTATGCCATAGTAATTACCACTTGTATGTAATTTTTGGTAATATAGCGCTTTCAAGAAGTTATCTACTTTTCCCCTGAGGCTAAAGCAGGGGTGTCAAACTGCCAGCCCGCAGGCTGGATGCGTCATGGCGAAACTGCGCCCACCCTATTGCTGGCAATGGAAAAACAGTTGCGATACATCACATGATGTTGTGAGTTTTACACCTCTGGGCTAAGGAATATACTTAGTTCTTAGAGATGCAGCAACTGTTATCCCACTGCAGGAGATGTTCTTGATCAGGTGTTGTTAGAAGCTTCATAATGGCCAGTGAAGATATATATGCATGTATTTCTAAAATTTGGATTGCTAGCAAAGAATTAAGGGAGAACTGGAATAGCTATTTCGAACTCTTTAGCTCTTTTCAACCAGACATACCCTTCTGAGATTCGAACCTGGGCTGTCTGCATGTATTAACCTCTAGGCCACAGGCTCTGTCTCACTTTTGCCAGCTGTGTTAGGGAGGGAAGAAACAGGGGAGGAGTTATCTAGAATGCTGTATGTTACACCCTGTTGCCCAAATATGGGAGAGAGAAATCTTTTGCCTTGTATCAGCTCAAACTAGAGCCATCCACAGGCAGCAGTCACAACTGTGACATCATATACATTTCTAAAATTTGGATTGCTAGCAAAGAATTAAGGGAGAAGTGGAATAGCTATGTATGTATGTATGTATGTATGTATGTATGTATCTTTGTTTATTCGGGTTTTCTCCCGCGTCAAATTGGAAGTGTCTTGGCGATGTTTCGACGAAGTCTTATTCGTCATCTTCAGGCTGGTGTTTTCGGCTTCGTGCTTCTAGAAGCACGAAGCCGAAAACGCCAGCCTGAATATGACGAATGAGACTTCGTCGAAACATCGCCAAGACACTTCCAATTTGACGTGGGAGAAAACCCGAATAAACAAAGACCTACATACAAACACCCACGAAAACCTCAGAAAACAAATATATATCTTTGTTAATACTTTTGCTCTCTCTCTCTTTTTAATCAGCATTTTACACCCATCTCTGCAACTGCACCTCTTTCCCCACCTTGAGGAAGAAAGGACTCCACTCTCCTGAAAAAAAGGAGCCATGCCACTGTTTTGGGGTTGGTGGATGGAGACAGAAGCGCTTGGCAGTTGTGAAAAGGGAGGAGTAACAGCTGCAAAAGCCATTCTGTCAAGGATACACTAATACTATACAAACAGGGTTTTTTTTTAATGTAAATGGTATATAAACAGTTTTTTAAAAATAAACTAACCGTAAAAGAGTTGCCCTGGTTTCCCCCCCCCCCCAGTATGAGAAGAAAGCACGGAATTTGTTCCAAGTTCACGTTCCTGCGAAATAGCCTTGCCAGATTTTATTACAGGTGCTTTTTATTCACGTGTCTCTTACTGTGTTTGTAAGGGGGAGGGAACCTATCACAGGTAACTGCTGCATGAAGAGAGTAAAAATTTGATTTGCACATTTTGTGGACTAATACTAGCACTTGTACTGAAATAGAAAAATAAAGGGCCAATAGCCAATCTTTCTGCCTCCATTTTTTCTTCCTCATTGGTTATATAGTTATTTTTTTCAGCACTGTCATACTTTCGAACAGTCGCTGACTGAAACAGTTGGTAAGTGAGGACCACCTGTAGTCCAATTACATAGTGATAAGGGCACAATATTGTTGTTGCAAAATCCTTCTCAGAGTCTGGCTGCCGTCATCCACCAGCCAAAGTTGGGTAATAGTTTCCACCTGCCCTTCCAGTCCTAGCTGTAAATGCATGAGGATCCTCAGCTCATGGATCTGGCCAATCATGGGAGCCGAGTCAAGAAACCCCTTTCAACAAATGGCAACTTCATCATTCATTCGTTTGTCCCATCCAAGCTCCAAAGTGCTCAACAAAAGGAAGGCATGTATGTGGCTAGGATAGTGATGATATGGTATCATAGTCTGGTCCGATAGATGACTTCTCCCAGCAGCTTCAGGTAAATATTAAGTACAAATGGTACATAACAGCTCTGAAAAGAAAAGACCCATAGGGAGGTACCAGTAGGTCTTGCGCTGACATCACTGCTTTCTTCCACCAATTGGAACCATCCTCTAAAGCAGGGGTTCTCAACCTTGGCAACTTTAAGACTTGTGGACTTCAACTCCCAGAATTCACAACAATGAAAACCTTGGACAGGAGGAAGAGTGCTGCTGGGTGGGCAGGCAGGTGTCTTGCTCGGCTATGCCTTGGGTGGCACTTTTTCAGTGCCATTGTAACTTTGAGCAGTCACTAAGTGAACTATTGTAAGTCGAGGACTACCTGTACTTTATCACTTTTTTCCTTTTTTTTTTTTGGTCATCAAATTTTTGACACCTTGCTAGGTGACTGGTGGTACTCAGATGTTGCCATATCCTAAAAGTGGTACAATGGGTGAAAAGGTTGAAAAGCCCCGCTCTAAAGGAAGTGTGGAGGCACTGTGTCTCCAATTCCCAATTCCTACAAACGGTCCAGGAAGATACTATGATAAATGATATAAAACGGGTTCCCAACCCCTGATCCATGGACTGGCACCAGCACCGGTCCACAGCATGCCAGCAACTGGTCTGTGCAAACAAGCGAAGCCCCATCCGCAGGATGAAGGCAGCACTCAAAACCATGCACCCTCCCATCTGCGAAAAAAAACTTCTCCACGGAACCAGTCCCTGCTGCCCAAAAGGTTGGGGACCTCTGATATAAAAGACTGCTGAGAAATCTAACATGAATAGGTGTGAACCATGTCTGAAAATAATCCAGCTAAACCTCTTCCTCCAGGGTGCTCCTAGCGATGCCAGCTTTATAAGGTTGACCAAGTTAAGAAACTGGTGCCATTATATAGGTCAAGAACTACTTTTATTGCAACAGTTACAATAACAATCTTACAGACTTGTCTAGTATGTTGTCCCCCTTCTCTCACTTTAGCTCTGTGTGAATTAGGGAGGGGCTGTCGGAGATGTTTATTCAAATTAGTTTCTTGGAATGGGCTCAAGCAGAGGTTTTGGGTTGTTAAGCTTGGTAGCAGCTGTTAACTCCTGACCTTCAAGGCCATTCCCTATACTTTCTACAAAAGGAGGTTGGACACCAGACAATAGTTGTCACAAACTGCTGGTTCGAGGAATGATCTGTTCAGGGCAGCATATACAGGTAGTCCTTGACTTACAACAGTTCATTTAGTGACAGTTTGAAGTTAAGCCACTGAAAAAAGTGACATGACCATTTTTCACACAACGGTTGCAACATCCCTAAAGTCACTTGGTCAAAATTTGGGTGATTGATCTGTATTTATGATGGTTGCAGTGTCGTGTGATCACTTTTTGCAACCTTTTGACAAGTATAGTCAATGTGGAAATTCAGATTCACTTAACAACTGTGTTATAATTTAACAGCTGCAGTGAATCACTTAACAATTATGGTAAAGAAAAGTCATAAAACAGCAAAATTCACTTAACTGTCTCACTTAGCAACAGAAATTTTGGGTTCAATTGTCATAAGCCAAGGACTACTTGCATTATCTCTTTCAACATGGGAGTAACTACCCCCCTCCCCTAGTGAGGCATTGATAAACTCCAAGATTCAGCTTTTCATGCCCTGCCCACCCACACCCCCTCGCCTGCTTAAGGAACAGAAGAACCACGGTTGAGGGCCAATTGGAAAACACCCCATTCTTTAGCTTCCATGAATCAAAGAGACTCCCTGATAACTTGGCAAGATGCAGACTAGTCTTTGATCCCAGCCATGAAGAGTCATGAGATTGGCAAATCTGAGAGACTTCATTGGCTTGATCAGTAGAGGTTGCTTGGGAACAACCACATTAAGTCATCAATTGCCTATTGCCTCCATTGCCAGTTGGCAACAAAGCACTCAGTGGCATGGTCTGTAAGATCACTGGAGGATTATCTCAAAAACCACAAATTTCCCAAACATAAAGTTGCCAAATGATTAGTTCACACTTGGTTTTGGTTTGTTTAGACCATAGTTTAGTTTCTTTTTGATAAACCCAAATGGATTAATTTTGACTCATTGTAATGCACGAACTCAAGCAAACCTTCAGATGGCTTAGATGGTGTGAACACAAACTACAATGTCTGTCAGGACCCACTTCACCTAATCACCCAAGGAAGCAGAACTCTTGAAACAAGGCCTTGTCTCAGAAGGAAACTTTTATTAGGGATGAGTGATAGCAGGGAACGTAAGGCAAGATCTGAAGAAAAGCCCACGTGAATGATATAATTAAAGCAAGCAATATGGCCCCTCCCACCAAAGTCATAATGTCCGTTTGAACTCCAGCCAATCCACAGGTGGCTTGATGGGGGAGTGATTGATATGGTATGCCCACAACTCAAGGTCTTCTCCAGCTTTCGTTTCCTTGCAACTGTCTCCTAGATAAGGAGACACATTCCACACTCAAAAGGAGGAGGCTAGACGAAGAAAGAGGAAAGCAAAAGTTACCAACACAGTCCCCCATGCACCCCGTTCCCCCAACAGAATGGCAGGCCCCAAAAGAATAGAAGGCAAAAGGGAACAGGTGAGGGGTTTGGGGGTCTGGCACCATCTCTTTTAAAGTGGTGGTGAGGAAGGCTGGAGCATCTCAATTACTGCTATCATGCGGAGAGACTGCTGAAGTGACCTTAAGGGTAAGATGCAAAAAAAAATGGTTGAACCAGGGAAAAACCTTGCTCTTGTCAGGCAAAAGGGTTAATTTTTCACCAAGCACAGCTGCACCTAAGCTCTAGGTAAAGTAGTTTTTATCTGATTTGTTTCTATTGCCCCTGTCATGCCCAATGGGCAGTGATGGATGACCCAGCAACCTCTGCTCCATTCAGCTACTCCCATCCTATTTCATCTGAGCTAAATGAGAACAAATGATGTACTTGCTCTTTCCTGTAGGCCTTGCAAAGATATCAAGCTTTAACCACAGCCTTCCCAGGCAGGCTTTCAGCTCGTTGGAGTAGCAGGGGAAACATTTCTCTTTGCCCTGACAAGGGCAAGAGGGCTGTCTGAGGAGGGCTCAGCGCACAGGGGTAGCTGCTTTCTGAAATAAAGGCAGACTTTAAGGCAGGGCTTTTCAACCTTTTCACCCATTGTACCACTTTTACGATATGGCAATATCCGAGTACCACCAGTTGCCTAGCAAGGTGTCAAAAACTTGATGAAACCCCCCCCCTGAAAAAGGAAAAAAGTGATGAGGTACAGGTAGTCCTCGACTTACAACAGTTCGCTTAGTGACTGTTCGAAGTTACAATGGCATTGAAAAAAGTGCTCCCCAAACCACAGCCGAGCAAGATCCCTGCCTGCCCGCCCGGCCGCACTCTTCCTCCTGTCTGAGGTTTTCATTTTTGTGAGCATTTCTGTTGAGGATTGGCAGCGGGGGTGGGGTGGGGGTGTTTGTTTTTTATTCCCCCCCCCCGTCTGCTGGGTGGTTTGGTTTTGGTCATTTCACTTGACCCTGGGACACTGTGACCATCATAAATATGAATCAGTTGCCAAGCATCTGAATGTAAATCACAAGACCCTGGAGATGCTGCAACATTCCAGCTGATTGGCGCTTCTTCTGGAGCCTGGCGCTGATCCTGGCGCTTCCACTGAGTCCTGACAGCTCTGCAGCTCCAGCCATCTCGCTCAGGCTTGTCCGGTGCTGCCACCGGTTCAGCTCATTCCCCTCCCTCACTATCACTTTTCTAGGATGGTTGTGTACCACCTGCCAGGCACCAATGTACTACAAGTGGTACCTGTACCACTGGTTGAAAAGCCTTGCTTTAAGGAGCCTGCAATGGGGACAGACCACTGCAGGAGAATATATCCCTCCAGGAAGGCTAGAACTAAACCAAAAGCAAGTTTGCCCAGAGAAATGACTAAACATAACATTACTTCATCAAGTGCTTTGCTGTGTAAACAACTCTTTGTGCTGGCCAGTATTTAAAGCGGCAGCCTGCAACACGGAGAGGTTGGAGATAGAACTTATATTGTGCAGGGAGGGGAAAAAAATGGATGTAGAAAATGAGATTTCTTGTCTCTCTTTCTTTGCCACAGCAGATGGCAGCATCTGACTGACTTGAGTTAAAATTGAGACGCTAAATAGAGTCAGACCCGGTTAGTATTTGAATAGGCGACCACCAGAAAATCCCAGAACCCATAGTTATCCTAGTTGAAAAAAGACCACGGCAGACCATTTCTGTATTGTTTCCTGAGAAAGAGCAATGGCCTCCCATTGAGGTTCAGAAGAACCAAATAAAGACATTAATAATTTGGACGTCAGGAAGGCAGATTTTTAAGGCCCTGATGGCGAGCAGCACATCCAAATCCTAAAAGACAAGCTCGACTCGTATGAGAAAGCCTAAAAAATATGATCCTGAAATTATAGGTACAAACAATCCCAGTAAGACAGAAAAACGAGGGGAAAAAAAATCATTAAGAGAGTCTGTGAATAAAAATCCTTGGCAAACTGAAAAAGAAGCTGAGTGAAGATAGTAGCTAAGGAGGGTCCAAACTGTGGTAGGGATGGAGTCACGGAA